ATTACTCCCATGTGGAGCAACTCCACGGCTCCACTCCATTGCCTCCTGTGCGGAGCAACTGGCCGGCTCCGCTCCATGGACTCCTGTGCGGAGCAACCTCGCCGGCTCTGCTCCATTGACTCCCGTGTGGAGCAACTGCGCCGGCTTCGCTCCATTACTCCCATGTGGAGCAACTCCACGGCTCCACTCCATTGCCTCCTGTGCGGAGCAACTGCGCCGGCTCCGCTCCATTGACTCCCGTGCGGAGTAACTCTACCAGCTCCGCTCCATTAAATCCCATGCGGAGCAACTCTACTGGGGAACACGCATCCGGCGTTTGTACATGCGTGGAACGGAGCCGTTTCCGAAGGGAGACGTGCATCCGTCGTATGAATGCATGTGTCATGGGGCTGCTCCGGAGGGAAACGTGCACCCGGTGTATTGGTGTTTGTGAAACTGAGCTGTTCCGGAGCAAAACATGCGTCCGTTGTATGAATGTGTGTGTTATGGGGCAGTTCTGGAGGGAAACGTGCACCCCGTGTATTGTTGTTTGTGAAACAGAGCTGTTCCGGAGAAAAACATGCGTCCGTTGTATGAATGTGCGTGTTACGGGGCTGTTCCCATCGTGGGCCCTGGCACGTGTGTTGATGCGGGGCGTCTCCGGACGATCAAGCCCGGCCACCCCTACTGCATCAACAGGCGCAACTCGGCAGTGTTCCAAATGGAACGCAGCATCCCGAGCATCGCGATTCCCTATGGGATTTAGCATGTAGGCCTAGCTGGCTCCCTGAAACCCTAAAAATGTAACGTTGACCGGATCCTGGGTTTTCACACGCCAGACGAAGGAAACCACAGACACTATTCTTCTGAGTTTCGGGGCTCATCAATGGCCATTATTCTTGCCACTTTCTTTACACAAGGCTCTCTCTTTATACAACTCACAACAAAAGGATTTAAAGGAACGTTATACAAAATGTCACACTACCGAGTCGGCGCAGTCCGGCAACGTACAGGTCTCCCTGGCCCAGCAGCAGGGGTCCCAACGCTACGGTTGCACCGTGGGTCCGTGGTGGCGCCCTCTGCCGGCGGCCTGGCACCGGCGTTAAATATTGTGACACATTTACAAAAGTTATAGATTTTTCTTTTTGGAAGATCCGTCCACAATCTTTATCTCTGGGGAAATAGGTGATCTAAATACATGTACATATAATTGGGCCAGTATTTCAAGCTACTTTAAAAAGCCCTTTTCACACTAGACAAATATTGGGGTTGGCGCAGGTTGAAAACATGCATCGTTTCACACTTGAAGAATTTCACCCCTGTGTCAACCCTGCGTCAACCCCAAGCTACTTTAAAAAGCCCTTTTCACACTAGACAAATATTGGGGTTGGCGCAGGGTTGAAAACGTGCATCGTTTCACACTTGAAGAATTTCACCCCTGCATCAACCCCGAGATTGATTTCAAAATAACCGAGCATGATAAGCTTGATTTGCATGAAACAAGTGTGAAACAAGGGGTTGAAAAATCTAAAACTCAACCCGGGGCGGCACTGGTTCGCCCAGGGTTGAGTTCAACCCGGGTTGAGAGTGTGAAAAGGGCTCAAGTTGAGTCATTTTCCTAATTGCGTAGCAGTTGTGAGTAAACGCTTAATCATGTTACGATTGTTTTTCAATTCAAAAGCTGATGTTCACCCATGATTTATCCCTGATATTGAGATATTAACCCATCAAATATCACACGCTGTTTGGCCGTGTTTGTTTTCCAAAGCTAAGAACATGTAAATACTGTAACTATGTCCAAAAAAAAAAGTCTCCGGTTTCTGGTATGCGTTGCCGTAGCCATGCGCGTCGGCAAAATGAAAAAGTTTTTTTTTTCAATGAAAGATGATGTCTCAAAACCGCCAAACTCACTGGTTTGACTGGAATCCTGCTGCTGCGCAGTGTTTTTAGATTGGGTTATGGTCGAGAATAAGCTTTATGTGGCCTCTCTGGACTCCCATATATTTGCACTAAGTTTAGTCGGGCACCATTTGCAGTCATCAGCCGACATTTGAAGCAAAAAAATCAGGTAAAAAAAAAAAAAAGCCGCGTCGCCACACCACTTTTTGGGCAAGCTCCATACCAGAAACCGGAGACTTTTTTTGGGCCTATTATAGACTTTCTTCACTGTAGCCCGATGTAAGTTTAATTCTATTTTACCTGGTGGCATATGATCACCTTGAACCATTAACTAATTTGTTTGTCTCATTTTCTTTTAACTGAAATGTGCCTTACGAGTTTGTCACAATTATTATTAAATTCAATATCAAACTGAAATCTTGTGTATTTTTAGGCGAGACATTCATAATATATATTTTGTTCAGTTGTGTTTTACAATTACCGATGTTCAGTTTTTATAGAGTGTATTTAAGTGAATTTTTATCTGTATATGAGAGTCCTAATGCTATACATATAAAGTTGTACAGTGTTTTTCTATAAAAAAATTTTGAGAAAAGAAACCTCATAGTTTTGATACTCCACCATGCAAAGCCTGAAATATTATCTTTGGAATATTTTTAATACAAAAGCGTTCTCAGGATACAGCTTGACATTATAAAAAATAACGAATGTTTGTGAGTGCAATGGTAAGAATAATTTCATTAGGTGAAATATTGAATGTTCCATTCATTATCTTATGTAACACCTGAATAAATCCTTGTCATCTGATTGGTCAGGGCCACGAATAGTGTGACCGTGCAATGGAAGTTCTATTTACCCTGGGACAGTGGAATGGAACTTCTATTTTATTGCGGTGTGGTTGCGCTGTGCATTGGGACGAGTATAATTAATTCAAACTTATACATGACAATGTACATATGGGATTTGTGCAGATATCGATGTGAAGGTAAGCCTAATACATTATAGTACAATATTCTAAAACCAACCCCAACCTACCCTGTCTTGGATGCGTGGATGGGCGAATGCGCGGATGCGGGGTGGGCATGAAGTAAATTTTCATCAATAGAGGGCGCGTTATTGGATGCCTGGATGCGCGGATGCGGAGTGGGCATGAAGTAAGTTTCAATCAATAGAGGGCGCTATAGAAAAGCGCGGGTGGCATGCATACTGTGGTGGCATGAAGTTAATTTTCATCAATAGAGGGCGCTTTTTGATGCGCGGATATATGCGGCCGGCCGGCCGGATGGGCATGAAGTAAATTTTAATCAATAGAGGGCGCTATAGAAAACTGACTGCGAATCCACGCAGCCGCTATGGAATGGAGTGGCCCTGTATTACACTAGTTGTACCTAAGAATCTTTCCAGACAAGATAGTATCACATATCACCTTCCGGAAGCACATTTTCAGACGAAGCTAGCCCTTAATTGCAGTTGCAGGGATTTCCCCGACTTGACCATGTTCACCCGACGTACGTGCGACGGGGTCACGTCATTAAATTTACGGAATTAATGAGGGCGCTCTTTCAGAATAATGGACTTCCCTCCTTGCTGGAACAGTGGCACCTTGATCAGTTTCAAGGTTGCTCAGTCTAGAAGCTGCAGAGTGTTAACCACAAAGAAGAACAACCAATAGGGCCTAATAAAACTGAATACAATGAATGAATGAACGAACTAGCCGCGATTTGGGCACAATTTCGGGCTGCGGCTCTAGCCCCGAACTCGCACAGAAGCATAAAATCTAAAATACATGTAGCACAGGGAGATAACGAATACCGGGAAAATAAAACATAAAAGACAAATTTCTTTCAAATAACTTATGAAAATATTGTGTAAAAAACATCAGCATCTCCCCCCCCCCATATTTTGTAAAGACTGCCCTTTTCTATACAAATGCCACGTGAGGCTTAACCCCTCAATAATTCTTGGAGTTCTTTTTATAAGAAGTGCCCTTTTTTCTGAACAATGTCCTTAAAAAAAAAAATGCTGCCTTTTTTGTGCCATCGGCCTTTTGAAATTTCACACATTGTGTCTCCCTGAAATTCCCTGAAAAGCATCATACTCCGTTAGTGTGTACAAAAAGTACATCGTCGGTTTTGAACAGTGCTCCCATCGACAGTTGGTACCAGCCCCCCCCCCCCCCCCCCCCCCCACCCCCACCCTCCGGAGGCCATGTGTTCGGAGAAAAAAAGCATCCACATTTCACCTTGGATGTGCAAGTGCAGGCTTTTCAAGAAATGTTTACCCCCCCGCCCCCAATAAATATGACGTGCTTCGCCACTGGGATGAGTTGCCCTGCTGAGAACGTAATTGTCTGATTGTTTTGCTAATTTTATGCATGTATGATGTTTGACATACCTCAAGTACTTTTATTTGTTGCTTTCTATAGGGAAACAAAATGTCATTTTCATTAATGGCTGGCCATAACTAGTGGGCTCCAAAATTATAGTATGCCCAGTGGTACGATGGGTACATACACTTTCTGTTAAATTGCCTAAACTCCACCCAAAATATTAGGGACTTGAACGATGCCATATTTTGCTTTGAGGTGGCTGGCCATAATTAGTGGACCAATTTAGCCTTATTCACAATGATGTGTGTCCAGTGGTATAATCTTGCAATATGCAATAAAAATGTCAACTTTCCCCAGCATGACTTTGTATGAAAAAAAAAACCTACACGGGCCCCATGCCCGAAGGAGGCCTATATATATATTTATAAGCCATGGTTGGAAATTAAATGATGGTCCGAAGTTACTTTTATTTGATGTAGATATTTTCTTAACAATTTTTATTCGAATGTCAGTTGATGTCTTTTATGTTTTGAATACTGTAATTTGTTCCATTCATTCCCAAAATGATCCGCAAATTAACGAAGATATCGTGAAGCTTCCTGTGCTGCATGTGTTTTAGACTGTATGTTGTGGTGTGGGATTGGGGCTGAGTTCGAAGCTGAGTCGAGGCCCGAAGTCAGGCCCATATCCGCGGCTAGGTTCAACCTGGTAAAAAGAATGAAAGAGGGCGCTTTTTATGTCTAGCACCAATACTTCTTAAACTATAGAGAAATATCCCGGTCGTTTGGGATCCGACTAATACCTCGCATTAATTCATTTGTGATTGGCATAGCAACGTTTAATATGACTGAGCTGAGTGCTGCAGATGTTGCATCATACATGTCATAAATAAGTCATTAATCCGGATCTTGCAATCCACACAAGCACTACATAGTTAGTACATTATTGCTGTTTTTTTTTCTCTTGTCGTGACGACCACGACATGTGCGCAATTCTTACGTTTTATTTCCTACTTTTGTCTAGCTAGTAGCATGTCTAGTGTCTTTGTGGTTTTTTTTTAGTGACACGTGGGGACAGCGCCACCAACGTTGGTTTTGGAAGGGGGCCCCATTTACATGAGTATAGTAATAGGCAATTGCCTATTTTAAAATTAGCATTAGCTTTAGAATAGAACGAAGCCCTCTTTAGTTCCGATCAAATTATGTGTTTATAAAATTACCCCCCCCTTCCCCCTCCCCCTTCCCCCCTCCCCCCCTCCCCCCTCCCCCCCCCCCCCCCCCCCCCCCCCCTGCGCTGGCCAGGGTTTGATGTCGGGGGGGGGGGGGTTTCATGGAAAAAATGTTGCAATATGTCCTGACGCCACTTCCGCGATTGTGTACAAAAGTTTTCCAAATATTTCCTAACAAAATTTGAAATATTTTTCAGGAGGCCTACCAAATTCATGTCTTAATTATCATCATTTTTGCAATGAATGACCTTTATTGAGACGATATATGAAGAAAAAAGTGGCGTCAGGTTGCAACTTTTTTCCGTTTTCATGCCCCAGGGTTGGGATTTTGGTCACTCAAATAAAAAAAATTGTTATTTGCGTATTGGTACTTGGGGTCTATGCCAGTATGCGGCCCATGGGAAGAAAACCATACGTACGCCACTGACGCTAGTGTTCCCCTGTAATATCAACCATCAGACTCTTTTTTCAGAGAGATGAATGACAATCCCCATGTCTTGGGCGGGGCATCCTGGAGGGAATGGGGGGGGGGTTGGAAATAGGGGCTTTAGAGTCGCGGAAGTTTTTGTTTCATTCCAAAATGACTTTCACAACCTAGAACAGACTAACCTATAGCTTGAAATAGCTGGAGTTACCTTAGCCTTATATTTTTATCATTGGGTTGTTATTAGCTGGAGTTACCTCAGCCCCATATTTTATCGTTGGAACGTACCCAATGATAAGATATAGCTGAGGTAACTCCAGCTAGGTTGTCATATGATAAAAATATAGGGCTGAGGTAACTCCAGCTAAGCTTGAAACATTCAGCTCACTAGATTCTTGAAATGGAATAAGGGCCAATATATCCTCGACCCTCCATAATCTGCACAGGTAATGCATTTGTCATGTTAGCAGAGCCATGAAATTGCGCCAAGATGATACGTGATTAACTTGTAAAGTCTTGTGGCGAATTCAGTCTTGTGTCACCAGCTTAGATTTGGCCTTTCTTTCCAGTTAGTCCACCATGGGATGCGGCTCGTCTAACGCGGCCGTCAGCTACCAGTCTGACATCAACACGATGTGGGACCAGGTCAGCCGGACCATCGACATCCAGCGCAACAAGGACAAGAGCCTGGTCATCCGACGGTCTGGATGGAAGACAGTCAGGATCTTTGTATCCTCGACGTTCCGGGACTTTCACGCCGAGCGAGAAATATTAGTCAAAGAGGTAGGACCTGTTGTGGAAGGGGTGTACGTATTAGAAGTTAAAAATATAAACCAGTTTCTTGTCCCTTCCCGCTTCCTTTTTCCCGCCCACTTTTTTTTTGTAATTCATACATTTGCAATATATTTTGTGCATTTTGTGAATATCTTGTCTTTTTATTTGTTTCCAACAAAATTGTAGCTATGTAGAAATCGTAACAGCTCCTTTTGACACATGTTTGTATCGGCAAAAGAGTCGAATAGATGAAAGAATCAATCTGCCAGTTTGGAAATAAAAGGGGGGCCAACTTCATTTTTTCAAAAAGCCTAGACAAGAAACTTTTTTGGTTACACTGCCGAATACGCACCGACTTGTTGGAAAGCTTGTACTTCCTAAACTGTAAGGTTTTTTTTTTACAGAAAGACCAATTGAAGTTGCTGTAGCAGAAAATTCTCAATTTTTTCCGACCTCCAAACCCTCCTGTCTTGAAATGTTGGGCCTCAATATTTCACAAGTATTATCTTGATGTGGATAGGCACCTCTAGGGTAGATTGAAATTCCTAAAATGTCAAACACACATGTGAAATTTACCAGAATTTTGTTCATCAGGATCACAAGACTCTCACACTCGGCCGTCTCTCGGCGTTTGCCTTCGACTGAGGGAGCTTTAATTCTCTTGACCAACCACAGCGTGGCTTTCATTTCATCGCGGGAGGCACAGAGACACTCTCGGAATGAAAGCTGCGCTGTAGTTGGTCAAGAGAATTAAAGCTCCCTCAGTCGTCGGCAAATGATGAGAGAGACAGCTGAGTGTCTTTCTATAAGGTTTGTAAAAACCTTACAGTTCTGGAAGTAGAAGGCTTGAGTTCAAACAGGCTTGAGTTCGGACCATCCCAACAAAAGTCAGGGTGTATACTAGTCCGAAAATTTGGGACTCTCAATACTGTGTATGAGAGTCCCAAAACTTAAGGTATCCATATCGTGCAAAACTTTGTGCTGCATAATAAAACCAGTGTGAATCAAATGTGCAAGCTTCTTACTCACTACAGTTTCTTCAATAATCCCCGAAACTTCTGCCTAGCAAAGTTGCTGTTGTGAGCATTGCATCACCAAAATTTCAGCTTTTAATTCTAATTTTGCAGAGAGTTATCGAAATCCATACATGAGACATCACATTGATGTGTACTGCAATGCATTGTGAAAAAAGACTCCTCAGCTATAACATTTTCATCGTGTAGATAAAACAGTGCCCTCTTGTTGATCTGAGTGAATGCAAAATGTTTCATTTTTTAGCAGAGGGCGCTATGTTCATTTGGCCATTGATTAAAACACAAGTAAGCTGCAAGGCTCTTCCTACACCTACCCAGAAAACATTGGGAATCACACACCCATTTTCAGAGCATGGAGATTGATGTGGGTGGTTTTTGAACTGCCAAATCCTTGCCTTAAAATTGGATTTAAGGTCTGAAATTTTGCAGGTGACATGCTTGCAACTACAGCATTTTGATGTATGTGTTGTGTGGGCATTAATTAGCCAAATGGTGAGTAAAAAAACGTCAGTAGTAATTTTGCACGTTTTTATGCACTCACGGTCCCAGTCTGGGTGTATACGTACCATGATCTAAACAACCCTCGTATAAAACCAAATTCCTGTGTGAAACCTTGGACTTGACTTGTCATACATTGTGACATCCATCCCTCTGCAGGTGTTTCCCGATCTGCGTGTATGGTGTGAGAAAAGGAGACTCCATCTTGTCGACTGTGACCTCAGATGGGTGAGTTCATTGTTCAAGTTAATAAGTAAAGCCATCCGTGTCTGAATTACATAGCTGCGGCTTGGAATGATACACGAGTCTATGTGAAGTGGCTGCAGCGTCTACCATAGACTTGTGTGTAATTTCAAGCCGTATCCAATTTACTCTGGCCAGCCTAACTCTGTTGTAATCAAGTTGTAATACATTGATATCTCAATAAGTCAAACTCTGATAACTCAAACAACTGTAAGTCAAACAAAGTATCCATTCCCTTCAGTAGTATAACATTGGTATACAACCCTGCGTAATAACTCAAAACTCTGCTTAAGTCAAATTTTGAGCCTGATCCTTGAGGTTTGACTTATTGAGATTTCACAGTACTTAAGTAAATTTGTTTTCATAATAAATGTGGATTGAGCATACATTTTTTTGTTACTCGTAGACTCAAAGATGAAAAAAAAAGTTTTTTTTTGTAAAATGTAGCTATTTTGCTAGCAATACAAAAGTTGTTCACTTTTGACTGAGACAGCGACCCAAAAAAATCTTGTTTATTTATTGAATTATGAGTTTTGTTTATTTATTGAATTATGAGTTTACATTTTTGAATGAATGGCTGCCAGGCAATAATTCCGTGCTTGCAGGCTAGGCCGGTTCCGGCCTGACTATCAGTATCAATAATGTAGGGACCGGTAGCCAGTCTGCCCCCAAAGCGGATCTGTTTGTGACCAAAACAAAACCCCTTTATTCAGAGGGATGCAGGCGTCCAAAAAAGGAAGAAAGGAGGAATAAAATAAACAAGGTGAACCAATTTTTGGGGGGAATGCAACCTGAAGCTACACTGTACATGTAGTACAAGTAGTGAACACCCACCATCCTTTTTATTTGACCTCTTTCCGTCGCTATTAATCCAGGGAGTTCCAAAGGACACCACAACAGAAGAGACGCTGCGAACATGTCTGGGAGAGATTGACAGGTGTTACCAAGACAACGTTATGCCGTTCTTCCTCAATTTGACAAGGTAAAAATAGTCAAACCCTCCCCCCCAAAAAAAGGGTGAAGGGTAGTAGAATACCAGGCCTAATTTCATGGAGATGCGAGAATAACATTCATCAGGGTTCCAGTCACAAGTTTTGGCTGGTAACTAATAGGTTCTGCTCAACACATAATTTTCAGTGCTTAGCAGATTCCTCTCCTAACCAGCTTTGCAAACTTGAAAATGTTCTATGCTAAGCAAGCACTGGCAAAAAAATCGGTGACAAACACTGTTGTGAATCACTTTAAATCACTTTAAATGTGTGATATCTATACGTGTGCAAGCGTGGTACCGATACCACAGTTTTCTCTTATAATGGCTTTTGTTGTGTTAGACACGGATATGTCTGCAAGAAATCAAATGTTATTTTCCTTGGACCAGAATTGTTTTTTGTGATAGCACTCGATTAAGACCTAAATACCAACACAGATGAACTTCCACAAGATATTTTGTTCTCCTTGCTTCAGAAGTAAAGGGTTGAGTCTTTTCAACTGCAATTGTCAAAGTTGTTGAGACGGTTTATTATCCATGGACGACAGGTTATTGTTGGTTTATGCACCCTTTCTCTTTGCTGAACTCAATTAAGTTAATTGTACTTTTTCTCCAGTTGTAAATGTTCACTTATCTTGGTCCAAGATTGGAGTTTGATTCATTTCACTGAAGCAAATCCAGTCTAGGGACTTCGGCAGCGCTACCTACTAAAAGTTCCCCACAGACTGGATTTGAAACATCTTGTTGATATCGACCTCTGCCATCACTGCAGCTTTTCCGCGCTTGTCAGGGACCGGCCATATTTGCGGAATAAAATCCAATTCCAGTCGTGGACTAATTGTTTCGAAGTGTAATTGTTTTTCTGAGTGAAAATCTTTCTCTTATTCTTGATGTGACCACCAAGCTCCCACCGACTGCTGAAAGAGCAAGAAAAATTACTAAACAAAAAATTCCCTGCTGAAATCCAACTCTCTGCGATTCAATATAAGCCTCGACTATTTTCCTAAAAAAAAAATTCGGACAGTCGTCAACAATTTCATTAAATTTGTTTTATTGATTGAAATTAATGAACCTACTCTACATTGAAATGGAAAAAAAAAAATTAAGGAAAAAGTGATCAATATTTAATAGCTTTTTAGATTCAAAGACTTTGAATGATGGAATTTTTCACCGCAGAATTTTAAAAGGTCAGAAATTAGGCTTCCTAGTCAGTTGTTATACTTGTCATAACCATCAAACTTAGCGAATCATTTATTGACAACAACAAATGGAGAAAATATTTCCATCATTCTCATTTTGGAGCTACATGAACTTGGCTTTACTCTACATAAAATATTGTTGTCTGCTCCACTGCAGAAAACATGTAAAAAGTTGAGGCTCTGTGGGATATTGGTGTTTATTTTCTCGACATTCTTTTTTTGTTTCCTCTTTGTCTTTCAGCCCTACTCTTTTCCCAGCTTCATGTTTTTCAGGAACCAGTGAAGGGTATGAAGTTACAATGTACAGAGCAAAGTTGTTTCGCTTTAAATTTTGCTATTCAAAATAAAGAAATTGGGCAGATTCATTTACATGGTGGGTAACTGCTCCAGAGATCTGGGCCCCACGTCCGCATTCAGTCCGTTTTTGTTTTTGTTTTGTTTTTTTCTCACCTAAATTCATTCATTTCTTTCGTGTCGAATTGCTTCACGGAGGAACTACATGTGTAAAAAAGCTTTTAAAAAAATGTCACAGCGATTATTGCAACATTGTTGTTCATGACGTCCCTCCAACATAGTGCGTTTGCCCAATCGAGATGCATGCTTTCAATGATGCCTTGAAGATCTTATTGAAGTAACAGTGATTAAAACAGAATAGTTAATTGCAAAAATGGCTTTTTCTGAATATGCATGGAATTTGTTTTATTAACAATACATTTATGTTTAAAAGTTGATGGAAGAGCATGGAAGTCTATAAAACTAACAGTATGCAGATTATCTGAATCCAATTTGCCATTCGAATCCTAATCAAATTGAGCACTTTTGCATGAAAAAAACTTATATTGTTATACCTTGGTGGTTTACCTTTTGAGTTCTTTCTTCAGATGTTGACCAAGCTTCTGTTTTTTTAGTAGAGCAGAGCATTCAACTGCACTCCATTTTAATTTTAAAAAAAAGAACAAATTGGCAGATAGATACATACATGCAGAGCACAAAAGAGAAGTGAAATTAAAAAATGGGGTATTAAACATTCATCCGCCATTGACCATATTTGCCCAAACAAATTATTTTCCGTTGCAGGTACCAACTCAAATTTAATCTCACTGTCTGCATGCACATGTGTTTGCAACAAAATACATGGGTACATTTTTATTCAGGCGCAGGCTTTCAAGTATTCCTACTTTTCCTGTTTTTTTCCTGTTTTTTTTTCACTTGCTCCCACTTTTTCCTACTTTTTTTTTGAAATTCCTACTTTTTCCTACTTTTTGTGCCACAACTCCGACAAAAAAGAAATCTCATTGAATATTTTTCATAACAGTGTTACACACTGTCATATATGTAAATCACACAGTGAAGGGCTCATGCGTAAAAGCTTAGTTAAAGGGAATATACAACATTTGCAATAATCAGAAAAAAAAACTACCTAGTTTTTACGAAATACCTTGCTAGGATGTTGGTAAATGACGGTCTAAAGCATCCTGTAAAATTATGGCACCTGGTGTGAAGTCATTTTCAAGAAAATGGTATTTTTGTAAAAATTTCCAACGGTGGCCGGCCGACCACCATTGGAAAAACCTAACTATTTTTCAACTACTGCTCCAAATTAACCATTTTTCTTTCAGTCCAAATTTTGTTTGCTATTGGTTACATATTCATGAACGGGTGCAGGCCGGCTAGACTGGTTCCGTTACCTTACAAGTTTCCGGCATCTGTAAATTGATCCATTTTATATTTAGTGGAGTCAGGGAACCAGACTACTTGAACATTTTTGTTTTTCTTGTTTTTTTCCAGCATTTTCGAACACAAACCTTCAAACATGTCAGTCTAACAATATTTGATCTATTATACTAACCCCTCAAATAGTTCATTTCTGAATATTACAGCAAAAGCCAATCATGTATATTCCCTTTAAGGATGGAGCACAAGTGTTGGGATTACCGGTATCTGTAGAACATGCCAAATGAGGTTTTTGATGCTGTGGTATCACCCATGTCCACAGCATCATAAGCTTCATTTGGCATGTGAGTATAAACAAAAACTACAATGTGCATGTACTCCTGACTAAAAAGCCCGAAAAAATCCTACTTTTATCCTGATTGTGTCCTCCAAAGTTCTACTTTCGTCCTGTTTTAATTTTTTATTTGGAATACTGCTGTACTTTTTCATCTTGAATTTCATGGCGCTGCTAAGCACAAAAATTTGCTTAGCAGAAAAAAAGCCAGGCTTATAAAACCAGTTTACCAACCAAAACTGTACGTGATTTTCATGCAATAGCAAACAACAGCTGAATACTAATCACAAGCAATATACATCACATCAAGTTTTTGCAGGTAACCTGCTTTTACATGTATAAGCCAGACTTTTTTGTGCTAAGCAGATTTTTGTGCTTAGCAGCACTGTGAAATTGGCTCCTGGTTGAATGAAAGTCTGCAGGTGGTACATCCTGTACACTACATTGTACCTTGTGCATACATTGCAAAATAACGTATTACAAGTATTTTTAAATGCTGCTTTTCAGCTTGTTTCATTACAGAGGTCATTCATTTGCCTGATATACATGCATTTGTTTTTGCCATACTCATTACAGTGAGTTTTGTGCTGTGACATGATCCATGGCATTTTGCATTTGAATTGAACATGGCAAATGTCAACACAGGCATTTCATAGTCTACAAGACATGAGATGCAGGAAAAATAATATATAAGTCATGTTGGGAATGACATTTTGTTCAACCCTCGTGCTACTTTTGGTGTTGGTTCTTGCCAGTCCATGTGTGAAGTCTGCAACTGTGTTGAACAAAACAGAAGGGACAATAATATTGAAATATCTTGAGAATAATGACCTTCATTTTTACCCTGGGTACATGAGTCATGTACTCTATGAGTCCATGCGTTGGTCATGAACTTACTTCGGAAATACTCGTAGGTCACATGAACAATCTCAACCAATGAAATGTCACAACCTTAATATCATGGTATGACAATGTTGAATGCTTTGCTATTCCAGCTGTACGGTAATATTTGAACTTGCTTAATGCATGTAAGTAATGTTTTTCTTCAAAATAGCACTAAAGCATGCTTCACAAATTCCTAACCAGCAAGAATGATAATGTAAAATGCATGTTGATGCAAGTGAAACCGAAGTGGCATTTTGAGTTAACCTCACAGTCTTGCCAAATTGTCGTGGTTTTCCCCTTCGTTGAAAAAAAACCTCGGTCAGGATTAGATTTTGGGCGGACTGGAAGTTTCATGGCTTTACTTCTCACAGAGCTGTCTGCTTTTGCCAGATCGCCATTTTCTAATTCTGGCTTTAGCAAAGAAATTTGTGATATCCTTGGAAGCAAAAATCGAACAAAACAATGGAGAAAAAAAATGTGTCAAAAACTCCCCGTTTAAATATCCCTCATGAGCTCTCTTGCTTTATCTCGAATTCAGGGACATTCACATTTTTTTAAGATGTGTAATCCTTCTCTCAAACATTATCATATACCTCATCAAATTTTTTTTGAGTTCTTGGAACCTATTCTTTGGTGACCTGGAATTGAAAAGATTTCTCCAAAAAGTAGAGTCAAGATGCCAATCTCAGCCTTGGAATCGGTTCTGTTTGCTTTCTGAGCGGGATACCCCAACCCTGCTGACAGCTTGGACCATTTTTTTGACATACCGTGACACGTCACAATTTGCTTCATGATCTGATGAAGGAAACTAAAAGTAAATACCTTCTGTGGTTTTGTTGGTTGTATAACCATTGTTTTCTCGTGTCATGTCTTGTGTGCAGTGAGCGTTGCGGCTGGATTCCTAATCAAAGCGAGGTCCCAGAATCCATTGCGGCAGACTACCGCTGGGTCCACGGATTGTCCGTCACCGAGATGGAGATCATGCATGGCGCATACAGAAAGGACAACTTCAATTGTAAGTCAGTTTGTGATGAGATTTGTGTTGATTGCCCCAGTTTACCAGTTTCAAATATGTGACCTGCCATAGCATAATGAGGAATAACTCCCACCTTTGACTTTTCATGTTACATACATCATGTTAAAGCACACATCATTGGCTTTTAGGCCATCATCCTGGGGGTTTGGTCAGTATCAAATCAGGGCCTACATGATTATAGTGCGCATGCGCAAGGTATACCGCCCCTAGAGTGGTAACAAGCATTTAGATGGACATTCCTCATTTTGCCTCAGTAGGTCACAAAATACCTTACTGGAGTAACAGTCTAAAAGCATCCTGTAAAATTGGGCTGACATTTTCAAGAAAAATTGTATTTACCCATTTTGTTTGCAATTGATTACACACCTGTGAAGGGGTACAAGCCTGCTAGACTGATTCTCTGACCTTACAATTCCCCAAAGTCTATAAATTGCTCCGTTTCATCTTAAGTGGGGTCAGGGAACCAGACTACAAGAACATGATTGGTTTTCTTGCTTTCTCCAGCATCTACAAGCCCAAAACTTGAAACAAGTCATTTTAACAATATTTGCTATAACATACTAATCCTCCAAATCCATTTCTTTCTGAAAATTGCAGCAAAAGCAAATGTTGCACGTTCCGTTTAAACTAGTTGGAGAGTTTTTTGGTTTTTTTTCATAATTCTTTCTTTTTATTTCTTCCCAATCCAGCCCTCTTTATGATCCGAGATTCAGGATTCTTGGAGAGCGTTCCTGAGAAGCATCACAAGGACTTTGTGGACGTCAACCCCATCGCTCCAGCCAAGTTGAAGATGTTGAAACAGATGTTGAAAGACCGCTTTGGGGTAAGGAAACGCTTTTGGTGCTTTGCAGCGATAGTCATCAGCAATGTGAACTCCTTGCGCAAGAATGCCGACTGGCGAAATCAGAAAGCGATATTTACCCTAACTCCCTAGGTCTTTTTTGCTAGGATGTAGCCTCAATCCTGCAAAATCCTCCAATTGGCCTCATGGAAAAATATCATATAGCCTCAATCCTGCAAATTCCTCCATTATCTCTTGAATATGGTCTGTGGAACGTGACCACTGCCTGAATCCTGCAAAATCCTGCGGCAGTGACTGTCAATATGTTGAGGCTTGGCCAGTGACATCCTGGAGCAGTATGGAGGATTTCAAGCATAATCCAGGCCTATATTTATGCATCACAGAGCAAAAACAACACAAGGTCCAGCCAAAGACCTTGACAAAGTGCATCCTACGAAATCAGTAACGCATTTTTGCAATAAACCTCAATCCTCCAAATACCCACCACTTTGGCAAAGAGGATTTGGAAGGATTCAGGGTGGTTAGGGTTAAAAGAGTACATGCATTGTCATTGCCACCATGTGCCTGTGCTCACAAGAAGATGCTCATAACTTGTGCACATTCACAGGGAAATTCGGTGTCAAATTATAACTTCACATCATTCATGCAAAATAGTCCACACAGTAGTCAAATAAAGTTCTGCATAGAATCCATAATAATTTCTTCTTTTTTTGGAACTGATGCAGTAAAATATATCTAAAGGTATTATACAACGTTTGCTTTTGCTGTAATTTCAGAAATGGATGGATTTGGGGATTAGTATTTTATAGCAAATATTGTTACACTGACCTGTTTAAAGTTTTGTGTTCAGAGACGCTGGCAAAAATAAGAAAACATGCTGTGCTTGTAGTCTGGTAGGGGAACCAGACTAGCTGGCTTGCACCCGTTCACGGATGTGTAACCGATTGTGGACAAACTAAATTTGGGAAATGGGGGCAGTGTTTGAAAAAAGTCAGTATTTTTTCCAACGATTGTTCCACTTTTCTTCAAAATGACAGCACACCAGGTGCCGTGATTTCACACGTTGCCTGAGACTATTATTCACTTACAGTCAAGTTAGGTTTTTCATCGTAATTTGGTAGTTTTGTTTTTTGATGTTTGCAATTGTTGTATAGGGGCCTATTACCTTTAAGTGTCAACATGTTTTAAAAATTTGTTTTTGTTTAATTTCAATATTGTCTTTGTCCCATTCACAGAAATTACGCCTAACCAAAACTGGAGGAATGTTCGGATGACATTTTGGAATGAAATAACTGTTTATTAGCTGGTGTTCCAAATTTTATATTAACCCTAACTCCCCAGCATGATTTACTAGGAACCATACTCATCCAGGCAAATTCCAACACCCACATGGGAAACTGCACACGCATACTTCTAACTTTAATTCTGGAGGTGTGCCAACCCAATGTAAAAGACTGTTAGTTTAGGGGTACTGTACCCATCCTGAAAGATTCCAACAAAACATGTCGTTAGGGTTTGATGGGTTGAGTTCTTTTAGGGTTAAAAGCAGTCAATACGTTATGAAATTTGTGTAAAAATTCACTAAATGTAACATATTGTTGATGGAAAAAAAAAATTGTGGAAGGTTTTTTGAGCTTGTTGAAGGGGCAAGCTCTAGTAATCTAGACAGAACTGAAAAATCTTGTACATGTACACGTGTGTATGTGTTATTAAAACATACATAGGTTAATTGGAAGTGATTGGTAATAATGATGTATATTTGTGTACATTTGTCCACAGCGCGACCAAGTGCATTTCTACAAGTGTGAATATGACGGAATGAATGACCAAGGCAAGGTGGAGTTCAAGGGACTTGATAAGGCGTTAGGAGCTACTGTAAGTATACTGTCATGTCTGGGTACTATTAGCTTTCTTTCCTTTTATAATAAGCAAACTTATGTAACCTTCTTTGGCAGAGTGTTATGAAGTTGAAAACTAATTTTATGTAATTTGATTTTATCTAATCTGGTCGTATGATCACTGTTTTCTGTGTTTGTGTTTTCAAAATATATTAGATTTTGTCACATTGGAGGCTAAATAAATTGGACTAAAGTTGCATAATTTTATATATATTTCAATAAATGTATATCAATATCTTTTTTTTTTTAGGTGTTTAAGCACTTCAAGCAGATGATCAGTAAGCAGTACCCCTTAGAGGATTCCAATTTAGATCCCTTCCAGCAAGCCAAGGAGGCCCATGAGGTATTTGTGTAATTCAGTACATCCATACATGTACCTTTTCTTCAACAGTTCGTGACATACATAAAAGTGTGTTAATGCACTTTTCTGACAACCCAAAGAAAACTGGTTTCTATTTTCTTGGCTAGTGGACAGACGTCAAGCTGCTCCCCCAATAATTTAGTTGTGTGGTATTTAAACAGATTCTGACATGTCTGATGTTTTATTTGACGTTGATTCGAATTTTAATAATGTGTCTGTGAATGACATCCTTTTTCTTTCCACTGCATTCAAAAGTATGGCGGCAATAAGTGAGAACAAATTGTTGTCCACACGATGTTGATTCATCATGATTCAGCTGATGTCCTGGAAAAGACACCAGCCAAAAACTCAATAAGCTTCTATTTTTAAAAAAAAAGAAGAAGAAATTGTGACGATGATCTTGAAAAAAAAAATGTACAGTAGAGCATTTCCCCCTTCCCCAAGCTATATGAGGGATTGACTGAGGACTTTCGCTGTTGATTCTGTATTTTTCACATTGTATGTTTTTCGTCTCTGCAGTCTTTCATGAAGAATCGCAGTGTTTCTGTGCTGGGTCGCACGGACATATTGGAGCAGGTATGTCATTAGATGAGTAATTGATGCCCTTTGTTAGAGTTTTCTGCGATAAACCTCTACGAATCTTGACCACCAAGCATTTATGATGTCACAACGACTGCATCTTTGTTATGTCACTGTATACATTTGTATACAATTTGTATAAAATGTGTATCCCTCTGATGCAGCTCATAAATCTCACTGATGGGAACATTCCATCAAGAGTATAGTTACTTTGTTGTAGATTTTTGTTTTCCAGTTCATTCTGTCCAAATGTTGTTTGTATCTGGATTATGTAGATCAAGGAGCATGTGGTAGGGGTAGGCGTGGAGGTACCTTTGTTGCTTCTAGGTGGTCCAGGCACAGGCAAATCCTCCATCATGGCTAGGGTGTCCGACGTGACTGTCTCCAAGGCTCTCACTAAAGAAATACCAGGGTGAGTTGGATTGCAGTTTGCGTCAGTGTTGTAGTCGAGTCCATCACAAGTTAATCACAAGTTCAGTCACAAGTAGATTACAAGTCCAGTAACAAGTAACAGGGGACGAACAATAACAAAGGGGTGCCTCTGACACAGTTCTGGACTGGAGGAGGCGTGATGGACTTGTGAGGACTTGCAAGGACTAATTGCGAGGACTTGAAGGGACTTGTGAGGACTTGCAGGGACTTGTGAGGACTTGTGAGGACTTGCAGGGACTTGTGAGGACTTGTGAGGACTTGCAGGGACTTGTGAGGACTTGCAGGGACTTGTGAGGACTTGCAGGGACTTGTGAGGACTTGCTGGGACTTGTGAGGACTTGCAGGGACTTGCAGGGACTTGTGAGGACTTGCAGGGACTTGCAGGGACTTGCGAGGACTTGCAGGGACTTGCGAGGACTTGCAGGCTCTTCCAAGGACTTGCAGGGACTTGCGAGGACTTGCTGGGACTTGCGAGGACTTGCAGATACTTGCGAGAACTTGGAAGGACTTGCAGGCACTTGTGAGGACTTGCAGGGACTTGCGAGGACTTGCAGGGACTTGGGAGGACTTACAGGGACTTGCAAGGACTTGCAGGGACTTGCGAGGACTTTCAGGGACTTGCGAGGACTTGCGAGGTCTTGCTGGGACTTGCAAGGACTTGCAGGCACTTGTGAGAACTTGGAGGGACTTGCAGGGACTTGCGAGGACTTTCAGGGACTTGCAAGGACTTGCGAGGACTTGCTGGGACTTGCAAGAACTTGCAGGCACTTGTGAGAACTTGGAGGGACTTGCAAGGACTTGCAGGGACTTGTAAGGACTTGCGAGAACTTGGAGGGACTTGTGAGGACTTGCAGGGACTTGTGAGGACTTGCAGGGACTTGCAGGGACTTGTTAGGACTTGCAGGGACTTGTGAGGACTTGCAGGGACTTGCGTGGACTTGCAGGGACTTCCAGGGACTTGCAGGGACTTGCGTGGACTTGCAGGGAATTGTGAGGACTTGCAGGGACTTGCGTGGACTTGCAGGGACTTGCGAGGACTTGTGAGGACTTGCAGGGACTTGCGAGGACTTGCAGAGACTTGCGAGGACTTGCAGGGACTTGCAGGGACTTGTGATAGATTTGACTACAACACTGGTTTGTTTCCAAGGGTCAATAGACCGGTCCATTAGGCTCCGCCCACTGGGCTTGTGGGCAACAACACATGCAGCTCTCCGATACAATATTGCATGTTCAGGCCACATGCATCATATGCCATCTACTAGAGAGAGTCTTAGGTAAGATCCCTGGCCACATGGCACATATAGGTGTATATCCTCTAACAAGCATCCCATGAACAAAGGCATTCAACAATTTCAGACTACCAATACACAGGTTTCAATAGCTTGGTTGCTCATAGAAAGATATTACAGATGTTCCTGAGATCGCAGCTTCAAATCCTTACTGCTTCAGTGTGTCTCTTTAGTTTCTAATATAATGAATTTTGTTTTAACTTTTTAACTCCCAGAGGTGGGACACAGGGCTGGCACGTCTTCTACCATTTTGTCGGAGCTGTTCCTGGCTCGCCAAATCTGGAAGCCACACTGAAACGCCTCTTGAAAGAACTGGGTGCGGTCAATGTAAGTTTTGGTTTTTGAATATGAGCTTCTATAAAAAAAAAAATATATATATAGTATAAAAAAAACTTTGGAGCTTCTCTAACAACTTCTCAATTCCTTGCATTTTTTCACCTGCCTCATCTTCTTCTACACTCCTACATTAGTTAGTTACATACATGCATGTAAAGCTAAAAACCTTAAGGTTTTACTACGAGAAGTTGAGATACTTCATCCCAACTTTTGCCAAGTTGTGAGCTGATGTTTACCCTGCCGAACACAAGACCCTCCCCTTCCCTCCCTTGAACAAGATTGTAAATTTGTTATCTGAAAGATAGATTTTATTAATCGGAGAACTCTGTTATGGCAGGATTTTTTTTTTCATGAATTTGTGAATAAAAAGCATGAATTTTAGGTGAATTGATAATCTGAATTGATAAACGGGGCGTATAATTTTGCGTAATTCATGTTATCTTGTAGAGTGCTATAGTTATGGGCATCTGAATTGTTTTAAGAATTTAGCCCTACTTTCCAGCTCTCCGATACAACATAGCAAAAATATTCCACACAGATCAGCCTAGTTCCAAGGGTCTAGAAAGCAAGACTTCCATGGTCCAAACCATGCTTGAGTAGCAGAAATGCTGATTGACATTGTGCTGTTGTATTGTCACACAGGAAACCACCATGCCTAAGGATTTGGAGACGGCCTGTCAGCTCACCTACGCAACTCTATCCAATCCCAACACCCGACCTCTGATTATTGTCATTGATGCTCTCAATCAGGTAAGAGAGACTAGCCAAATGCATGGCATTTTTATTTGCCAGTTAAATTTGCATTCCCCATGCTATTTTTGAGTTTCATTTCCCCAAAATAGATTCTTTTTCTAGAGGGCTATCACATAACCAGTACAAAAGTTATTCATTTTTGAAAAGAGACATCGACCAGAAAAATTGGAACTACAAGAATCCCAAAAGATATAAAACCATGGTGCAACAAAACAATTGTTTTCTGCCATGATGTAGTCATGTGGGTTGTTTTTTTTGTGGACAAAAATAGTTTGATGAATCCAAGGAGTCCACCATTCTGAACTGGCTGCCCAACAAGCTGAGTCCCCAGGTTCGCTGTATATTCTCCATGATTGATGAGACGCCGCAGCACAAGACCCTACGCTCACGACCCAACAAACCTACTGAAGTCTACGTCACGCCCCTGGACATGACTTCAAGGGAGGTAGGTTCCGCCAAATCAAATCTATTGCATCGTACAGGGTGATAAACGAACCCAAATGGCAGGACCATTTTTGATGGAGTTTTGACTGTAGCAAACCGGAAAAGTGTTTAAGACTAGCTACTTGGTGTTTATCAACAGTGTAAGACCGGCCACTTAACAGGCTCGTGACCAATAAGAATGGGTAAACTCTCTTATGAATATATTCTTATCTAGATTCAGTTATTATCATGATTCCATTAAAAAGCTACACAGATATTAGCAATGATTTTTCACATCGTACATATATATTATATTTTCAGCAAAAATAGTCTTGCTCCTAAGGCCATAAAAAAATGTCTCCGGTTTCTGGTATGCGCGCGCCATAGCCATGCGCGTCGGCAAAATGAAAAAGTTTTTTTTTCAATGAAAGATGATGTCTCAAAACCGCCAAACTCACTGGTTTGACTGGAATCCTGCTGCTGCACAATTTTAACGTGTTTTTGGATGGGCTTATGATCGAGAATAAGCTTTATAATGAAAGGTTTGCGGAAACACCATGTGCGAATAATTTCTCAACTAAGAGAATACTGGTCAGAGCATACTGACCGGAACGTCGAGTTTATACCTCTGGTTCTTTTCAGAACCATTCTCTTAGTTGAGAAATTATTCGCACATGGTGTTTCCGCAAACCTTTCATTATTTAGTATCTCCACCATGCAAAGCCTCAAATCTTACTTAATAAGCTTTATGTGGCCTCTCTGGACTCCCATATATTTGCACTAAGTTTAGTCGGGCACCATTTGCAGTCATCAGCCGACATTTGAGGCCAAACAAATCAGGTAAAAAAAAAAAAAAGCCGCGTCGCCGCACCACTTTTTGGGCAAGCTCCATACCAGAAACCAAAGACTTTTTTTTTTGGCTTAAGGAAGGTATTCAAGACATGAAAGCAACTAGAGATGGCAAAAGACTTACTGGCATTTAGCATCAGATTTTTATCATATTGCCTTGAAAGATGACCTTCTCATTGACATTTCTTTCTCCAGGCAATCGTCAAGGAGACCCTGGGTAAATACCAGAAGCGTCTGGACGCCCAGCAGATGGCCAGCCTACTCAGTAAGGACTCTTCCCAGAATCCTCTGTGGCTGTCGGTAGCTTGCGAAGAGCTCCGAGTCTTTGGCTCGTTTGAGTCGCTGTCGGACAAGATCAATGGCTTGGCAGACGGCTTGCTCAAGTAAGTTGTCTTCTTTCAATGGATCCAGTGTAGGAACTATAAATTGTGATGTGTGGCCTCAAACACTAGTGTTAATTACAATTTAAGACTGAAACAAATGGTTTTTGTAGATTGAGTTGCATCTAGAGACAAAGCCAAAGTTTGAAAAATGCCCCATGTCTTAATTCTAGGCCAAATTTTATTTTAAAAAATGTTGGAATCGCTTTGTCCTACTGTCTCAATATGATCAAATATGTATACTTTAGTTTACTTGTAAAAATGCAAATAAATCTGGGTGCTTGATTTTAAACTGTGGCTGTGTCTGTGCAGTAATTCCTCCATTTTTTTTCCAAATGATTATATTTTATTTGCTTAGGTTTACAGCAATGCAAATTTTCCTCGGATCAGCTGATTTTCTCTTTTTGTGTTTTAAATTCCCACGTATTGAAAACACTGTACAGAGTCTACTTAAATCTAGGAACCTCCTCTGTTATATGGCTTTAAAGTTGCATAGCCTGCTTTTAGATTACAGGAGAAAGTACTCTTAAATTTAGGTACCAGAGAGAAAATTGCAATTATTTTCTATGCCATTCTTTGAAGTTTGTGTCTAATATTACTGCAGTCGTGCCTTTGCAGTAAATTTTCCTAAGTCTAAGTGATCAAAATTTGCTTGCTTTTCTTTTAGTTTATTGGAGCAAATCCTGACACGTTTTGAGCAGGAGAACGGTGGGGAGATGCTGGTAGCGACCCTGTGTCTGCTGGAGTGCTCGTGCCACGGTCTGCTCGAGACAGAACTGCTCTCCATCCTAGGAGACGAGGATAACCTGATGCCCCCCAAGGAAAGCTCAGGGAAGGAGAAAGGAGAAAAGGGTAAAGGAGCTTAACCCTCTAAGATGGGGGGGGGGGGGGGTGTGAGGGGCCATCTTAGAATGGACCTTCTGATCTCAGAAATTAAGCGATCAATTTTGTTAATGAAATTTTGTTAGCCGGTAGAGACATTTGTATAGCGTGTCTCAAAATACCCGCAACGTTTTTTTTAGCAAATCTCTAGTTTAGGGGCTAGACATTGTTCTGGTTTTTATACTTGATAACCCGCGGACGCGATTACCCGCCTTGCGAGACGGCGCTATCACGACCAACCGATATCGCCCGAGGACTTGTCAGAACAATATTTTATAGCGAGGTTCTAGCGTCGCTGCAGAAACACCTACTGCCATTATTTTAATATCATTTTAAAGCTTGAAATCTAAACTTTATCCCTGGTAAGTTGTTGGTTTGATTTTCAAAAGGGTTTTGAACTGATTCTTGTTCAAATAAAGGCATGGGATTGGGAAAAAACAAACTCAACCAATTTCAAGGAAAATCAATCGTGCGCATTTTTTCTAATGTGGAAATGGTTCATCGTGTTCATTATGTGACAGTTTCGTTGCCTTTTTACTTTCTGTGTTTTCTGTTTTTCCAATCCACATAGACTACACACCTTAAATAAATTCACAATATTGTTCTGCGTTTCAAGTTCAATTTTGAAAGTCACGTGCAAGTATGTACCTATTCAAAAAGCGTGCTCATAAAGTGTGACTCGAGTTTGCATTTGCTGTACAGCATCATCGATTTTCCTCGAAATGGGTTGAGTTTGTTTTTCGACATGCCTTTTTTTGCACACGAATAATTTTAAAACTCTTGGTTTTACTGTCCAACGAATACTCGCCAGGCATACAGTTCAAATTCCAAGCTTTAAAATGACATACAATAATGCTCACCCCACCATTCATCCTTATTTTCTTTTACTCACAGAGTCCAGGGAAAAAGGGGCGTCCGATATCGGCCCACTGTCGGCCCACAAGTGGGCTCGGGTGTTCCGCGCCCTGAAGCCGTTCCTACGGCCGTTCGGCGACAGCGGGGAAGGCAGACTGGATTTCTATCATCGCTCCCTCAGCAAAGCTGTCAGGGCTAAGTGAGTAGTATACTTGAAGTCGTTAGACAGTCGTGTTTTGTTTGTTGCACTGCCAATATCTATTATATGTGACTGGCTCCACAAAAAAAGGGTATTAAGTCGTGTAATGGCCCGCTCCACATTGAGAGGGAGAAAATTTCGTCAAAATGTGATTTTCAGTTTTTGTCATAAATGACATCTTTAATAGCTACAGTTTTAGGTTTCATTCACAGAAATGTTGATTTTGATGAACAAAGTGGAAAAAAAAACATTTTGTGTGAAGCGTTCTGTTGTTCTGCAACAAAACCAGCTATTTCAAAGCCTGTTTTCTCAGTTGTGTAATTTGAATTCTAAGGAAGTAGTTAATATGCAAATACGTCATATCTCCAGAACGGGCTATTAGGGGCTATCATATACCAAATGAAAACTTACACTGTGCTTTCCAACCATATATATAACAAAATTTCACTTTTATGCGACATAATACCCTTTGTTTGTCACATATAACACCCAAATAAGTCCTTGTCATTTGATTGGAGGATAGTAGGTCACGTGGCATTCATTAATCGAATCACGGCCTACGACATAACTGTGCATTTTTGGTTCCATTCACCGTGCATTTTTGTCCTATCCCTTTTGATCTATTGCACGCCGCGCGCACGCTAAGACGCGCAGCGGCAGGGCACTACACCATCCTAGTGCTATGAAGACCTTATCATGCGTTATGGCAGTACACAACTTGCCTTTGAAGTTGTTGCCGTTGCCTGGATGAATTTTTTGCATTATTTTAAGAACTTTCAAGGTTGATTTTTCGTTTTATGTCAAGACCCACAGTGGTCAATGTATCCTGCGAACTTGACCCTGCCATTAGGAGGATATTCCATGTGGCACTCGTCACTTTTTGTTGGCGTGAATGTGAGCTGGATGGGAACTTCTGGTGATATCAGATCTCCGATTTCTCCCACCACTAACACGAAATAATAAGTTCAGTTTTTTTTTATATTTGTGACTACAGGTACTTCAGCGGTCAAACAGGGAATAACGCAGGCCACTCAGTTGACAGGTTGTACCAATGGTGGCACAGCAAACTAGCCAACTATTTTGAGAAGGTTGCGAACCTAGAGCGCAAGGCGGAGGTATGTGAACAGTCCGCATCTTCTTTAAACCCTAACCAACTGTAATGGCAGAAATGACATACAGTGCCAATATTACGCTGACCCCTCTGCTATCTGAACAGTCACAGTCAGTAAAACAATCAGTTCACTTCCCCTGCCATGCCTTTTACACAGGCTAGTCACCAGCAGTCAGAATATAGTTCAAGTAAGCACTGTGACTAGTCAAATTCAGTCAACAGACAAAAACAGGCAAGTGTTAGGCACTTTGGTGGACTTCCTTCTGGACTGGAATGTCTAAATATTCATAGCAGTGATATTTCTCTCATTAAATATTCAAGAATTTATCCATCCTTCCACCAATCAGGAGTATCCCCACCACCTGATCAAGATCAATGACAAGAAGCGATTGGTGGATTTCCTTCTAGACTGGAAGGTCTTAATATTCATAGCATTGATATTTCTCTCGTTACTCGTTAAATATTCATAAGTTTGTCCATCCTTCCACCAATCAGGAGTATCCCCACCACCTGATCAAGATCAATGACAAGAAGCGATTGGTGGACTTCCTTCTGGACTGGAAGGTGTTCAATCACTACTTCAAGGAGGACTTCAGCGGAGAACTGCTCTCCTTCTGGCGACAGGTAGGGAAAAAAGAAGCATGTGTTACTTGTCTCCTGCATTATGTCACAGGGTTGTGAAAAAAAAGAGAAAACCACATCGAAAGTTGCAAAGATTGGATATCAGAATGACTGTATGGCCTTGATAACCATGCATATTACTGAATAACAGATTATTTACAGAGCTGTATAATGTATATTGTTATATCGTGTGCTTGGATACTGTAATTTCATTGGTCTAGGACGGCCACATGTCCCGACAATTATAATGCGTGTCACACACTGAGGGTGATATCGCACTGTGTTCGTTGCGTTCACAATCTTCACTCAGGCATGCACAATACTACCAATGAGTCCAGATTTCATGGAGTCCTAAATTCACGCTACACCGGCACCACCGCGTTCTCCGCCACATCACGCAGTGTGCGCCATGTGCGCGCACGCCAATCTCCATATAAGGAGATTTGTATCACTGCTTGCAAGAGGCACATACCGGTACCATAAACATACAAGGAGCTAGAGGGGTGTTTAAAAAAAACATGAAGTAAAATTGTTGAACAAAATCGTTGGAAATTTATCATTTTTGACTTGTTTGACTTTTTGACAGAAAGGTATTTATGAATGGGAATAAATATGTGCTTGGCGATAATGTCCCTCGCCTTTGGCTCTGGCCATTATCAGCGTCTAGGCCCTAAGCCGGTCTTAAACATACTTGTTTAAGACTGGCCAAGCACATATTTAGTCTCATAGTGATATCATCTGTTTCTTATCAAATTAGGTTTTGCCCTTCACCGACGTTTAAACTCTGTATACTCAGTGTGTTACCTCCCGAGTGAAAGTTGGAAAAAAATCACTCGGGTGGGAATCGAACCCACGACCTCCTGCTTTCTAGTGCAGATGTCGTACCACTCGACCACCGAGCTAACAGGATCTGTTTCTTGTTTCTTTTCTGTATTGGGCCTTGCCTGCATGCACATCTTTACATTTACCGTTTTTGTTAACTTAGGCTGCAGATAGCATGGCTGAGATGGAGAAGCTTTACGTAGCCCAGGTCGAGAAACTCACTGATGACCCTACCATGAATGAGGAAGACCTCAGTCTGCTCTACGAGAAAGTCGGAAGAGTTCTGTAAGTTGGTCTTTTCCTATTTTTTTTAAAAATTTTTTAGGGATTCTCAGTATGTAGGTTTAAAATTCGAGGTGTTACAAGACAATTTTGAGAGTAAGAAGGACAGTCGAATGAAAAATGTGACCTCTTGTGACTTCATTTTTGACATCATTTTTGGTTAATTGTTTTTTGTTTTTATTTGCAGTATGCAGGCTGGTCAGCTGGAGACTTGCTTCTCCTTGTTGGAGAAGTCAATGGAGATTGAGAGCCGGTTGGGCCAGCGTCGGGAACGGATGCTGATCCTGTACGACCTGATAGCCAGCATGCACAATGAGGTGAAGGAAAACAGACCTTATAATGTGGTTATTCTGCAGCACTTTTTTTTAACCTATGGTCTCAAAATGCTATAGAAGTCTTTATAACACCTCACCCACAAATTCTGTGTCTTGATTGGCCGAGAGCGAGTCACATGTTACTTTCTAATTTTGCTAGCTTTCTGTGCAAGGCCAAAAGTACTATACCCGTAGCAACCAAAGTACTATACCATTAGCAACCAAAGTACTATTTCCACGGCGCGGTATTTGTGTGCAAATGGATACTGGTGTGCGCCTTGCGCGTAGCACGTATTGTTCCAAAGAGAGCGCGCCGCAGACTTGGGTTCAAACATTTTGGGAAGGGGTAGTTTGGAAGAGAGAAATACATTTTCCACCAATTTTGTATTGAAATTGAAGTTTATTTCAACTGTGTTCAGATTTAAATAATTTAAAATATTAAAACCAAGCAGAATCTGTGGATGAACTGTTAAAGAACAAATATTGAATGCTTTATCTCATGGTGAAGTAAAACTAGCCTCCCTCGGTGATCCATGGACCATTCTATTAACCCGAGGCGAACCATGGATCACATTGGGAGGCTAGTTTTACTACACCACTCGAAGAATTCAATATTTGTATACTGTCAATTTTCTTTTCAATTTTACCAGATCTAATTAGGTTTTGCCCTTCACCAATGTATAAACACTGTATACTCCGTGTGTTACCTCCCGAGTGAAAGTTGAAAAAAATCGCTCGGGTGAGACTCAAACCCAGGACCTCCTGCTTTCTAGTGCAGATGTCTTACCACTCGACCACAGAGCTAACGGGATCGGTTGGCTGGTTCGAATTTGATGAACATAGCAGCGGGTACCGCATTAATTATTCATAAGGTGGAATTTTTTTTTCCAACTTTCACTCTGGAGGTAACGCACTGAGTATACAGTGTTTATATGTCGGTGAAGGGCAAAACCTAATTTGATTTACATTACCCCGACGCAAAAATTCCATCTTATGAATTTTACCAGAGATAGTCCGGTCAACTGTTTGATTGCCAATCTGCCTGCCCAGGTCTATGTGGCCCCCTCCTCCGTCCGAAATGGGCCCAAAATTTACAGGTTTTTGAGAACGAAATTCCTAGAGTTGGAAACCACATGTCCTAGATGCTTGACCTCCAGAAATATTTCTACAATCTGTCCCAAGTATAGGGTGCAATGAACCAATTCAAGCCCCATTGAAAACAGTGTAAAATTAACAAAGTTCAGGGCCAAATAACATGCAAGCCAACATCACTGGGATTACTCAAACAAAAATCAAATTGTCTCGTCCTTCATGTTTTCATTTCTTTTCAATTTTGGGTAGACTAGCCGATTACATTTTTAAATATTAACCTCAAAGCAAAAATCACCTTCCGAAAAGTGGCAGTTCCTTAGCCTGCATGTAGCCATTTTACGAGTGGCATCTTTCCACTTCTCAGGCAAAAAGGACCCATTTTTCAACCATAATTTTATTAGACCTGCCCTCAGATGGAAGCCCAAAACCCAGGGAGTTGATCCTTGGCTATATTTACACAATTTCACCTTTTTTAAAGCCAAACGGTCTCCTTTTTTAAAAGAAATTGAGGGGTCACTTTTTATGCTAATCAGCTGGCGTAGAAATTCTCGCTTGAATTAGTTCACTCCACCCTATAGGCAGTATGGACCTCTTATTCAAAATTACCTGTGGGATCACAAAATATTAATGAGCCCGAACGGAGTGATTCACAACTGTTTGGTGGTATACACCCATAAGGTTTGCCTATTCTACCTGTGCCTGTGCACACTCGTTTGTTTATGGTGTAAATCAAGGATTTTCTTTTGTTCTCTTTCCTTTTCCTTTGTTTATTCTCCAACTTTTTCGCAACAGCTCTCATTGGTTTTGTACACGTTTTCTCATCGAGGTCGTCCTCGATTTGGTTCCTGTCCTCGATTCACCGATGATGTTGCACGTGTGTGTCCTCGATTTACACCATAAACAAACGCCAGCATACACTTACTCTTATCGTCTGGCTGACATGGAAAATAATGCCCAATTTCTGTCTGTACACAGAGATTGGTATTACACGACTACATGACCAGGAAAATGATGCCCGACTTGAAGCCGGCTATTCAGTACCGACAGAAATCACTGGAACTCGGCAAAGACTTGACAGAAGATCGCTTCAAGGTAGACAGGGAATGGGGATTGGTTATCTTCAAAAAAAGTTCACCTTAAAACTCAAACAAATTAACCTTTGCCCTTTTAAAGGTAACATACAACATTTTGCTTTTGCTGTAGTTTTCAGAAAAGGATGGATTTGGGGGTAAGTATTTTATAGCAAATATTGTTACACTGATCTGGGCCAAATTTCATACAGCCGCTTAAGCGTAAAATTTACTTCAGCACAAAAAATCTTTGATTAATATAATCAGGTTACCCACCAAAACTCCATGCGATTGTTATGGAACGTAAGCACCAGCTAAATACCAATGTACATTGCATGGAGTTTTGGCCGGTAACATGACTATATTAAGCGAGGTTTTTTGTGCTTAGGCAAATTTTATGCTTAAGCAGCTCTATGAAATTGGGCCCTGTTTAAAGCTTTGTGTTCATAGATGCTGGAAAAATCCAGACAGAAATGCCGTTCTGGTAGTGTGGTTTTCCTACGGTACTTCAGACGAAACAAAGCAATTTTATTGATTATTAATTCTGTAAATTGTCGGGTCAGAGTACCAGACTAGCTGGTATGCGCCCACTCACGGATGTGTAACCAATTGCAAACAAAATGTGGACTTACTAAATATGGTAAACTGAGGGCAGTATTTGAAAAAAGTCTGGGTTTTTTTTACAATGGTCGACCCACCCTTATTTAAATTTATACAAAAAGTCCACTTTTCTTGAAAATGACAGCATACCAGGTGCAACGATTTCACAGGATGCTTGGAAGTATTATTCACTTACAGTCAAGTAAGGTATTTCATAATGATTTGGTAGTTTTTTGATGTTTGCAAATGTTGTATATTATCTTTAAGGTGGAATTTACTGCATCTCGGTTGGACATGCCAATGCACTCCGGTTGTGCGATGAGTGTAGTGTTGAGTTTTTAATTTGTTTTCTCGTGTCTCTAGTTTATGCGGGCCTTTTCTCTGATGAAGCTGGCGTTCAACTTGCGTACCTGGATCTTCTTGAGGGGAGACAACAGTCTCTCTGCATCAGAAGCAACCGACTTGGGATTTGACAGTCTGAAAGAAGCCAAGGAGATCTTTTATGAGGTGGGTTTCCAACCTGCAAACACGGATCACAAAAAAGGTGTGCAATTCTTTCAGCAAAACGAAAACAATTCACACACATCCCTATGTGATTTTTGTTCGTTTTGCTGAAAGAACACTTACCTTTTTGTGATCCGTGGACAGAACTTTATAACGATGGTTGTGTTTAGTAAAACTCATGAGGAGTACATGAGCTATTTGAATGATTCTTGTTCCAAAAGAAAGCTTATGAATTGGGCTTTCATGTCCTAGATTTTTAAATTGCTACATGCAGAACTTCACTGAAACATTATAGTTTTTTTTCTACCAACCCCCCCCCCCCCCCCCACACACACACACACACAGGACATTATTTGTATCAGTTAAAAAGAGAATAGAATGATAATATTCCGCAATAGTCATGTATTTCTGAACCAGGTTTACATACTTTCATGTTATATATGGGATCACATATTGAAAAAAGGACAGTTTCTTATTATTTATAATAATTCTAGACTTGTTGTGTTTTGTTGGTGGTGTTGTTTGTAGTTGGATGACAAGGCACATGTGGCTGAATGCATCATGAATGAAGCTATGCTGAAGAGTGACGATCACAGAGAAAAAGCCCTAGAAGTAAGTTATCACGGTAGGGCTCTGATCACTGACCCACGTGACCTGACGCCATTGTAGTAGGCAACTATCGTATCTGTTTTGATGCAAATGACTCGAGACTCGGACTTCAACCAAATGACCCGATCTGGACCCTGATTTGAAGCAAATGACTCCAGACTCAGACTTCAACCAAATGACTCGATCTGGACTCTGATTTGAAGCAAATGACTCGAGACTCAGGCTCAGACTTCAACCAAATGACTCAATCTAGACTCTGATTCGAAGCAAATGACTCCAGACTCAGACTCGGACTTCAACCAAGTGACTCGATCTGGACTCTGATTCGAAGCAAATGACTCCAGACTCAGACTCAGACTTCAACCAAATGACTCGATCTAGACTCTGATTCGAAGCAAATGACTCCAGACTCAGACTCAGACTTCAACCAAATGACTCGATCTGGACTCTGATTCGAAGCAAATGACTCCAGACTCAGACTCAGACTTCAACCTAATGACTCGATCTAGACTCTGATTCGAAGCAAATGACTCCAGACTCAGACTCAGACTTCAACCAAATGACTCAATCTGGACTCTGATTCGAAGCAAATGACTCCAGACTCAGACTCAGACTTCAACCAAATGACTCGATCTGGACTCTGATTCGAAGGAAATGACTCCAGACTCAGACTCAGACTTCAACCAAATAACTTGATCTGGACTCTGATTCGAAGCAAATGACTCCAGACTCCGACTCAGACTTCAACCAAATGACTCGATCTGGACTCTGATTCGAAGCAAATGACTCCAGACTCAGACTCAGACTTCAACCTAATGACTCGATCTAGACTCTGATTCGAAGCAAATGACTCCAGACTCTGACTCGGACTTCAACCAAATGACTCGATCTGGACTCTGATTCGAAGCAAATGACTCCAGACTCAGACTCAGACTTCAACCAAATGACTTGATCTGGACTCTGATTTGAAGCAAATGACTTGAGACTTCGACTCAAGTCTCAACCCTTGGGACTGAAACTCAATCCAAACGCGGACCCGAGTGGGTTCGAACCTTAGCCATCGCAGTGTAAGTCGAGGAAAGAACCACTGCACCTACCGGGTACCTATCATTCTTCTTTTTTGCAGATGTACAATGAGGCTGAGGCGCTGTGCTACCAGGCCTGTGGAGAGATGAGCGTCCTGACTAGTCGTATCGTCATTAATAAGGCCATACTGCTGGAAGAAATGGGCAAGTTGGAAGAATCCTACGACTATTTCTACCTCGGCTTAGTCATCAAAACTCAGGTAAAGCTTACCATCGTTTGGATTTGTTTTGGTAATTTTTTTAAGTTCCCAGGGGTAAGATTTGTCAGGATTTCTCCTGATTTCATGGTTGTTCCTCATTTCAGGATGTGGAAAGAATCCCTATTGAAATCTGGACATCTACCTGTAAAGTTTTATGTAGAATAAAGAAATTGTAATTTAGGAGTGCCTTCAGGCAAATTGGTAATTGTGACCAAGTGGTAAGGGTTCCTCAATCGTGATCAGAGGGTCAGGGGTTCGATTCCAGCTGCTGGCCATATATTTGGTCCTTGGGCAAGGCATTTAACCCCAACTTGCTTCTCTCGGGGATTCACATCTGGCTTCAATCCACCTGGTGTGAACATTTTACTTAATTCTGTGAAGTTGGATTTTGGGCCAAAAATCAGTATTTTTGATGACCGCGGATATGGAAAACTTTTTAGATTTGGGAAATTTGTTTAAAAAAATAAAATGTTTGGTTTATCCCTGGATCCTGACTGCAGTGAGCTGAAATTTCTCGGGGATTCATTTACGGCCGATATCCACCTTGTGTGAACATTTGACTTAATTTTGTGAAGTCCGTTGTTTAAAAACTGCTTTGTCCATTTTTCCAATGGCAATTTTGTTATTGAAGTGGAAAAAGGAGAACAAAAACCTTACTGTCTTGCTGTGAGTCTATGAAATTACTGAATTATTTATTAGACGCTTCACCCATCTACATTGAAAAAGCATGCACGCAGCATGCCATTCGTAAGATGCTGAATGTTGTGCCATGCTCTATTCGTGCAAAATAATGGCGAGAAAAAAAGCAAAAGTGTGACATCACAGGAGGGTGTCCCACTACGTGAAGGAGTGAGGAGTTAGTGCACTAGTAAGGATTGCAGCTGAAAAATTAATTAATTTTTTTTCCACTTAGGTCTTTGGTCCAGAGCATCCACAGACCATGCGTGTCATACGGACCCTTGATGAACCGACATTCAAACGGATCAAGCAAAGGCGGGACAGAGAAGCAAGCAAGACTTAAAGAGCACCAGACTTCCAACCCCTTTTCACAGTGCGACATCTTGGTATAGTACCCTGAAAGCATGGTAGGATATCACATGCAGTGGGATTCCCCCATTTATTGGTACCAGCCTGTTGTTTACTTCGGAGGCTGATAGACTTGTGTTAAAACTGTTTCCTCTTGAGTCTGGTAACTCACCTTCCCTAAATAGATTATTGGCCATTTTCGGTTGTAAATTTGTAAAGAACGTACAAGATTTGGGTCACAAATTACAATTTTATTTTGACAGTATTATATTGCAACACATGTACCAAAGTAAAAGAGGGTTGTTTTTTTTTGAAGGTCCGTCCATATTCTTTATCTCTGGCGAAATAGGTGGAAAAATCTAAATATGTAAGAATTTCTTTGGTCCAGTATTTCAAGCTGCTCTAAATTGAGTTATATTCCAAATTGCACAGCAGTTCTCAGTAAGTAAAGCTTAATCATGTTACGAATGTTTTTAAATTCAAAAGGTGAAGTTAACCCATGATCTATCCTTGATATTCAGATATTAACCCATCAAATATCACACGCTGTTTGGACATGTTTTTTTCCCCAAAAGCTAAGAACTTGTAAATTCTGTAACTATTATAGACTTCTTCACTGTAGCTCGATGTATGTGTAATTCTATTTTACCTGTGGCATATGATCACCTTGAAACATTTCCTCAACTAATTTGTTTGCTCATTTTCTTTTAACAGAAATGTGCCTTATGAGTTTGTCGCAAGTGTTATTAAATTCAATATCAAATCAAAATCTTGTGCATTTTTAGGCGAGACGTTCATAATATATTTTTTGTTCAGTGATGTTTTACAGTTACTTATGTTTAGTTTTTATAGAGTGTATTTAAGTGAATTTTGATCTGTATATGAGAGTCCTAATGATATAGAAATGTAGTTGTACAGTTTTTTACTTCTTTTTTGCTCCTCTTTTTTTGTTGTTGTTTGTTTTTTGGAGAAAAGAAACCAAAAGTTTCGATACTTTACCATGCAAAGCCTAAAATGTTATAAAAAAAATTTTAAAACGCCCCTCAAAGCATAGCAAGAGATACCAAATGTTGTTGAATAGGGCTCGCTTAATGGCGGCCATCTCTGTAGGAGAACTGCAACTGCGTATTTTACGCCACCAAGCATGCATTGCGCAGTGTTGAAAATGTTCCAAACACGCGCGCTCATTGCTTAAAATGTGTTCGACATACGATGCAGCCGATGCGAATGGAGCAAGTTGATGCTCAAAATGCCGATGCACTGTAGGACGTCTGTAGGAAATGACGTCATTTGAACGAGACCTACCGCACATAGTAGTCTATGTAAAACACTTTGGAATATTTTTTAAGACAAAAGCGTTATCAGGATGTAGCTTGACATAAAAGTAATGAATGTGAGTGCAATGGTAAGAATAATTTCATGAGGTGACCTATGGAATGTTCCATTCATTATCTTATGTAACACCTGAAGAAATCCTTGTCATCTGATTGGTCAGAGCCACAATAGTGTGACCTTGCAGGGAAGTTCTATTTACCCTGGGAAGGAGCTTCTATTTTTTTGCGGTGTGGTCGCGCCGTGCATTGGGACGAGTAAAATTCAATGACATGTGATCAACGACCCACCAATCAGACAACAGGGATTTATTCAGGCGTTATATGAACTGCATTATAAGCACATCAGTTCTTAATTTTAGACTAGTACTAAGACAAAGTGACTGTAAACTTGGTTATATTTAAAACTATCAACAGCAGGTTTCCTTAAACGTTTAATATTTAAGCAATAATCATTGAAATGACCAAACTCGCAGTATTTTCATACGAGCAGAATTATTTTAAAAGTTAGCATCGAATAGCATAATCGGAAAGTGTATAGTCATCAATATTATATAACATTGAGTGCTGTGTAAGTGTGATTTTGAATTATATAGAACTAACTGTACCTTGTTTTAGATGACAAGATTATTTTTAAGTGCAAGATGAACATGTGTAATAAGAGCTCTCAAGTATAGCAACCTCCAAAAAATATGAACTTTTTTTTGTTTACGCAAATCTCAAAATAAGTGAAATAAGTGAGGTTTACCTTTTAAGGTAAGACGTACTGCAAACTCCTTCGGGAATTTTTAACATCTGAAAACCGATCTCAAAAACCGAATTATGAGAAATGTCTTTAATGTAAAGTTAGTTGTATAGATTGATAACGAGATGAATAATTTAGGAATATGTACAGTACTAATGCTACACAAGAAAAACGCAGCTTGAAATGTCTGTCACATGGTTCTCGGGTAAGTACGGCAATACGTTTCTTTATACTAGCTATATTGGTGATTAAGAAGAGATTTAGGCCCAGGCCTACATCAAATAGATTGTACATGTACTATACACTGTGAGTCAGAAAATATTACAAAGTTATGTGGCTCGCTCCATTGAATAAAAAACAACAACATAGGAATAAAGTACCTGTTTCATATTGACTAATAACTTTGAAAAATTCACGCAATTGACATACTCTATTTACAAGCTATTTCCATTTTAATAGAAATTCCACAAAATTCAGCTGTCCACCAATATCATTTACCAAACGCATTGATGAACACATTTTTAAATACAAATTACAGCAAACGAAAATTTGCAAAGGAAAACAAACAAAACTCGCCATTTTCCTTTCAGAAAAAGATTGATTAATTTTTCATTATATCCTGTAGGCCTACAAAGCACAAATTTTGACAGTAAAAAAAATAATGTTTCAGTCTTGACTCAAATTAAATCGCATTCGATTTCGAATTAGAATTTGAATTTGAATAGCTGTGTGTAATCTCTGGTGCTCACCCCTACTTGAATAGCTTCAAAACATTTAGCATTTCACGGACAGCTGTAAAAGTGGGTTCTTTTAGTAAAACATGCATAATTTCTGATAGCTCATTGGGGAAAAAAATTCAGATGAGTGAAAGAACACGCTTGTTTTATACATGTTTCATTTGTATATCTTTTTTTTTTTTATTGTAGCCTAAGTACAGTGAAAACGAAAAATCTTTAATCTCAGCGGTCACTTTCTTTTTTGACTCGCTGTATTATCATCCCAGTGTAGGCCCACTGCACAAACATTACATTATTCTTTTTCTTTTAGGAATTTGGCCAAACGTGTACCTGTAATTTAGGTACCATACCATTTTTGCAGCTGTTTCAAAGCTGCGACTGTTACGCAATTTTTTTTTCAACGGAATTTTGTGATGTGTCTCTCTGCGTACCGCGTTATTATGCTAATATTATTGTTATCAACACGTGTGCGCGCATGCGCGGCTGGTTACCGCGCATCGCGTGTTCGTAGCGCCCTGCACGCGCCCTGTACGCGCACGTACGCCCGCGCATGTTTCCTTTATTTTTCGATTTTATTGAAAGCATCATTTCCACAACACGAGAAATACGGCGGAAAATTGTTTTTTAAAGTTAATGTCAAAGTAGATTCTCTTTTTGGTTCAGATTTCAACCGAGTCTTTTTCAACGGTGCAGTTGTACTGTAAAAGTTTCGGCCAATCAGGAACGGCGAAAAAATTATGTGTTGCTAGCTGAGCTTAGAGCTGCCAACTAACAACTCGTCGCCATTTGGTTGCTGTGTTTTCTGCATTATTCTGTAAACTACATAAAGACAAAGCGATCTGACTGCCGCCGGTTTCGCAGTCAAGCCAGCCAGACAGTCTTGGAAAAAGGGTAGGGATTCTGATCGTGTTTTGGACTTTGAAATTTCGCAAGGAAAACGTCACCGTGTCCTGCAACCATGGCGAAAAGCTTCGATGTATCGTCCTTCGTCAAGGATTTGATGGCGGGCGGGACGGCGGCTGCCATTTCTAAGACGGCTGTGGCGCCCATTGAACGTGTCAAACTTTTGCTCCAGGTTCGTAGCTTCTTGATATATCCTCCAATATTTGTACATGGGCCTAGGCCTAAATTTCACTTTTCTGAATTCAGAAAGTGGTTCAAGGTCAGGCAAATTTACACAAGAAAAAAATGAAGGAGTCCTTTCTTAGCCCAGGTTGGACGACGTCTTCATTGCATGTACGTGGGGAGATAAGGGAGTTCACTGGGCTGAGTCCTTTCTCAACGTTTTCTTCTTTGACTCTTTAAGTTATATATTTTCAGTGCGAATATAAGTCCTAAACTTTAAACACAACTCTCTTTTAATTAAATTTTGCCTAGGCCTAATTTAATAAAGATAAAGCATTTATTTTTATTTTCTCATTAAATCCTATCGTGACCAGCTAGGGTATGTTGGGTCTTCTCATGTCGGGGAGGGGGATATATTATTGTGCCAAAGCGGTCAATTTGCCGGAGCTTTTAGTTTTACAGAAAAATATTCGGCATACGGTGCAACCCCCCCTCCCTCCCCCCTCCATGGTCCTGGATGAGTTAAATATTTACATTTTCTTTTCCTTTTGGCAAATACAGGTTCAGGCTGCCTCCACACAGATCACAGCGGACCAACAGTACAAGGGCATCGTGGACTGCTTCAGTCGCGTGACCAAGGAGCAGGGTTTTCTCTCCCTCTGGCGGGGCAACCTGGCCAACGTCATCCGCTACTTCCCCACCCAGGCCCTCAACTTCGCCTTCAAGGTAAGGAGGTGACGTTTACAGGTTGAACCCTTAAAAATTAGAAAATTAGAAATCTGTTCACAAATTTGCCGAATTCCCCCGGTTGAACATGGAGGAATATCACTGTTTAATGCCTGACTGCCATACGAGCAATGCGCAAATACTCTGGCAGGTTTTGCTAAACCTTTACTTTTTACCAAAATAAAAGCGGATTTTCTTCTATACTTCAAGGACAAGTACAAGCAGATATTCCTGAGTGGGGTGAACAAGAAGACCCAGTTCGCACGCTACTTCGTCGGGAACCTGGCGTCTGGCGGTGCGGCCGGTGCTACCTCGCTGTGCTTCGTCTACCCGCTGGACTTCGCCAGGACTCGCCTGGCAGCCGACATCGGGAAAGCCGGCACCGGCAGCCGGCAGTTCAAGGGTCTGGGAGACTGCCTAACTAAGATCGTCAAGTCGGACGGTATCATCGGTCTGTACCGGGGCTTTGGGGTATCCGTCCAGGGGATCATCATCTACCGGGCTGCTTACTTCGGCACGTATGACACCGTGAAGGGATTGATTCCATCCCAGTACAACAACATCCTGGTGAGCTGGATGATCGCTCAGACGGTCACCACCGGCTCGGGTGTGGTCAGCTACCCCTTTGACACCGTGCGTCGCCGCATGATGATGCAGTCGGGACGTAAAGACGTCATGTACAAGAACACCATGGACTGCTGGAAGAAGATCTTCAAGCAGGAAGGACCGTCTGCCTTCTTCAAGGGAGCCTTCTCCAACGTTCTCAGGGGCACCGGCGGGGCTCTGGTGCTAGTGTTGTATGACGAGATCAAGGCACTCCTCTAAAGCTCCTGACAAATACCTCCCACCTGACATAATTATATATACCTTCCGCCCTTTTTTCAAATTTCTATAGTTTCATATTCCGATGATACATTCGTTACAAAAGTACGCTTTGTTTTAGATTGTAGAGCCCTACGTAACGCAGGCTTCAAGTATAATACATTTTGGGTTTTAAATTTCATAAAATAAATATTTTCAGGGCTGGTTTAACATTGTAAACATTAGAAATCTCGACCCATATTGGTTCAGGCTAAATGAATCAGTCCGTTATAATGTATTGTTTGAGTAATAAGAGAAAGCAATTGGTTTTACAAGAGATTTTGAAAGGCATCAACTGTTCAGGTTTTCAGCAAAAAAAATGACTCAGTGGGCAGAATAAATTTGAAACCCAACTCGCAGTATCAACCAAACGTGGCGTGATGTCATTTTGTGTACTGTGGAAATAGAAGAATTGAATGTTCCTCCTGGGGGTAAATTAAAAATGGAAGTTTCATTGTAATGATTGAAGAATAAGGATAATTAATTCTGAAAGACGTCTCAGCAAGTTGGCAGAAAAATGTCAACAGAGGACAAAATAATTGAATATCAGAAACATCCCGGATGTACGTGGCGGAATAGTGTCCCAAAACCTGGGGAATCGACTGGGATCGAGGGGAAGGTCGGGATGTGAGACGGCAGAAAGTGAATCGAAGCGAATACATTATTTTCCCGTAGCAAATGACTAAATAGAACATGTAGGCCTATTTCTTTATAATTCACACATGGTATTTGTGGCGCATATGCGCAAGGAAAATGTCGACAGTATATAATGTCAGGTACATTAGTTTCGACATGAATATTAGGCTTTGGGACGAAATTGGGCCTTCGGGTGCAGTGGAGCTAAGGGTAGTACCTCTGAAATAAAATGGGCAGCCGCACCCCTAGGTACGGTTGGCACTGTCCACTGGTCGGTCTGGTCCTCACACTGCACTCCACTCTTACGTCTATACCTTCAAGTCTGATATCACAGTGGGTAAGCCCCGGGCAACGACCCGGGCTGGTCGGTTATTGGCCATGTTCACAGTAATTATAATCACCGCAGATGACAGCTTTGATGCTGAGATCAGCGCTACAGCATCAAAGCTGCCTGTACACCATTTGCAAGGTTATACACCCTCGTCTCTGCATGGTCTCAGAGAGGCGCCCGTGCAGTTGTCCATGCCAACTTTCTCTATATAGGCTATACTTTGGAAACCCTTGCTCTCTACCTGCAGCAACAACCAGCGTCACATCTAAAAGTGAACCAGGCTCAAGCGCTCAATCCGTCATCTCAGTCTGTTTCAGTATCCTTGGCATAAATTGGCGCGACAGAGTTAGTTCCCAACATCGTGGTTCTTCAGCTTGCGCAATGTGTCCAACTTGCTCAAGATACATAGTATGGTCTGACCATGGTTGTGAGGATGGACGATTCCAGGCTCCCGCCCAAAGCTGTGCTGTATCATTCTGAACTTCAAAACCGGGAGAGAGACCCATTGGTCTTCCAAGCACCGCTTTAAGGACACATTAAAGAGAGGTATTTCGCAGTGACGTAACGATGTGGCAGCAGATCAACCTCAACGGCATAGCAGCTTCTGAGTCTCGCTGCGGCGGAAACCTCGGACCTCCCCTCCTCGGTCCTCGCCACTACAATCAAAAGCTCGTGTGCAGTGACAAATGCGAACGTGTTTGTTGTGCTCGTATTGGCCTGCGCGCGGTCATCGCTTCGGGGGTCAGACAAGTCGACCGTTGAGACAACTCGACTCGGGACAAGTCGACCGTTGAGATAACTCGACCGTTGAGACAACTCGCCCGTATGTGCGATAAATGGAAAGACAAGTCGACCGTTGAGACAAGTCGCCTCACATGTTTTGGGGATAGTACCGAGGATTTTGACGGCGGCTGATCGCCGTTTGGGAGTGATGATACATGAGTTTTTTGTTGTTGCATATAACAGAGCCGATATAGCGCAGCGTGATTGTCCGTGCAGATCGTTCGTTTTTTTTTTCAAGGCCACCGTGCGCGCATCCCCGGTCAACGTGACATCGTTTGTGCCGGGCCTGTGCGCCCATTTGCCGCGCCGGTCGACGTGCCCTCGTGCCGGGCCCGGCCCGGTCCTCGCGGCCGGGCGGGGCGCACCGGCCCGACGCGACGCCCTCTGTACATCGAGTATGCCCGCGCCGCACCCGTGATCGGTCTAGCCACAGATTTGTGCAACTTTTTCTGCTCCACGTGTATTCATTTCCATTAAGTCGAGCAGTCTCAACAGTCGAGTTGTCCCGAGTCGAGTTGTCTCAACGGTCGACCTGTCTCAACGGTCGAGTTGTCTCAACGGTCGACTTGTCCCGAGTCGAGTTGTCTCAACGGTCGACTTGTCTGACATTCATTGCTTCTCTCAACTGACCAGGAGCAAAAAATGGGTGTACCAGCGAAAGCAGAGATGGTTGCTGTGATCGATTTTGAGGCAGCTTATCCGACGGTACATGACTCTGCCCGGGGAGCTGAGATTGTGGTTTGAATGTTTCATTGGCCCGATGACAATAATAACGTAAAGCGCTTTGATCTTAAGACAAGATAAGTTTGCGGTAGCGCCATGTGAATAAATCTCTCGGTTCTTTTCAGAACCACACATACTCACAAAAGAGATTTATTCACATGGTGCTACCGCAAACTTATCTTGTCTTATAGTACTTTGCCACCATGCAAACCTTCAAATCTCCGCTTTGATCTTAGTTAAAATCGTTAGATATAAGTGTATCCATTATTATTATGAAGTAGATCCTTGTGGTGTTCCCAAATGGAACCAAATCTTGGCGTTGCGACAGGCGTATTAAACTATTATTCAAGTTCCTTAGTTTGTGCCTTTCAGACGTCCGTCGGGGAGAGGGGCGTTTGAAGTTGATTTTTTAATAGAAATATTGCGATTTGTTTTAGGGCACGGGGAACGCAAAAGACCGCAAATTAATCCTTTAGCAAGATGATGAGGAGTCAGTCAGTTATATTATATGGGATATGAATAGTACATGACCTTTGGCCCTGACTTTATCCCATTATAATTATCTACTCCTTAAAACCAAAAATTATGCAAGAAGGTTAATTCCAGAGTGATTTGTTACACATTTTAGAGACACTCAAAAACAAGTGGACAGCTGCTGGTAGTTTTGTATATTTCAGGATCATAAGCCAGCAGGGTTAATTAAAGAGTTTGAGAGGTGCCGCCCGTGTTATACAAATAACGCTATTTTTTACTGAGAGTGTGCACTGTACTGCATGCCCGAGCCACCCTCTGTAAAATAACACTGCGCCCTCTGTCGACCACATTATGGACTCCGCTTCGACTTCGCCCACATATCGCATGCGATTTGGATGAATCATGATCTAACAAACTGGGGATTACCGATTCTTGGTGAAGTTTCGCAAAATCGGTAGTTTTGGAGTGCGTCTGTGGTGACACTAACTTACACTTAATTTTTTGTTAAACGTGAGTATTTTTCAGTCCATGTCATAAAGTCAGACACAGGCGTATTTACAGGACAGGACTTTGTTGAAGTCAACGCTTTGCGGTTTGGCCCTCATCATTACCTACCCGGCCCCTAGAAGTTCGTCGTTTGCCAAGGAAAAGGACGTAGCCCAGCCACGCTTGAGATAATCGAGTTGAAAGGTTTTGTTCTCCCATTTCTAAATGAACAATCACATCAGGCTGAAATTTGGACTCATGAAAGTCGTTAATAATTGAAATAATATTGTGCATTTTTATTTCGAAATATTATTTTGAAGTTATTTAAATTTGTCTGCTTACGACCTTTTACCATGTTTACTGGCATATGACTGGGAACTCCATCTGCCTTAAATGTGAACTCGCCCTGCATTAAACTTGCCTTTTTTTTTAAGCGGCATGTTAAATCCTAACGTCCTTTTGCAGGGAACAAACTTGGCTTTGCATGTAGGCCTACCCATTTATTTTAAGTGGGACGTTAGCACGATTGGACATTTTTTTGTTACATTATGATTACACGCTTACGACCTTTTGCCTGGCACAAATAATAAAAAAACACCTTTTGTCTTTTGTTTACTGTTTATTACGTCAGAATGACGCAGCCCCATGAGACAATATGTATATATCAAATGAAAGATATTTCCAAGCTCTATCGATTACCTGTAAAACACGAATTTTGACCTTTTGACCCATTTTTCGCCCTTACCACCTTGTATGTTGCTACACAATTATTGTGTAGCATTGCTAGCAAGACCCATAGTTCTAGGGGTAATCATTACCCATGTTCCCAATGCTTACCTTCCCAATTCAACCAATGACATACGTGTTGTCCAAATGTCCTGCGCTCTACCAAAGTAGCCCCACAAATGTGGCCAATTTACTGGACTGCGTTTACATCAATAACTCAACAGGATCCATCAGTCTGGATGTACATGTAATGCCAACATGGCCAAGGGGGTGATTGGTGCTCATATGCAGTGCAGACATATACAGTGGAACATCGCTATAACGAACATCGTGGGATCCACAGAAATTGTTCATTATAGTGATCGTTCGGTATAGCGATTTTCACACATTTTTGGCGCCCTCTTTTGATCATTGTTATTGTGTAGTTGCATTTACAAACCATGTGTGGAGTCGCCAAACTTGTCCATTAATATTTTCAATTCCGTAGCAGAGCTTCACCAAGTACACCCTGGTAGTTACTGAAAAACGACTTCGAACACGTGCGACTTGGAGACAAGCCACACTTGGAACATGTGCAGGTACCCGAAAATGTAGAACTTTGTGAAGTTTTTACTTTCACTTTGTTTGTACTTGAAATTACACGAAAAATAGACGTCTGAAAAAGGGGGAACTACTTTCCTATCGCTTTAAAGAGGGTGAATGTACTTCTAAAGCGTAAATAAACTACAAACAAAGTCTAAATGTGAAAATAAAAACTTGACAAAGTTCTACATTTGTACATTTTCGGGACATGTTCCAAATATGGCCTTTATTTACAGAGGTAGTCCAGAAAATTGGCCACATTTATGGGGCTACTCCTGACGCTGTTATTTTGTCTTCTTAATCATCTCAATAAAGGTCAACAGAGGTGGCAGCAAGTCATTTTTTGCAAGTCCAAGTCAAGTCACAAGTCATTGTTTGCAAGTCCAAGTCAAGTCACAAGTCATTAGGTCTAGTCACAAGTCAAGTCACAAGTCATTAGGTCCAGTCACAAGTCAAGTCACAAGTCATTTGGTCTAAACACAAGTCAAGTCACAAGTATCTTTGTCCAAGAACACGTCAAGTTGCACATTATTTTGTCCAGTTGTAATAAGCTAAAAGAACCTGGCGTCAACTTACGAGTTATTTTGAACATGCCTCCTTAATTCCCCTCTTTCAATGTGTTGCAATTACTATTCTTGTAGTTTATCACATATCTGTCGGATATTAGCCCTTTGTATACTTTAATAAATTTACTTTACATTGTAGAAATAAATGTTGAGATAACATGAAAAAAACCCAACTTTGTATTGTTACCATGGAGCTTTAATACATGCAGACATGCCCGATCTGGAATTAGGGAAAATATACATTCTGTCTAGGGCAGATTTTCAAGTACTAGAGGCTAGAAGTTATTTAGATTCAATAGCCATATGAAGCAAGAGTTTGTACACAGCCCAGAATGACCGAAAATCTATTCGCGGTTAAGCCCCCCCCCCCCCCCCCCCCGGAAAAAAGTCACAGCGTGACTACTCACTGCTCATCGTGGGTTTTAAGGTGCCGCACGAAATTGCTCGTTGTGTTTGGGCCATCAGTGACAGTGGATCCACATATTTTACAAACAGCAGACCTAGCGTCTGACTTGGGTTGGTAGCAAGTCATTTTTTGCAATCCCAAGTCAAGTCACAAGTCATTGTTTGCAAGTCCAAGTCAAGTCACAAGTCAAAGCTGGTATTTACAAGTCAAGTCACAAGTCACAAAAATAGCGACTCGAGTCCGATTCGAGTCCAAGTCACATGACTCGAGTCAGCAACTCTGAAGGTCAATCATTGCAAATATGATGATAAATTAAAGTTGAAAGTATTTATAAAGTTGTTTTTTGTTCCGACTTGTAACCTACGACGAGTTTGTCGGTTACAATTGGCTGCCATCTTGTTTAGATCTCGGCTTCACGTGAACTAGATGGCAGCCAGTACTAAACCAACAAACTCCTCATAGGTTTCGCGTTGAAAACCCCCCAACTTTTTAACCCTAACTGAACTCAACCCATCCAAGTCCAACAGCAGGTGTTGTTGAAATCCGTTAGAATGGGTACAGTACCCCTAAACTGATGGTCTTTTACATTGGGTTTGGCATACCTCCAGAAACTAAGTCCAACAGTGTGTGTGTACAATTTCCCATGTGGGTGTTGGAATTTGCCTGGATGGGTATGGTTCCTAGTAAATTATGCTAGGGAGGGAGTTAGGGTTTAAAATTAACTATAATTGATACGCTGAAGATGTTCTCTGTCACTATTTCTACCATATAAAGATACTTCTGATGTTCAAAAACTATTTGTTGAGGCTGGGTTGACGCTTCTTGATGCCAGTTGACGCTTTTGTCCACGCATTTTAGTAGGACCACCTCTATGGGCTCCGTGCACAAGTACTCCTTCAATTAACGGCCAAAAAAAAGGAGAGTTGGGGGGAGACATCTATAGACTGGTTCCCCTTCCATCCACTGCGTATTTCAGATGGTCCAAAGTTATTGTGGGCAGGGATTAGTCTGGGACTCTGGGAGACCATCGCAAATTAAATTCAAACGTATTCGCGCGCCGACAATGCCTGCCGCTCATGTGAAGTCTCTGTGGCTAACTTTGGCAAATTCTTCCAACTTTGGTTGATATTGACATAGAGCCTACGTGTACATGTTTGTCTTGTTGGTGGGAGGGTGGCTATCTGATCTTCAGTGAAGGATGAAGGGGAGGGTGTGCATGGTGGGGAGAATTTCTAAATAAAATTTTGCAATTTTCAGATTTGCTCTTTCAAACACCATATTTGCAATTATTAAAAAAGTCAGAAAATGTGCTAAATATCTACAAATTTAATTCAATAATGTCAATTTTTTTAGGACTTTTGACATTCATTTGGCAAGCGTCGAATTGGAAGAATTTCTGGTATGGTATGCCTCCATTCTGTATCACAGAATGATAGTAGCCGTTTTCCAGTTGTTTTAAGATGATGTCGCTTCCTCAATGCTCAGCACTGATCAGTAATGTGCAGCACGGCGATGTGGTGCCTTGCAGCACAACTGTAACCAACGGCACTGATCTCCAGAGCATAAACCAGCATGCATATCACACAAATACCACCTCGTACCTCGACGATCCTTGCATACATATACAATGTACATGCAGGATACGTAGCTCGCTACATGTACATCAGGTCCTCGACTTTCTGTTCAACCGATTTTTGTGTGCGCCCGAAAGTTTGTGGTTATTTTTTAATAACAAGAGTGTCAGCAAGTCAAATTTAGGCAAGTCAGTCAAGTCAAGTCACAAGTCATTTTCCTTTCAAGTCAAGTCTAGTCTCAAGTAAAAAAAAAATAGTGAATCGAGTTGGACTCGAGTCCGAGTCAGGAACTCGAGTCAACAATACTGCCTTAGTGCCAAATTGTCGACGATGACAAGTGAAAAATGACACTGCTGCTTCAGTGAAAAACAATATGTAACTTGCCAAACACCATGAATTATAGAATTTACTAATCAGCGTCCAATTTGTGCGTGACCTCGCTAAGAGCAATGGCCATTGTGTCTGCGGTCATGGGCATTCGTTTGTGGCATGCTTTCGATTCCAGGGACCGGAAATTTTTAAAAATGGTGTCATTAGAATTACTTAAGAGAAGTCTTACTTTAAGTTGAAAGATTCATTTTTTGAATGAAACAACACCCTTGACTCGAAATTGACCAAAAGTAAAGAGGAGCATGTAAATAAAATCACTTCCGTGCAGTATCAAGCCCCTTAAAAATTACAAAATGTATGTTACATGAAACTTGAAAGTGTACAAATTGGCTATGCACATTGTACAGTATGTAAACGTCATGTGCAAATATTTTCCCATAGAGATTTGCATGTACCAGACTTTGGACCAAATTCACCTTGGACCAAGTCGATTGAGTTGACCTTTGACGTTTAAGCTTCTAAATTTCACAATGTCCCATTGCGGTGATCTGGTGATTAGACAGTAAAGATGGTCTAGTCCCATGGCAGTCCCACAGATGTTGACGTTAAAGGTATTATTTTGTGCAACATTTGCAAACATCAAAAAACAAACTACCAAATTATTTTAAAACTTACTTGACTGTAACTTTATGTAAGTGAATAATAATCTCAAGCATTCTGTAAAATCATGGCACCTTGTGTGCTGTCATTTTCAAGAAGAGTGGAATTTTTGTATCAATTTCCATCGATTGTCGGCCAACTATCGTTGGAAAAAAACCCGGACTTTTAAAAAAAATATTGCCCCGAATTTATCAAATTTAGTTAGTCCAATTTTTTTTTGCAATCAGTTTAATCCGTGAAAGGGTGCAAGCCAGCTACCGTAGTCTGGTTCCCTGACCTGACAATTCCTCGATGTCTATAAATTGCTGTTTTGTCTGAAGTAGGGTCAGACTACATGTACAAGGGAACCAGACAAGAAGAACAACATTTTTTCTTGTTCTTTTTTGTAGCATCTGCCTGTATGAAAGCAAAAAAACTTTAACCATGTCAGTGTAACAATAATTGGCAAAAAAATACTATAACCCCCAAATCCTTTCATTTCTGAAAATGACAGCAAAAGCAAATGTTGTACACATTATACACATTACCCAGTGCCTGTTACCTTTAACTTTTCGAAACTGACTGACAAAATGTTGTAGCCTATTGTACTCAAACTTTCTGTGTTCTCTGAAGTAATTAGATGGGTCGGTATGATATATAGTAGTGCAATTAAAATTGTGATGTGTTTCAAGAGAGATTATGCACATGATGTACAATGTTTATCTCCCCCCCCCCACCCCACCCACCATGCCAACATCACAGAACTGCAACGTGTTTCAGTCTGTGCACAAGTCTGATGCCTTACAAAGTCAGAGGGAAGCATGTGACAGATATGTCGTGATTGATATTTACATAGAATGAATGATCATTTCACCTTTGATCCCAAGTGGGTCCAGGGGTCATAAGAGGAGCCTGGGGTCATTAAACAATATAGATACCGGTACATGTACCCAGACTGCTGTGTATCATGTGTGTATCACGTCGATGGCTTCCTGTGGTATACATGTACGTTCGTATAGGCCAATATACGATCATACACAACCAGTGCTGTCTTTAGAGTTTAGGTACATGTAGATACATAGCACTTTAGATTGGCTTTGACTTTGTCCACCATGCAGTGCAGTGTATGTTCACATTCCAAGGTATTTTTATTTTATTTATTTATTTTTTTGCTACATGTAATTTGTAAAGTATTTGGAATGATGCTGTTTAACTGTTAACCTGCTAATGAATACACACGGTTGGGACTGAAATTGATCTTTAAATATCTGCTCAGATTTTTTTCAAATTGCTGCACTGCATGCCTCACGTAGATATACTGCCTAAAACACTGTCAATCATGTATGTTTAAAATGTTCAGTATGCGACTGTACACTTGATGATCTGTTCTGTGCACTGTGCAGACGTGCATTTCTCAATTCATCTACAAATGTCTATGGCTGGTTGAAATGTCAAGTACAGTACATACAGGTGCATGTACATTGCAGCTCTGAATTTTTGTTCCGTTTGTACATTTTGTAACCGTAGACAGCTACATGGGGCTTAAAAGTCTACATGAACTTGTACACAGTTTGCGTGGGAATGCCATACCAGCACATGCACTGGTATGTTTGATTTTGAGCATTAGTTCTGCTTACAACTTGTTTTTAGAAACTATTCAGTTTGTGCTTTGGAGACCATTGTGTCAAGGCCGTAGGTAGTCGGGCTGCCCAACGAATGAAATTTAATGAACTGGAACCTTGGCCATGAGCCAGATACATGTACGTGTGTCAAGGCTTTGACTAATTCTGTAGTTTACCTGTGTGCTATTTGGAAGCTAATTTTTATGTGTAATTTGTTTCTATTCAGATAATGAGTCTGCTTTGATGTATTGTCGGACCTTGTTTAGTCTGTCGCACTCCTGAGCCTGACATCATCCATCATGGGGATGGTGAGCAGTTGCTGCGGCCGGCGGCCCAACAAAAGTCGTCTCCACAGCCACAGTGAGAGGGCAGATTACAAGAAGGGCAAACGACTCGTCAGCGCCTCCTACAACGCTCAGGAATTCGACATGACCTTTGACCAGATGAATATTAATGAAGCCTCCGAGGAGGAGCTGATGACCTTACAAGGAGTCACGCGAAACATCGCCAAGAACATCATCTCTTACAGACACCACATAGGGGGCTTCCGAAAACCAGAAGACTTGGTGTTAGTGTCGGGCGTGGGCGCCACAAAACTGGAAGCCTTCCGGACGGAAGTCTACTGCGGCCCTTACGCTGTGACCTCCCACATCGACAAGGTTCCGAGCCGGACGTCCTACCACCGGGTCAACTCGAAGGTTTCATTTGAGAACAAAGTCAACGTGAACACGGCCGCGGTCCCCGCGCTTGCCAAAGTCCTGAGCATTGGCCACGAGTTTGCTGAGATTATTGTGAGGCACCGAGAGGAGCACGGACCCTTCACGTTGATCACGGACGTGGGCAAGATCCCCGAGATCGGCTCGTACCGGTTTGAGCTCATGCGCAACCACCTCACAGTCGGCGAAAGCTCAGAGAGCACCGTGTCCACTCCCTCGTTTCTGGAAATGCGTAAGTTGTTGCACTCGGAAGAAGAGGATGTTAGTGGAAGTGAGGTTCAAACTTCAAAGTCCTCTCGGAATTCCCCAAGGAAACTCGCAAGTCAGGCAACACAGACTGACCAGATCTTCTTGCCACTGATCATGACCTCCGTGGAGGCCTGGGCTCGGCCAGTCGTTGACCTTCCATCAGACAATGATAGCAACAAGAGGAGCACAGTCCGAACTGGCACGTGGAACCTTCAGCAATTTAGCAGAGAAAAGGCTGAAAACCTCGGTGTAAAAGAAGTCATCTGTATGACCATATTAGAAAATAGGTAAACATTTTGTGGATTTATTTAAAGGCTTGACATGTATACATGTAAGAAGAAGAGAAGAAAAACATTGCATTCTTACAGTGAGTGTTAAGCTGGCCTCAGGTCGACCTGCGAGAATAATAATGCTCAAGTCCCAAAACTGAAAAATTGTGTGATTATCACAGAACAAGCGGCATCTCGCCACAGAATAATCAATGACGATTCGCAGTAAAATTAGATGATCTGGATGAATGCATGGCATCGTAACTTCACACAGGTCGACTGCAATCGTTTCCCGCTGGTCGGGAATATGTTCCGTCGTAGTGCAGAAGTTGGAATTTTTCTACTCTCGTGACTTTATTTGTTGTTAATAGCGCCAACTGCTGCCGATCGTCTATAGCAGTACCACTCAGGTCGCAAAAAATCTGCAACTGAAATGTTCCCCTCAGTTTTAGCTCAGGCACAGCTTGATCCTGAAAAGTCGGTCACCGACTGTTCTGTGTTGTCCCAAAGTCGACCTGAGGGTGGCTTAAAAGGTAGCATCATACATGTAGCATGTGACTTATAATTTGGTCCACAACACAAATTCTTGAAAAAAAAATCTTCCCCTTTTTTAAAATCAAAAGGGTCTTGTTACATACATGTAGGTACAATGTATACATTTGTAATTGTATGCACACATGTACAGTTGTACTCTGTGTGAATGTGCATGTGAATCAGACCATTGTTAAATCTTGTAGTTTTGGCTTGTGTTTTTCTTACTAGCATTTTTTCAAAACTTTTCTGCTAACTGTTTAGCAGCATCAAGAAATACAAGGTACGGACATGTACATGTATGGCCCCGCTAATTTTTAGTATTAAAAATATTTTGATGTCTTCTTTCCAGGCTGAGTGTGCTGGCCGTGCAAGAAATAGCAGACAAGGATGCCTTAGCTGTTGTAAGTAAACACTTTAGGCTTAAAAAAAGTCATAAATTTAAAATCATGTTGAATATAATAAACAAGACGCACAAAATCGGTTACTCACATTACGAAAATGTAACGTGAGTAACCGATTTTGTGCATCTTGTTCATAGTACATAACACATTTTTCTGGATGTCATCTTTGGTGCTTAGGTAGGTCTAGGTCTACTCTATCTACCATGGGAATAACAGTTATTAAACCTTTTCAGTAAGGTAATAACAGCCCAAGGAAACTCAAAAGTACAACAAAAATGTAACTTGAGTAACCGTGGAATTGCCCATAAGGCTTCAATATTAAACAGCAAGAGCACTCGTACACTTAAAAAATTTCACAAACAAGATTGTATCCAAAGGGTGCAGGGATCTTATTTGTATTTTCTGTATGATATACATTTCAGTTTTCATGTACATTTGTACACATGTGAATCATGTAGGCCTATACGGTAATGAAAGGTTTGCGGAAACACCATGTGCGAATAATTTCTCAACTAAGAGAATGGTTCTGAGAAGAACCAGAGGTATACGGTGTATACGGTGCACATTGGGCCCTACAGCGATCTCGATCAGACCTTCTGTCATTGTCAGTTGTTCCATATTGGCACCAAACCGAAGTATCGAATTATGAAAGATTTGAATTGATTTGAACGTTTGACATTTGGTTCAGTAAGAGATCAGTTGTTCTGCATGTATTTTGAAAGATCTTTCGAACTGATGCAGTCATTCGGAACAATACAAAAAAAGTCCATAAAAAAAATCCATGAAATGTTTGAATTGACTGTGACAAAAGTTTGACATTTGATTCAGTAAGGTTCAACTACATGTGCATGTAGATCTTTTTTACTGATCAATGCAATCATTCGGAACGATACAAAAAAAACCCTAGAAATGTGTTTGTGGACAAACACAAGCTGTTTCGGATATTTGAAATACTCTGTGCACCGATGAGCAATTAGTGACGTCACTACAAATGTCTTATAACAGCACATTATACGTACATGTCAAGTTTCAACAAAATAGAACATTATAGTTCTGTACATACAGTCCTATAACAGAATAAAATGCCCCTTTAAGGGATGTCACATGACATTTGATGATCATGTCGCTTCAATTTCCATCTATAACACATCCCTGTTGATGTGCATACAAGTTTTAACCCAATCGCACTTGTACTTCCAACGTTATAGCGATTTGAAAAAAATGCACATTTATTGTCACGTCACATGACACATGATGACGTCATCGTTACGAAGACCATCTTCGGCTGCTGGTCTTAGCGTCTGACAAGTGTAAAGTCAATCTGACGTATAGAAGTGCAAAAGTGAATGGTTTGAAGAAAAACGTGTACAAAACCAATAGAGAAAGAATGCATCTTTAATGTGACGTAACCTGACACCTCATGACGTCATGATCCAAAATTTCTTCTAGGACCATATTTTGGTGGTAGTCTAAGTGTGTACCAAGTGAAACGTCGATCGGATTTACGAAAGTGCCAAAAAGTGGAGTGTTTATTAAAACGTGTACAAACCCTATGGGAAATGCATCTTTAATGTGTCGTTACCTGACACCTGATGACGTCACGATCACAAATTTCTTCGAGGATCATCTGTGGATGATGGTCTAAGCGTGTACCAAGTCCAAAGTTGATCAGATTTACGAAAATACCAAAGTGGAGTGTTTTTAAAACGTGTACAAACCCTATGGGGAAAAATGTAAATAATGTGATGTAACCTGACACCTGATGACCTCAGGATCACAAATTTCTTTTAGGACCATCTGTGGGTGGTGGTCTAAGTATGAATTAAGTTTAAAGTCGATCGGATTTACGAAGATGCCGAACTGGAGTGTTTTAAAACGTGTACAAAACATATGGGGAAAAATGCATCTTTAATGTGACGTAACCCGACACCTTATGACGCCACGATCACAAATTTCTTCTAGGACCATCTGTGGGTGGTGTTCTAAATATGTGCCAAGTCTGAAATCAATCGGATTAATTTCACAGGGAGTTTAATTCCCTTACTATCTTCCAACCAAGTATGTCTTTCAACAATAATTACGTCCGAGTTACTTTTTGGATAGCTGCAAATGATGGATGGACTATAGCTTTAAAGGTCTATTGTAAAGTCGTCTGATAATCAACAGAGCACATGTACACAAAGTTTGAGTTGACACCAGGTTCACTTCATAAAAAGTCCACTTTCGCTTACAATACCCTTGTCATTGTCACATGATGGTTGATTTATGATATTTTTATGACGAGTCAGAGTGTACAGGTACATGTATACCGTGGGAAAAGTGAGGGTACATGTACGTGAACTTGAAGAACCGCTTTTGAGACACTGTGCATTCTACAAATGTGTACAGTAACACATACACTGTAGATAAATACCGACCGAGCACATATTTATTCCCATTCATAAATACCTTATCCGTAAAAAAATATCAAATAATTCGTTCAAAAAATCCCGATTTTGTTCAACAAGTTCACTTCATGCTTTTTGAAACATCCCTCTAGCAAAATAATGGAGTGTTCAGGTGGCGAGTAAGATGTAAACAACCCTTTTATGGAGATTGACGCGCGCGTAACATGTTCTGCGCGATGTCACGCAGAACGCACCTGTGGCGTTGCGTTTTGAATTTAGAACTATAAAATTCTAACTCGCTTGTAGTGTTGCGCATGCCTACGTGAGGATTGTGAACGTTCAACCAATGAAACGGTAAGAGGCACTGGATTTTTAGGAGTCCACATTTTATTGTGACACTGGAAAAGTGTTTAAGACCAGCTAGCCATGTCTTTATTATCCGTTTAAGACCGGCCACGTGACGGGCTCTCGACCAATAGGAATGGCTAAACTGTCTGAGGTATTTATGAATAATTGTTTTCTCTCAACAACTTTCTTGATGCCTGGGCCCAATTTCATGGCGCTGATAAGCACATGATTTTCTGCTAATAGAGCCTTCGTCTATTTCATGGAGACCATAAGCAGTAAGCACAGCAAAAGGCACGCTTAAGACCAGAGGACAAACTTGCTTAAAAGTCAGTGACGTTTAACAATAGAAATGTCCAGCGCAATTGCCAGTACGTACATCCACACCATTAAGCACCGTCGTTTTTACTCGATTGTTCTATGGTAGTTTGATATCGATTCTCATATTTAACATATTGATATATCGAAATTTTCGATATTGGGGAATGATATCATTAATGTGTCAGATTATCGTCAAAATAAATCTCCCGTTTGTGCTTTTACTTTGTGTTTTACGCTTGCTGTATAACATGTATAATGAAATAAAACTCGGTGGCAACTTGTGCTTGTGACTCAAAATAAAAAAATTGCGAAATGTCAAGCGGCATGGCCTTGTGCTCTGCATTCGCTGGAATTTGCGGTCTCCCCCATTGTAAAACCTGAAAAGAAACCGCCCACTCTAGACTAACTGTCAGTGCTGCAATTTGTTTTAAAACGTTTGAGTCGAGGTACAGGTCACGTTGTCTGCTGAACTGCAAAAATATATGGAACCAATGTGCACATGCACAGTACAGTTTTTAGCTAGTACAAAAGTATGTTTACATGTAAATGTACACATGCACACACAAGGGCGAATCCAGAACACAATTTTGGGGGGGGGGGGGGGCCAAAACAATTTTTGGTCCCCCCAAAAAGTGGGTCAAAAAAATACGGCGTGGGGTTCGGGGCCCGCTTAAGGGCCCCGAAAAATGTTTGGGTTCTAGATGCTCTGTGGTGCGATCTGAGGCAATTTCTGACCACTTTAACCAATGGTTTTTTGAGGAAAAGATGGTGGTGTACTCATTGCCTGCCTTTATTGCGATGTCAAATAAAAAAATTTAAAAAATTGGTTTCGTTTTGGGGGGGGCCATGGCCCCCTTTGCCCCCCCCCCCCCTGGATCCGCCCTTGTGCACACATGTATGTAATGTATTACATTTATGTACGCATGTATACCAGCAGAAAAACCAAAAAAACAAAAAAACAAATCGGAACATTTTCATTTGCAGTTGCACCTACATGCCTAAAGTCAAACTTTTGCTGTGGTGCAAAGATGAGGATTGTGAAATGATTTATTTCAAGCTGATAAAAGAATACCTTTGCCCTCACAACGATTTGTTTATCGTTGTCTGTCAATACCGCTTGAAGTATGCAAAGATGCTTGTCCTCCTGGGTCAGATAAAGTAATTCAACTCGTTCGACGACGAATATGGATTTGCGAATTACCAAGGCCATAAAATAGTCTGTTGGATTTTGATTGTCTGACAGCAGGCGGTTGTCAAAAAATTAATTGCAATGTTGAGAGTACATTGTACATGTACATGTACATGTAATGCAACTTTATTATTTGTCGCTTGAATGCTCAAGCTAATGGCTCACATTTGCAGTCTCGTCTCATGGTATCTGAAAATACTAAGTACATGTAAAACATGTTCTATGCACTAATGTCAGTTAGATAAAGTATGTACTTGTATGCAATTCCACACTAATGGGCCAATTAGATAAGTTTAGATGGATGTTGCATATTAAGGGTAAAAAATGAGCTAGTATTTTCCTCAGTTTTTCCTATACCTTGCTAAGTTGAAAGTTACTAGGACAAGAAAATACAAGAGATGATATCTTTTTTATTTGAGAAAAAAACAGGAAAAGGGTGCTTAGGACAAATTCAGTTTCTATAATAGGCACTTCCAATGACATTATTAAGCCATTTTACATTGTTATCAAGTTAAAATATAACAGTTTTCACACTGGCTTCAAATTTATGATGTGATTAGAGTTACGTATGAACAGGGACAGACATTTTGTGACAAATGTCCAGTCTGTTCGTCCGTATATATCCTGATTATAAAATATCAAATAATTCTTCACATTAACTCTTTGAGTTTTCTAGGTTTTGACTGATAGCATTCCTCCAGGGTACATCTTCTTAAATAAGTCAATATTAGGGGATCATTAAATTTTATGCTTACTTTGTGACCTTATCTAAAATGTCTGTCCTTCGTTACGTACTTAACACTTTTTAAAACAACACCACTTTATTTTCTAAAATACAAAACCAGTTATATAATTTGCTGGTGAGGATATGTGTTCGAAGCTTGCAATGTTTACAGCAAAAATTAAGAGACCAAGATCCTAGTTTTATCATCAAAACTTAAAGGTCTTCTCAAATGTCACACTTTTGGGCCCATTAGTGTGGAATTTCCCATGTACATCGTGAACAATGTACATAAATTTTTGTCATGCAGCTGCTGGTATTCCATCATCCATTCATGTATTCAAAACCTCAGAAGTCTAAATTGTATTCTTCTTTTTATTGTAAATTTATCTTACACTTTCATTGGTCATTAAAACCACAAGTTACATTTACTACATACATACCGGTACTAAAAAGATAGAGCTTTAAAATAACAAATATGGAACTTTCATACTTATTTTTGCTTGTCCTTTTGATGAGGGCACTCGGCCAATAAACAAGATTTTTCCATGATGTACCTGTGACTGACAGTGTTTTAGGCAGTACATGTACGTGTGAGCCATGCAGTGCAGCGATTAGAAAAAAATCAGAGCAGATAGTTGAAGATCAGTTTTGATTCCCAACCTGTGTTTTATGATGTACGGTACCTGCAACTTTTAAGAGCAGCAAAAACACCCAAACTCAAGGCATTTGATGCATGTTTAGCACGTTTAGAGATTACTACACAATGTCGATTCACTTCATAAAGTATATACTTGAGTTTTCAAGTTCATGCACATGGTATTGAGACTACCAGCAAATTGCTGTTAATAATATTGATGTACATGTTGTTTTTTGTTGATATTTTTTTTGCGATGGGGAAGGGCCAGTAAGTGTTTTTGCGCTGCATGTAATTTCCATATTGTGATATAACTAAAAGGTACAGTGATAGCTTGCGGGGGAGATACATGTACGCCATGTTTAAATTTATTTTCTGAAAATAAAAAATATAAAAAAAAACCCACAAACCGGGGCCATGCATGGCCCTGTTGTAATTGGTCCCCCCCCCCCATGTCCATCATTGCATACACATGGAGTGTCATGGCCAAGCGGTTAAGAGCACCGGACACATGCTCTGGTGTTTCAGAGGGAACAGTGACGTGGGTTCGAGCCCGCCGGCGGACACTTGTGCCCTTAAGCATGGCACTTAACCATTATTACTTCGTCCTTCGGATGGGACGTTAAGCCGGAGGTCCCGTGTGTTGTATAAGGCCTAACACACGTAAAAGAACCCAGTAACACTTCTTGCTAAGAGAAGGGGTTTTCCAAGGTGTTTCTGGCCTCTTAGTTACACTCCTTTGTGGAAGTCCTTAGGAGAAGAATATAATATAATAATAAAAAGATACTTATAAAGCGCCAAATTGCCATAATGGCCTTAAAGCGCTAAATACAAAGATAAAAAATAATTACCAAAATACAACAATTACAATACAGAGGGTTCCCGTAGAAAAAAAAATTAAAAAGACAATTACAAAAATATGTAAAAGGCAGTTTAAAAAAAAATTAAAAATCTGGACCAGTCAGTGAAAATTTGATTCAATTCTACATTAACAGTTAAAAGGAAATTATGTTCAATTAACCCTAACTGAACTCAACCCATCAAAGTCCAGCAGCAGGTTTTGTTGGAATCTGTTGGGATGGTCTTTTACATTGGGTTTGGCATACCTCCAGAAGCTAAGTCCAACAGTGTGTGTGTACAGTTTCCCATTTGGTGTTGGAATTTGCCAGAATGGGTATGGTTCCTAGTAAATTATGCTGGGGAGTTAGAGTTAATTAAAATAATTTTGCCTAAAAAGGTAGGTCTTCAAAAGAACCAACCAAGTGCCAAGTACAATGTACACCATGCATGTACAATGGCATACATTATGTTCATGTTCCTGGCAGTAAATGAGACTGTAAACATGGCCTAATTACCCTGTGTGTTGATGCAGACAAGGCTGTTTGTTTTGATTACAAACATTCATCTTGTCAACAGTTAATCCTTTTCAAATCTGATGTATCCCTGTGGCCTCTCCTATTCTGAAAAAAATAATAATATTGAATTCTAATTAATCAGATAAGTGATTGTTATCATAATGTTGGTTTAAACTTTGAGCAGAAGTTCCTCAGCATTAGACAATGCTTCATGTGGTACGTGTGTATAGGAACATAATAGCGCACGTTGGTTGGGAATTGGCAAATGTGGCAAAGTTCATGGGTAGTGTGACTGTGAATTGAAACGCAAAGGTCATGGAAAGTCCGTTGCCACTGGTAAAAACCTCACAAAAACCTTATCAGGAGCCAGACCTACTGGTACATTTACAACATGTACACATGGCTGAACACATACATGTGTACACATACGTAAATGTTCAATGCATGCACACACACCTCTTTGAGAGAGTGACTCTTCAGAATGTTTTTCTTTTGCAATTTGAGTTACTTTATGTAATCATTTTTTAAATGACAACCTTGTGTTAGTAATAAGAGTACGGTACGTTGTTCGTATGTATGTACATGTTTACATACGATACACCCACACATGTATGTATAAATTTACATACAATGTACACACCGGTACATGTACACCAATGAATAGCTATGGTGGGGGGGGGGGGGGGGGAGGCCAGGTTGTAACTTATATACAGGAGCCACTTTTGCTCTCATAACATCCCTGTTACACCTGCCCTGTGTACTTTACCATTCAAGTATCACTTACATTGTAAGTTGACTTTAACCTAGATTTTGTAGGTCTTTTGCTTTACATGTACATTTGTACATACTCACTGTTGGATAAAACTAGAATGCATTAAAGAATGTGTCTTGAATTTACAAATAAATCTTATGTCAGATGTAACAGGGACATGATTGGACTCCAAATGTTTGGAATGACCCATGTACATGTACGTACTGCTCAAGAACACGAACAGTAAATGTCGCGGAGAGGTGAAGCCTTGCCCCAACCATATTATAAATTATATGCAAGAGGCTCTACTATATTCAAAGTTTATTTTATAATTTAAAAGGTGGATTTGGATGTATGGAACATGTCTGCATCTTTGCTGGTTTTCAACTGTATATCTTAAAGTCCGCTTCCTCTTTTTATATTTGAACCAGGAAAGTTACTGACTTGTTATGTGTACATGTATGTTCCGAAATTCTTTCGTAACACCACACTATTCATTGTCTTATGTCTGTGGTATAATCTTGCCTGGTTTGCAGATATGCGCAGAGTTGAATGACCCAACGTTGGCCGTTGTACGGAATTGGCCGAGTCCCAGGGGCATCTGGAAATGTGTGACATCAGAATCGGCAGGGAGGATGTTCCAGGTATTTATGTATTCATTTATTTATTCCGTTTCTTTAGCCAGGTTATGCTCAAACAGTTTAAAACTGGTTTCCCTTGGGACCCTGCATACATTTTAAATTATTCATAAATACCTAAGACAGTTTACCCATTCCTATTGATCGAGAGCTTGTCTGACGTGGCCAGTTTTAAACGGATGTTAAAGACATGGCTAGCTGGTCTTAAACACTTTTCCAGTGTAACATGAAATTTTGACTCCTAAAAATCCAGTGCCTCTTTTACCGTTTTATTGGTTAAACGTTCACAATCCTCACCTAGGCATGCACAATACTACCAATGAGTCAGTATTTTGTAGTCCTAAATTCACAACGCAACGCCCTTGGTGCATTCTGCGCGACATCGGGCAGTACGTGCGACGTGCGCGCCAATCTCTATAAAAGGAGCTGTTTCCATCTTACTCGCGAGCTGGAGACTCCATTATTTAGCTGGAGGGTTGTTTAAAAAAACATGAAGTGAACTTGTTGAAACAATCAGGGTTTTTGACCGAAAAGTTCAGATTTTTGTGACCGAAAAGGTATTTATGAATGGGAATGAATATGTGCTTGGTCGGTATTAATCACTCTGTTTAAGACCGCTTGGAGTCTGGTTGCTGATAATTACCCTCGCCGAAAATTATCAGCACCCAGACTCCAAGCGGTCTTAGACAGAGTGATTAAAACCTCCCAAGCACACATTTATTCCCTTATGAAATAATGTTAAGCAAAGACTCTTGGTGAATCAGACGACGAACATTAATATTTACAAATACAAGTATTTCACAAATATTACAGAAATATAGCTATATATACACAATGCAAGTTTGTTTTAAACATTCAAGTATAAGGAATGAATTACTGATTACGGGATGGGTGAATTCCCCACAAAAAGCCTTTTGTGAAATTTTTTTTTTAAAAATCGGTGATTCAACGACTGTTTTGTGACCAAACGAAATCATACACAAACAGCCGTCATAAATGCTGTTATTATCCTCGTCCAAGATATTTAAATTACTTAAAACATTGCTCTGATATGCTAATTTCCGTGAAATCGATCATGTATGTAAGTTTATTGTGCAGCTGCGCAACAAATTTGTTGCGTAAGTCCAGTGCATGACGCAAGTCATGCAATGTTTCGTGAAATCGGCTGCTGGATTTTCATTCAGGGTGACAGAAATTTAAAATGATGGCTTTAGACAAAGCTAACGGTAGAGACATTTTTTTAAGGAAAGTTTAAATGATTATTGTCTTCCATATGGCGCATTGTAGTTTTCCAGAGTGGTGCACTTTTATTCAGCATGGGAGCCTGGTGATCAAGACCTCCAAATAGATTCCAAATAAGGGGTGCCAACTGAGTGACCAGAGGGGGTGGGGGAGGGGGTGAGGGAGAGACCATGACACTGAATGACATGAATAGGAGAGTTGCAATGAAGTTATCATTAGCTAAGTCATTGCAAGTCAACCAGTAAAGGATATATTCCTGTTAACTGTGACCTTACTTATAAATTGACTTATAATTTGTCTTGTACAAATGTAAAATGATTCGTGATTGACCTGATCACACATCAGAGACTCCCAATCTATCCACATTTTCAAGAAGCTTCTCGAAACCCATCTCTTTGCTCTATGGACTCCTTCACAAGTACCCCATCAACGGCCAGAAAAGGAGAGTTGGGGGTGACCTAGACTGGTTCCCGATCAATCCACTGCGTATTTCGAATGTATCCAAAGTTATTGGAGGCAGGGATTAGTCTCGGAGACCATCACAAGTTGAATTCGAACGTATTCGCGCGCATGTGACGCCTGACGCTCACGTGAAGACGCGATGGCTATAGCTTTTGCACATTCAGGAAGTCGTGCGTACTTCATGCGCGAACCAGTACGGTGCAGTGTATGCGCACGCTGTGTGTCCCGTCCACGGAGCTCTCAAAAGAGGTAAAAACCGCCCTCTTTTGTTGGCGCACGGAGCCCATACCACTAGCTCTTCTTGATTGTTTCTTCGCTGTCAAGCACTTTGATCTTGCAAAAAGCGCTATAGAAATCTCCAGTTTTTTATGACAATGCGATCACTTTTTGGTTATCATAATCGAAAGGCAACTTCAGGTCATCTCCCATTGTGGGTAAAAATTATTTGTTATACAAAAGTTTCAGATTAAAAGTTAAAAAGTTTAATTATTTTCTTCAACGTGCCAGGGTGTGGAGTACAACGGTTTCCTGTGGAACACATCGGACGGCGTGACCCTCACAGAATCGGCACTTCTGCAGTCTCCCAAGCGAAGCACCAACGGCAAGAGGCACTTTGCCCGCAAACCCTTCCTGGGTTACTTCAAGCTCCAGGAACTGGACGTGGTTCTCATCTCAGTTCACCTGAAATTCCCCGGGCTGAACAACAACTCAAGAGACAAGCTAGAGGTATATCAGAATACAGAAAATGTGTTTCTCAAATTCTTTTTTCCCCCCTTCTTTATCATGGAAAAGCCTCCAAAACTCCTGGTAATCGTTGAAGGACCTGGGTAAGGTTTCCTTTTACATTTACATTGTATTTTGGGCTTGATCATCAATCAATGTTATCTTCCGATTCTTGATACACCATGTTGGGGAAGCTACCGGTACTTTTATGTTGTTTTTTTAACTGGACAAGATTATTTATTGGCACCAATGATTCTGTTCTATTTGCAGGAAGAAATCAGTCAGTTATCACTCCTTAACGATGCCCTAGAAGAGCAACTACCAGGTGAGGTTGAATGGTTCAGTCAGAAAGAAATTAATCACTCTGTTTTAAAATGTGGTATCAAAAAAATAATTGTGACAGCAGATTTGTAGTGCGCGCATAAGGTACATGTACATGTATGTGGCTTGAAACATTGAGTCCTGACCAGAGTGACTTACGACTGGATCAGAGTGACTTGAGACTTAACCAGAATGACTTCAGACTTGACCAGAGTGACTTCAGACTTAACCAGAGTGACTTCAGACTTAACCAGAGTGACTTCAGACTTAACCAGAGTGACTTGAGACTTGACGAGAGTGACTTGAGACCTGACGAGAGTGACTTGAGACTTGACCAGAATGACTTCAGATTTGATCAGAGTGACTTGAGATTTGACCAGAGTGACTTGAGACCTGACGAGAGTGACTTGAGACTTGACCAGAGTGACTTGAGACTTGACCAGAGTGACTTGAGACCTGACCAGAGTGACTTGAGACTTGACCAGAGTGACTTGAGACCTGACCAGAGTGACTTGAGACTTGACGAGAGTGACTTGAGACCTGACGAGAGTGACTTGAGACTTTGACCAAAGTGACTTGAGACAGTACCAGAGTGACTTGAGACTTGACCAGAGTGACTTGAGACCTGACCAGAGTGAGTTGAGACTGGAACGGAGTGACTTGAGACTTGACCAGAGTGACTTGAGACTGGACCAGAGTGACTTGAGACCTGACCAGAGTGACTTGAGACTGGAACGGAGTGACTTGAGACTTGACCAGAGTGACTTCAGACCTGACGAGGGTGACTTGAGACTTGGCCAAAGTGACTTGACATTTGATCAAAGTGACTAAGGACTTGAGACTCAAATGTGACCTGAGACTTAACCAGAATTGAATTGTGATGGGACTTCAGTGACCAGTGTTTCTTTAAACTGAATCAACAAGTTTAAACCAATTTTTTCCCAATAGATGAGAATGACATTCTGATCGTGGGAGACTTCAACAGCGCCCCCTCTGCCCCCGACTTCAAGGCTCTCACGACAGCTGGGTTCAGCTACGCCATCGCAGAGGACCGCTTCACCAACATCAGTACCAAGAACCCAGAGGGATCACATTGCTATGACAACGCATGGTTCAGCAAAAGCTTACACAAGATCCACACTGGTGAGACTGCCTGTCCTATTTCCTTTGCACCATTGTGTACCATCGACTTTGTGCATGGGGGCTCTTGACGTGACGTCATATCCGTTCATGTTTAATCCGGTTCATTAGTAATTTTGTCATACACGCATGCGCACCACTGATAACTAGTGCCCATTGGATAAACGCTTGAGTTGCGTTAACTTTCGTTTCCATTCATGCTATGCTATACCGTGTGAAGTACAAGAGATGACATCACACTAATGAACCGGATAATGAATAATCACTCAACTTTCTGATGGGAAGGGGGAATTCTGCTTCAGATATTGGAAATACGATAACCAATTGTTATGAAAGTTGGTGTGGTAGGAGTTACCGTTATGCTGAGTACATTGTACATACTGGTACATACATGTAGATATTTGCAAATTTTACTGTCGGAATTAGGTTATTATTTGTTGCTTGTGGTCTAATTAGTAAAAATGCTGAAATTTGTGGAAAAAGGACAAGGGAAAATTGGGTTAGGGCAAATTTAAGTTGGAAAAAAAATTGTGCACAAGTCTATGGGATAGTCTCCTAATGACCCATTTCTTGTTAGTGTTATAATAACACTTATTAATATTTCATGCTGCCATCTGTGAGTAAACGTGAAGGAGTATATTTTCCAATTTAAAATGAAATTTCACATCTCAATCTGTCATTTTGCATGAACGATTGTTATAAGTTGGTGTCTGCAAGGCAGCCTATAAACTCATCAAAGCTCGGAACGAAGAAAACAATATGTGGTGATATCGGATAAAAAGTTTACAGGGGGACAGATTCTGCACATCCCCCCCCCCCCTCGTCCCCTGCCTTTTTTAGTTCAACATCAGTTTGTACTGGTAAAGTATCAGAAAACAAAGAATAACCATGCGACAAACTCAGCCAATCAAGACAAAATCTAAAGACACTAGTCCTGTATTTTGCTGCCTTTTTCGTTTCAATTCCAGGCGAGTCGCACGTAGTGAGGGAAGGCCTGACGCACCCCCTGATACCAGACAACTGGTCCTGGGGTGGGGTGGTGTCGGACCACTGCCCGCTGTGGGTGGAGTTCTACTCGGATTGTGACCTGGACGAGGGAGGTCCGGGAATCTTGGCCCAGTTATCCAAGGTGAGGATACTGGCAAAATAGTGGAACAGCCGTCAAACGAGAGGAATTGGATTGTAACAAAATTCACATCACAAGCTGAAAACCTGCCGAGCTGAAAACCTGCCCGTGTGAAGACTAGTCTAGAGAGTAGACGTTGTTATTGTTTGATACGCGATAACCGGCAGCGGCCGCGATAACACGCTGTCGCGAGAGGGCGCTATCACGACTAACCAATATCGCCCACGGACTTGTCACTAACGTCTAGGGAAACTCGTATTGGTTGTGTAATGCGCGCACCTGTTTGGCCTAATATATGCAGCGTGCAATTCAAAATAATTATAGTAGTTCCAAAGCAAACTTTCAAATTTCTTCCAGTGCAATTAAGATGCAGCAAGACCTTTGTTTAACTTCACTGGTCAGTCCTTTTGTTGTGTAGGACTGAAAATGGACCGCAATTGCCTGCAGAAGTCGCGTATATGCACTAGTTTTTCAGGGGGAGATTTCAGCAGATTCACTAGACCTTGTTCTGACAAGTCCGTGGGCGATATTGGTTCGTGGTGATAGCGCCCTCTTGCAGCGACGGGTTATCGCAGCCGCGGGTTATCGCGTATCAAATCAAACCAGAACAATGTCTAGCCCCTAGACTAGTGAAGACCAGTGTTTTGGCAAAATGGGACGGAACTGAGCGGAGGTCGAATTGAGGGTTTGGAGGTAGTAGAAAAGAGAAATAAAATTCTCCTTAATACATTTCTGTTTGTTGCACTTCAATTGGACATTCTGTTGACAAGTTTTGGCTGTTAAAGGTTCGCATTTAGCGACATGCCAAAAAAGTAAGATACTGAGCAAAAAGCCTTTAAACTTTTGAGTTTTGTAGTCGTTTAAAAGAAAGATGCCAAATCTGTTTTCCTTAAAAGCACTTTTATTGCACTATATTGATACTGTTTCTTTTAATAGTAAACATGTCAATGATTACATATATTGATAAATCTGAAATTGGGGGGAGGGGGGTCGCCCCATTTGTGTTTTTTTTTTTTTTTACATTTTTCTCCATAATGGCCTGTTTTCAGTGCCATCTCATTTTGCCAGAACGCCTCACATTTTTCCTGTCCAAAACAAACACGATTGTCCACCAAAACCGTAGAATGCACGGGCAGCCAGTTTGGGGCGGTGCAGAGAGTAACAGGCAGTGTGTTTGGGGCAGTATCAGGTATGGGTTGAACAGTATACTTTGCTCTGTGCGCTGTCGGAGTAAAATTATTGAAATTACATGTATGTGCCAAGTTTTAACTGATCTTGTTGGTTGCATAGAAAGTTGAAGACGGTAGAATTCCACTTACTATTGACCCCAGTAGACTTTCGTTCGTTTGTTTTTTTTGCTGTGTGTATCCTGAACTGAAAATAATTAAATCTACGCATTAACACTACCTGTAAGAATAATGAATTACAGTGAAATCTCGAAAAGTCAAACCTCAAAGAAACAGGTTTCAAAATTTGACTTAAGCAGAGTTTTGAGTTAAGCAGGGTTGTACGTATATCATTGTTATACTACTGAAGGGAATGGATTCTTTGTTTGACTTGACAGTTGTTTTGAGTTATCAGAGTTTGACTTTAATATCGAGATTTCACTGTACATGTAGCTTATTGAATAAAGCAGTCAAGGCTTGTGATATGATACTTTTTTATTGGGAATGTTGCAACAACAAAAAATTGAAATCTCCAATATTGGAAATTGGGTATTTGATTAAATCTTAAAATGATAAGCCAAATATACATTTATAGATCTACACTGTACATGTACAATGCAGATAGGTGTGTGATTTAAATTCTCTTCTCACTTTTGACGTTTTTTGATATTCAAATAATTTTAAACAAAACTGTGTGTGTCTGTCTGTTTAATATTTGTTGTCAGTGGTCAAAACAACCACTGCTCGTGAAAGGAATTTTTGTCAGTAAATACGAATTTTCAAGATTTTTTTCCAGACATGGTGCATAAATTGAGTAAAATAGGCCTTTATAAATATGGATTGTTGTTAATTATGCAAATACGTTATGTTGAATAATGTTATCTTCTATTAATATTAACCAAATAAGGTAAGACTGTACAGATGTATAGTAGTTTCAATGACAAAATTGGTGCAATTATTCTCATGTTACTATGAATTACTCTGTAAATGGTGATATAGTTTGCCTACTTGTATACTTGATGCACACAGGTTTTTTTCTTAATTTTGTTTCCAAAACTTGAAAAAATGTATGTACATTTTCCAGCTGCAAATGATTTGAATGGGGGAGCGTGTTTGAGATATCCATTTTAATATGTGAATGTGCATGTACATGCACAATTGCACATCAAATAAGATTGCACTACATTGTATAAATAAAAGATTAAAGGGCCATGCAATGAATTTTTCTTAGGAACACATTTTGTGCAACTTTCTGCTCCTCTTAGAAGTATGAACACTTTTTGATACCCCATTTTGGTTATTTGATTGAAAAGTGCACTTCTCTGAACATTAAAATTCCTTGCTTTTCCAGACGACTGAGGGCGCTGTTGCTGTGATGTCATTTCAAGAAGACACTGTTCAGGGGTTTTCCTTTCAAATTGTGAACCTGACATTTGCTCATTGAAAACATTTGTGAGAAAGGTTGCACATTGGCTTACTGCCATGTACTGACACAACAACGAATCACCAAAGAAAAGAACATAGTTTACAACAGCAACATATCCCAAATTCTTGCAACTTTTTGCGCTGCGATAGCTGTAATAATAAGGTTTCTGCCCGGAATGACATCACAGATTTGCTGATGAATACGGAAATTGGCATTAGCCAAAAAACCACATAAAAATTAGCAAAAGCCAAGTATGTACCTGTGCACACATGATTGGCTTTTGTAGCACTATAATCTTACACTGGTGTACGTATGTGTACATACCTGTTCATCCTTGATAAGCTGCTGGCAGTTTATCGTTCAAGGCGTCCCGCACCAACTCTTTTTACAGTTCAACTATTGCTCATAAATTTTGTGTATATAGTACCAGGTTTGACATTTGCAATATAAAACAAGATGAATTTGATAATTTTTGTTTCCATTTCTGTTTCACCAAATGACGTTAAGAACAAACTTGCGACAATTTGTATATTGAATGATGATGCCAGTATAACTAATTTATTATATGTATTTTGAATGCATTGCTATGTGAAGGGACAAAAATCAAAGAACTTTTTTTACCAACAAATTTGATTGGATTAACAATAAATTAACAAATAAGACAAACATGTGTGGATCAGTGGCATGCATGTAGCCTTGATTCTGACATGTATTGTACATGTACCGCGGTAGTTGAGTGATTTACTAAGAATTGAGAAGATGCATATTAAATGTTACATTGTACATGTACATGCCAAAGGATTTTAAGCATTTCTGCACACTTCCACCCATAAAGAGCCTATCAAACGAAACCTTTAATCTTCATTTTAAGGTTCATTTTAGGTTTGATTTTAGGGAGTGGGAGCCAGTCTACATGTGGGCACAGCATAAACATGTAAATTGAATTTGTTCATGTACATTGACACATGTACTGATGTACATGTAGGGGGTGCATACCTATGTTTCCCAATACCGATGTTCCCCAATACCGATGTACCCCGAAATCCCTACCCAATAACCCTAACCCTTACACTAACCCTATAGCCCTAGCGCTAACCCTAACCCTTGCCCTAATCCTAAGGATTTCGGGGAATATCGGTAGTGGGGAACAACGGTAGTGGGGAACATCGGGTAGACCCCCATGTAGGTGTATCTCATGTGCATTACATTCGTGTGCTTTGTTAATTGCAAAATATACATGTACTTGTAATAAGGTGTATGCTTCCGTAAAAAAAGAAAAGAATGAATTTCCATTGCAGACTACATGTATACTAAGTACAGTATTTGAAATATTTTTGTATTTTTTTTGTATACATGTTAAGGCATTGGTTTTATGGTGCTTCATAAAACTGCTGTAGAGGACGGTTTGGGCGTGATGTTCCAGGCCAATGAATCTGCAGTACTGTTGGGGGGGGGGGGCGCCATTTATAATGTTACATGTCACTTCCTATTTCATATTACGTATGTGATGTGTGTTTGTAAAGTCAGACAGAATGGAGTACCGAAGTGTGACGTCATTTAGAACCAGAATGTGTAGTGCAAACGAATGGAGTACGCGCGCGTGTTGGTTCACGGGCGGAATCACGCACTAATGTCTTTCACACGCATTTTGTGCGCGTGACGTATTCACTTTTGTACTCCATTATCAAATGTGCAACATTGTATGTACAAAGAAAGGCTAGTTTTCCCATCATTTCTGGTATGACTGGCTCAGTGTCCAAAATTGGAGATTCCAGACCTTGACACCAAATTACTGCCTAATATTATTGATGCCTGTTTTTGCCCGATATTAAAATTTGTTGCTTTTTTCATTGACTGTAGATGGGTTGGACCTGGGACCCTTGGATGGCTGTTCCAGTGCTCTACAAGCTATCCAAGCCCCAGGTCGTAGGTTCAAGTCCTGTTCCAATTAATTTTTCTTCAACTTAAAAATATTATTATAATAAGTGCTTCTAGTCAGTTTCCCTTTGGGGCTTATTTGAAACATTATTCCATTTTTATTAGAAGTTTTGAACAAGGGCAGAACCAGGCGCGGAAAAGAAGGGAAAGCATATTTAAGTGTTTTTAACATACAATGTATACCAGTAAGTATGTGATCCATTTGAGGGAAGCATGTTTTCATTACCCAACCTGGATATGATTATTGTTGACATTAATCTGAAAAAACCTGGGCCAGTGTCTTATCACTATTGTTGCCTATATAATGAAATCTCTACCAGCTCAATAAATAACTATTATATCAAATAAGTGTTGCCTTTTTATTGTCAATTTCTTTTTAATTGTGGTTTTCGCAGCTCGACCCGTATTGGAATAATGACCCACATTGGAATAATGCATTGTATAGCAATTTGCAGCCGGTTTTGCAGCTGGACCAATATTGGAATAATGACCCATATTGGAATAATGCATTGTACAGCCATTTCCAACCGTTTTTGCAGCTCGACCCATATTGGAATAATGACCCATATTGGAATAATGCATTGTACAGCCATTTCCAACCGTTTTTGCAGCTCGACCCATGTTGGAATAACGACCCATATTCCAATAATACACTGTAATGTCATTTTAAGCTGTTTTTTGCAGCTCGACCCACATTGGAATATTGACCCATATTGGAATAATGCATTGTACAGCCATTTGCAGCCGTTTTTGCAGCTCGACCCATATTGGAATAATGACCCATATTGGAAAAATGCATTGTACAGCCATTTCCAACCGTTTTGCAGCTCGACCCATATTGGAATAATGACCCATATTGGAATAATGCATTGTACAGCCATTTGCAGCCGTTTTTGCAGCTCGACCCATATTGGAATATTGACCCATATTGGAATAATGCATTGTATAGACATTTCCAGCCATTTTCGCAGCGTGACCCATATTGGAATAATGACCCATATTCGAATAATACATTGTAATGTCATTCTAAGCCGGTTTTTGCAGCTCGACCCATATTAGAATAATGTCCCATATTGGAATAATGCATTGTACAGCCATTTCCAACCGTTTTTGCAGCTCGACCCGTATTGGAATAATGACCCATATTAGAATAATGCATTGTACAGCCATTTCCAGCCATTTTTGCAGCTCGACCCACATTGGTATATTGACCCATATTGGAATAATGCATTGTACAGCCATTTGCAGCCGTTTTTGCAGCTCGACCCATATTGGAATAATGACCCATATTGGAATTATGCATTGTATAGACATTTCCAGCCATTTTCGCAGCGTGACCCATATTGGAATAATGACCCATATTCGAATAATACATTGTAATGTCATTCTAAGCCGGTTTTTGCAGCTCGACCCATATTAGAATAATGTCCCATATTGGAATAATGCATTGTACAGCCATTTCCAACCGTTTTTGCAGCTCGACCCGTATTGGAATAATGACCCATATTGGAATAATGCATTGTACAGCCATTTCCAGCCATTTTTGCAGCTCGACCCACATTGGTATATTGACCCATATTGGAATAATGCATTGTACAGCCATTTGCAGCCGTTTTGCAGCTCGACCCATATTGGAATATTGACCCATATTGGAATAATGCATTGTACAGCCATTTGCAGCCGTTTTTGCATCTCGACCCATATTGGAATAATTACCCATATTGGAATAATACATTATTATGCCATTTGCAGCCGTTTTTGCAGCTCGACCCATATTTGAATATGGACCCATATTGGAATAATGCATTGTATAGCAATTTCCAGCCGTTTATGCAGCTCGACCCATATTGGGAATATTGACCCATATTGGAATAATGCATTGTATAGACATTTCCAGCCATTTTCGCAGCGTGACCCATATTGGAATAATGACCCATATTGGAATAATGTATTGTATAAACATTTCCAGCCGTTTTCGCAGCGTGACCCATATTGGAATAACGACCCATATTAGAATAATACATTGTAATGTCATTTTAAGCCGGTTTTTGCAGCTCGACCCATATTGGAATATCGACCCATATTGGAATAATGCATTGTACAGCCATTTGCAGCCGTTTTTGCAGCTCGACCCATGTTGGAATAATGTCCCATATTGGAATAATGCATTGTACAGCCATTTCCAACCGTTTTTGCAGCTCGACCCATATTGGAATAATGACCCATATTGGAATTATGCATTGTACAGCCATTTCCAGCCATTTTTGCAGCTCGACCCACATTGGTATATTGACCCATATTGGAATAATGCATTGTACAGCCATTTGCAGCCGTTTTTGCATCTCGACCCATATTGGAATATGGACCCATATTGGAATAATGCATTGTATAGCAATTTCCAGCCGTTTATGCAGCTCGACCCATATTGGGAATATTGACCCATATTGGAATAATGCATTGTATAGACATTTCCAGCCATTTTCGCAGCGTGACCCATATTGGAATAATGACCCATATTGGAATAATGTATTGTACAGCCATTTTCAACCGTTTTTGCAGTTCGACCCATATTAGAATAAGTACCTATATTGGAATAACGCACTGTATAGCGATTGACCCATATAGGAATACTGACCTATAATGGAATAATGCATTGTATTGCAATTAACAGCTGTTTTTGCAGCTCGACCCATGTTGGAATAGTGACTCATATTCGAATAGTGACCTATATTGGAATGATGTATTGTATTGCAATATCCAGCCGTTTTTGCAGCTTGCCCCATGGGAATAGTGACCCAAATTGATAAAAAAATGTATTGTATTGCAATATCCAGCCGTTTTTGCAGCCCGACCCATATTTGAATAGTGACCCAAATTGAAAAAAAAGTATTGTATTGCAATATCTAGCTGTTTTCGCAGTCAGACCCATATTTGAATAGTGACCCATAATGTAATGTATTGCAATATATAGCCGTTTTCGCAGCCTGACCCATATTTGAATAGTGACCCATATTGGAAAAAATGTATTGTATTGCAATATCTGGCCGTTTATCTGGCCGTTTTTGCAGCCCGATCCATAATGACCAATTATGACCCATTTTGGCAGCCCGATCCATAATGATGCGTAATACTAATAATACGTCAATCAAATAATGTGCGTAATACTAATAGATAATTTGACACATTATTTATTTATTTATTTATTCATTTATTTATTATCGGGCAAACAAGATATAACGGAATCTCCAGACAATTAAAAATATTTTAGAAATATATATTTATGGACATGTATGTATAAAAAGTCTCGATTGCACTCAATTGTTTTTAACTTTGGAGCAAACACTGGTACAAGCATGAGATTTTCCAAAATTTTGTCTGAAATCAGATTTGAATCTGAGAAAAAGACATTATTAGTATCTATTGATATGCACCATTCAGACATTTTATCAATTTTCAGACTTTATTTAAATTGACAATCTCAACCCTGCTAGTAGTATAAAAAGTACACTTGGAAATTATCACATTTAGGTGAATTTTGCATGTTATAAAGTTTTGATAAAAATGTGCATTACTACAAGGAGATATTTAGTAGAAGATACATGTAGTTTGTGTCTTAAGCAGTTCACGCCGGGATTATTTTGACAAGAACGAAATGCGACATGGGATTTTCACTCGACCTCAAGCCAGGCGGGTTGAAGCCATCACCCTCTGGCAGCACACTCATATTCCCTGCCTTGCTCACTGCGAGCGGGTCACTGACATCATGTTCATCTGTCATCCATTCCATCTGCCGCAAATCTTTTGCGTGTACACACGGCCTCCGGCGCAAACTAGTTAAATGTCATTTGTTGCAAAGCCACTTCTGACACCCCTTTCATTGCAGTTCAAAAACCTCTCTGAGCAGCTGTTTCTTGTTCACTTTGCCCATGGCATTGCGCGGCATGGCCTCAAGAACTCTCATCTCGGTCGGGATCGTGTAGGGCGCCATGCGGTCCCTGGCCCAGGCTCGCAGCTCCGGCAGCGTCAGTGATGACGATGACGATGACGATGACGTTGTTGTCGATTTTGCATTGCCTTGAAGTACCACCACTGCCGCCACGCACTGGCCCCACGTCACGTCTGGCACACCCACCACCGCACACTCAGAGATTCGGTCGTGGGCCAGTAAGTGGCGCTCTACGTCCAGCGCACTGATCTTGTAGCCTCCGCTTTTGATGATGTCTACAGACGTCCTGCCTAGGATCCAGTAAACACCATCTTGGTAGGATGCAGTGTCCCCTGAAAAAATTGTAAGAACCTTTAATTGCAATAACCCTAATCAAACTTGTTTTTTAATTATCGAGCTTTTTATTTAAAATTACTTGTGCAAAATTCAGGGTTTGTTTTTTTCCAAAATTTTAAACAACCCATGAATTACTGCATTCTGAGATTATATTAGTTTCTTGGCACTCGACTTAAAACCACACCAATTCAACACACTTTCTTGAGAACTGAACTGCAGAAAAATGACTGCAACCTGACTGGAGATTTGATAAAATGTTTGCAGTCACATTTGTTGTCACATTTTGAAGTCTAGTCTTCAGAACTAATCATAAGTAATCCGGTCTCAATGTCAAGACTAACTATTTAAAGGAACTGTGACAAAGCATTGGTTTGTTACTGTTCATTTCTTTTACAAATACATCAAACAGTCACAATGAGCTACAAATATACCTACGACGCGGCGCACTTATGACATGTTTTGTGAAATGGATCGCAGGACGCATCGCAGCTGCGACGCATCGCAGGGATACGACGCGTCACAGTGCTGCGATGCATCCTAAGTTACAATGAGTTTCATAAAATTGGGTGCAGGCCATATAGTGAAGGTACCCTCTTTTCTCAAAACCCTACCTGTTTTGAACCAGCCATCATCAGTCAAGGCTTCGGCAGTGTCATCCGGTCGGTTCCAGTATTCCTTGAAGCCGGCCGGTCCTCTGACCTGAAGCTCACCTTCTGTGACCTCTGACCCCACTGTGACCTTTGAGCCTTTGGAATTACCGCTGACACAGATATCACCGTTGCCAGTGACGATGCGCACATCAACAGTTGGAAATGGATTCCCAACTGCACCTATTTGGGGAAAAGTCACAGAATTCAACATTATTCTACTGCAGCTGTGTAGTTAAAGCAGGAATTAAACAGTTTGAAATTTCTGACTGCGCATGTTCAATTTGTCCTCCATCTAATGCAAACCAAAACCTCACCATCCCTTGAAACCTTTCTCATCGAGCAAAAAGTGAAATACACAGATATACTCTGTTGCACTGTCCTACACAATCATTCCATGTAGAGTCTTTTGTGCTCCCACTGTGGGCTTCAAGCACCTACATAAGTATGCACCTGATTCTGTGTGTTTTTCCTGGAATGTCATTCTGGGGTTTTCTAACAACCCTAACCCTGCCCCAGACATAATACAGTGCATCAGGTGTAAAAGTCTGATGCACTTTGATGCATTCAGCTATTCAACACCAGTGCATAAACGGCCGCTTCTGAGAGCTAGTCCCATGAAAAAATGCCACAGTTGTATCCTGCTGCAGTTGGTGACCACAGACTCTGAGGCAGTTTGGCCTTGAGACTTATGACCTGATAGATCTTGCTACACTGGGCAGGCTTGTCACTTAGACAAGTGTTGCATGTTGCTGCGTTTGGCAGGATTTCTAACCAAAATACCCTGGAGGGTTAGGGTTAATCAAATTAAGGGACCTGACTAGAAAGAAGTTGATAGACTTATGTGGGCTGTCTTTGCCAATGGCCAAGAAAAAAAATACATAAATAAAAAGTGTCCACAAAGCTTTTGCGATTGGTCATGCAACGCTATAAAGGCCGCATAGACAGGCAACACCCTAAAAACTTCAAAAATGGATTTGGTTGTTATACTTCTTTCCTCCCCAACGAAGCTTTTTATTCCCAATAGACAAATCCAGGCACGCGATCACTGTACACTCACAAGGCCCCCCTGCAATGGAGGATCCATTTTGAATGCTATTGTAGAAAGCAACTGCCCCATGACAGATCATCTGATCAATAGCTAGTACGATGCTTTCGCCATTGAAGGTGGGCCTCTGTGATAGATTTGATAGCGTGCTCAGATTAGATACTGGCCTACTTTCCAAGAACCTACCCAATGACAAAGCAGTGCGTATTATGTGGGTGTGTAGTTTTATGAGTTGACCCCTGCATCAGAGGTCGTGAAGACAACGATGTGCTGGCCATTAATCACACTTGATGTCAGACTCAGATACATTTGTACTCTGATTTCCTGATGCAGCCGTTCCCAACCCCTCACAAGCACAGTCAAGCCGGCACAGCATTAAAGGGTGCTATCAACATGATGAATCAAATTCAGTATTGGGAACGTCGGCACTCAGACCCAAGAAATTCTGAGCATACCTCACATGCTCCCATTAGCTTGAATGCAGCGCGTTTGAGGCAGGCTCGGAAATTCTCAGGTCCAAGTGCCAACGTTCCCAAGCCTTGATTTGATTCATCGTGTTGATATAGTGCCCTCAACCAGCCGCATTAGAGGAACAAAATGCAAATCCAGCCTTGGACCAAGACTAACTCACCTGGGATCCTGAGACCATGTACTGGGTTGGACATCACCATGCCTAATTCTGTCATCCCGTATCGTTCCAGTAATCGGTGACCCGTGATGGCCTCCCAGTGCTTGAGTACTGGCTGAGGCAGAGCTGATGACCCTGAAATCATCAATCTACAAGAAAATAATTCACAGAGTCTTTGAAATAATTATTGTCCCTGTGAAGGAGGAACCTCCGAGTTTCTCTGAAGACAGTAGAAAATTAACGTTTCAGCAACTGATACTAACTTTGATTCTAGTGAAGAGATTTCTGAAATTTGAAAGCTATCAAATGATTGAGAAAGGAACTCAAGGCTCAACCTTTTAAATTAAAGACCACCATGGTTAAACGGTTGTGGAGTTGGACTCGTGTGCTGTGGTACATTGGTTCAAACCCTGAATGGGGAACAAGGTTTTTATGTTCTTGGGCAAGATACTTTACTACACTTGCCTCTCACCACCCGAAAGTATCTGTGAGGGTATCTGTTTTGAGCTGCTGCATAAAACTGGTCTCATGGCCTGAGGAACATGGGTAATATAACTTCTGAAGCACTTGGAGACTTTGACAAAGAGCAATAAAACATGTAAAACAATTTAAGTTCATTTTTCATAGACAGGCTTCCTAAACAGAAAGACCAATGGACAAACAGACCAATGCCCTGAAAGTGTCCTCACCTAATTCGGTTTCTCATCTTGGCCTTGATGAAGGCCCTGACCTTTTGACCTTTGAACCTCGACTCGAAGCCGTCAATCAGCTTGACATACATGGTGGGGACGCCCATGAACAGGTTGATTCTGGGCTCAGAGTCATCAAGGAGCCTGTCCCATACCTAAATGAATTAAAAACCAAAACAAAATCTTACCTTAAGTTTTTATTACATTTTTCAACAACATCTTCAGCTGTACACATCCACCTGAGCCGAAACTCAATGCTCGTACAATGTAAGTGACATCATGACGACAAATTGAAATTTTTGGGGAGATAATTTTACATTTTATGTTTAAATATTCTTTCCAAATATTACGCAAACAAAAACGAGCTAAGCTAAATAAGCACACTAACATTGATTTTGCACTTATTACGAACAGATATCTTGATCTTTAACCAGTTCACGCCGAAGGCCGTGCATACACGCACAACTTTTGCGGTTTTTAAAACGGATGACAGATAAACACGCAGGGAGTGAGGCCAGACAAATCTGTAAGCGACCCACTCACAGCGAGCGAGGCTGGAAAAATACGAGTGTGCTGCCTGAGGGTGATGGCTTCAATGCCTGGCTTGAGGTTGAGTGAAAAGTAATCCCACACCTCGTTCCATTCTTGTCAAAACAATCCCGGTGTGAACTGGTTAAGTATACATATGTAAATGTACATGGAAATAATTAAAATCCTTGACAAGTATTGTGCTGTTCAGAAACAGACATACAGCTACCTACATTGTATGTTTCTTTTTTTTTTTCACTGCCCTCCAAAAGAAATATACCAAAAAATAAACTAATCAATACTGCAGATTGTCAGATTTCTGCTAATTTGATTGGTTTGCACTCCCCTCCTAAAATGTGCAATATCAGACTTTAAAAACATGTCCTCACCCTGTCCACATCAAACTGTGGCATCATGACACACGTCGCCCCACACCACAGCGGGCACGCCAAGGCATTGACCACTCCGTGGCCGTGATGCAGAGGCAGCACATGGAGAATGACATCTTGTGCTGTCCAGCACCAGGCCTTTAGTATCATAGAGATCTGGGCTTGCAAGGCGGCAAATGTCTTCACCACACCCTTCGGTGGCCCCGTCGTTCCACTGGTGTATAAAATCATCGCCTTGCGATTCTTCCAATGTATTTGACTCCATTTCTGAGTCAGAGTTGACTTGTCAATCAACTGAGAATCATTCCAACTACAGTTGGATGCCGTCACAATGTCCGGCACTGCGACCGGTGCATTGTTATTGTGTTGAGAAAGTACGTGTAGTTCATTTGAAGTTCTGCTTCGTCTTGTGACGAGGGCCTCTTCATTTAAGATCAACACTCTGAGATTGTTTTTCTCCGCGAGGCCGTGGGCCCTGTCAGCAAATTCTCTGGTTGCTATGACTACTGAGCTTTGGGAATCACTGACGATGTAGTCCAACTCGGATTGCGGATGGACTTTGCAGAGGGGGACCACCGTGCATCCACTCATCCATGCCGCGAACTGGGAGATGATAAATGAGATGTTGTTGGGGCAGAGTACGGCGATGCGCTCCCCGTTCAACACCACTCCCGAGCCCTTCTTCTCCGCGGTCGCGTCTGGCGGTGTGATGGCCAGAATCCACTGAGCGAGGGCGGTGCTGAACCCAATCAGTTCCTCATATGTGTGTCTACCAAGACAGTCTACGACAGCTGTCTGGTCCGCATAGCCTTGCTTGATGACATTCAGGAAGACAGGTCTGACTGCGCTGGAGGAACTCTTGCATTTGCTGAGACGAAGAACAAAACCTCGCTGGAGAATTCTTAATATGCAATTGGACCTGACCAGCAGCATGGTGATAAAAACTCTGTCTGGAAAAAAAACACAAAATTTTCACAAGATTTGTCATGACATCATGCTTCCTAGAATACGGTGACCTCCATTATCTTTTGGATATTACAGAGGTACATGTGGTCCAGTACTACGTGAATTCAAAATGGCAGCCACAAACAAGGCGTTTGTGACAAGGACAGGGCTCGATTTACCCGGGTGCACACATGCACCAGTGCATGTAGGTTTTTGCTTGTGCACGTAGCTTTTTTACTGAGCATGCACGATGTGCATGTAACTTTTTTAGCCACCAAAAATACTCATTTCATGCATATCTCTCTCTCTCTCTCTCTTCCGGTGAAGTACACTCCACCATCTGGTGTATTACGTACTGCGGTTGTTGTGTGCATGCAAGGTGAGTGCAGGTGATCAGCTTAAACATAAGGTGCGGCTAAAAACAACTCAGGCTGACTTAGCGGAGCTGGACTGACTGCACACCCTGCTTGAAGCTTGCAAGCGATGTGCAGTTGACGAGATCTTGTGGAAGGGTGTTCCAAATTCTGATGCTATCCGGAAAGAATGACTACCGATGTACCCCAATCCTGGTGAATGGTACTAGGTATCTGAGGGAGTGACCTCTCAGAGCAACTGTTGGTGTCAGGTAGGTATGTGGGACATCAACCAGGTTGTTGACAATTCGGAACATCATCACTGCCTTGGCCTGTGCACGCCGTTCTTGAAGGGTGGGCCACTGGAGCTGATTGATCATGGCAGTGACACTGCTGGTGGTCCTGTAGTCCCCAAACACGAAGCGTGCATAACGCCGTTGCACCATCTCCAGCTTATGGATGTTGCTTGCTGTCAGGGGGTCCCATATGATGCAAGAGTATTCAACTATAGGGCGTACTAAGGTCTTGTAGCACAGCTCCTTTGTTTTTCTAGGACACTGATGGATATTACGTTGCAAGAAAGCCCTGGTAGAAATTTGTTGATATTGATGTGATGGTTCCAGTTCAGGTTTTTGTGGATGTTGACGCTGAGGTATTTTGCAGAGTCAACCTCTTCTAGTACATGGTTATGAATGATGTACGGCTGTTTGATGAGTTTCCTTTTGTTGGTTATATGGATGACCTGACACTTCTGTGGATGGAACTCCATCTGCCAATCCTTCTCCCATTGCTGAAGGTGGTCCAAGTCCTGCTACAATAAACTTGCATCTTCCTCTGTCTTGATGGTGCGATACAGGACACAGTCGTCCGCAAATAATCTGGCTGTTGTGCCCACTGAAGTGCAGTCAGGAAGATCGTTTATGAAAAGCAGGAACAGCAGTGGGCCCAGAACACTCCCTTGAGGAACCCCTGATAGGACTGGTGCAGATTTGGCTGTAGTTCCATCCAGGATGACTTGTTGAGTGCGGTTCTCTAGGAATGCGCTTACCCATATGTTGGCATTACCATCAATACCGTAATAGTTGAGCTTATGAAGTAACCTTTGATGTGGCACCTTATCAAAGGCCTTTGAGAAGTCTAATAGTATGACATCTACTTGGCCTTTGCAATCTACAGTGTTGGCAAGATCTTGTAGGGTGAGCAACAATTGGGTATCACAGAAGCGGTGTTTTCTGAAGCCGAACTGTGCATCGGTGAGGATGTTATTCTTGTCGAGATGATTCAGGATTTGGCTACACAACACATGCTCGAGCATCTTGCAGATGACGGAGGTCAGTGATATTGGTCTATAATTTACAGCCTTATTTCGTTCCCCTTTTTTAAAGACGGGAACGACGTTCGCTTCCTTCTATTCTTGTGGTAAGATGCCTTGGTTGATGGAGGCTTGGTAGAAAAAGGCAAGTACTAGAGCTAGTTTGTTTGATAACTCCTTCAATAGCCTGGGAGGAATACCGTCTGGGCCTGATGCCTTGTGGATGTTTAGGCCATTGAGCAACTTTCTAACACCATCAATTGACACCGTGATAGAGTCCATAGATGGAAATGGGCAAGGACCTTTATCCTTGATGGTTGACTTATCCTCATTTTTGTTGAAGACTGATGAGAATTGATCATTGAGTCTGTTTGCTTTGGTCGCACTGTCCGTGTATGTTACTCCATTTCTCGCCTTCAGTGGGGAAACACCAGAGTTATCACATTTCTTGCTGTTGATGAACCCCCAAAATCTCTTGGGGTTTGTTGTTGACTCAGGGGAAATAATGTTGTTGATGTACTCACTATAGGCATGTTTACAGGCTGATCTTGTCGTCTTCTTCAGTTGGTGATAACGCTGAAAATCTCTGGCTTTCTGTGTTTTCTTGGCCTTGGTGAAGCTACGCTTTTTACGTCTTGTCAAACGCTTTACTTTCCTTTTGATCCATGGTTGGTTTAACCTGGTGGATGACATCTTGGAGGGCACACCATTGTCGAGGATCTTCAATAATGATGACGTCGACAGCCCTGTCCGCACTGGACTTTTTTTGGTCAAACTAACCGAGACTATGGGTACTTTTCCCATTTTAAATCCAGTGCGGACAGCCTAGGACGTTTTCCTCTCGGTTACTTTTCCTGAGTCCAGCGGTTACTTTTACTGGCCAACTGCTGCCCAGGAAAACTTCCCACGCGCCCAGGAAAACTGACCAGGTCACTTTTCCCGAGACGATAAGTCATGCAGTGCGGACAGTGCGAGTCGGTAAAAGCGGCTCAGGAAAGCGTACATCCGGCCCGAGCGCCCTGTTATGCATACAGAGACCGCACGAACCTGCACGTGCAGTGGCCGAACATTTTGTAGAAACACGCTGCGGTGTATCATCAAGTCCGAGCGGTAAAATCTCGTTAAAATATATATTTCAACGGACAAATACATACACAGAGAAGAGAGATCACGTTCTGAGAATCAATTGCGGAAATTCTCTTTCTCCACCGATGTATGTTATTTTCTACGATCCAAATTCGTCCTGATACGCTACTGTAGTCATGCACGGAACATCATGGTCCGGTACCGTACGTAGGCCGTAGTCACTGGTTCCTGGCCCACATCATAGCTTCGATTCAGTAAGCATGCGATGGGAACCAACGAATACTGATGGCACTGCTGCCGCACGGAACATCGTACAGCGGCATGGCTTCGACGACGTGCATCACAAATGCGTCAGAATCATGCCTTTTCGTCAAGATTTAGCGTGTCAAGATGAAATAATATCGTGTAAACGATTATGTTATGCATGCAAATGGCGTGTGTAATATTACTGTGCATATCAGCGGCTGAAAATGTGATCGGCAATTTGTTTTCTGTGTACGGTGAGTCATTATACTGACACTGTGACAGCTCGGTTACTTCTCCCACGCGGTCTGGGTAAATTTTCCCGTGTCGAAAGTCCAAGTGCGGACAGCGGTCACATTTGACCACTTCTCATTTTACCATCGTCTCGGTAAAATCTTCCAAAAAAAAAAAAGCCCAGTGCGGACACGGCTTAATTAATGTCTGCCCACATCTGGGGAACCGGGCTGTTGACATTGTACTTGCTCACAAACTCACGCTGGAAATTGTGACACTCCTCCTTCATGCCATCAACACTGGCCTTATTCCACAGATGGATTTTTCGCCTCACTGGAATGTTCCTCTTTGGTGTAACGCTAGATTCTGTGTATACAATGTCATGATCGCCGAGACCTGGCAGAGGAGCACATTTATTAACCGAGGAGGGGCGGTTGGTAAGAAAGACATCCAGTGTCTCATGATGATCTCCTCTAGTTGAAAATGTGACCATTTGCTGTAATCCCCCTAGTTTTGGATGAACTCAAGAAATCTCTCATTCAGTCGGCAAGAATATTGGTTGCGATCAACAGCCAGCAGATCCCAGTTGATATCCGGAAGATTAACATCTCCACCAATCCAGAGCACCGCATTTTTGAATTTGCGGGCAAGTTCTTCAACACAGGAGCACAATGCATTCAGATATTGGGCATCACTGCTGGGGGGACGATACATGCCACCTATAATGAAGGTCTTATCTTTTGCCATGGTGAACTTAGCAAAGATACATTCGGCATCCACATCAACTTCAACACGATCATAGACAAGGTCTTTTCTGATGGCAAGAAGGACTCCACCACGTACTGCGGTCCTTCCGAATGACATCAAAATTAGGTGGAAAGATTTCCAATGAGTGTATACTACTGTTCAGCCAGGTTTCAGTACCGATGATGATGGTTGGATCAGAAGAATCAATTAAATTGATTATGTCTTCCTTTTTGTTCTTTGCACTTTTGAAATTGACAGTTAACACTTTCATGTTCACAGGTTTTTTGTGTAGATTTGGGTATTGGTGATGAGCATGACAGTGGTGGTCCTGGACTTGCGATAGGGGTGGGGTTATAACTCGCAGTTGAATTACTACTGTCACTAGCATCTAGATGAGAAAACGAATTGGTGGTATCTACAGTGAATGACTCGAATAGGCTGGAAGAAAAATTGGGCATGCCACAGTTTACACAGTGCCATGAGACATTGTTGAGTGTCATATACACTGGGGTGGACATATGCATGCAGTCGGCGTGGTACCATTGTTGACAGTCATCACAAGCAACCCCTCGTTGCTTCCATGTTACTGCACGACTACATATCTGGCATGGGTACTTGCAGGTCCGCGGACCTGGGTTCAGCTCGACGTCTGGGGCATTAACCAAGAGCAGTAAGCTTAGGTACAGAAGAGTGTGGGTTTTCTTCTCTCTGAAACTAGCAGAAGCAGTGTTGAGCTTTCTTGAAAAGGCTGCAACAATTATCTCATCATTGACATTAAGACGGTCATGAGGTGTAACAACAGAAGAACAGACTATGCAGAGGTGTTCAACGAAATGTTCCTGCTGATGTTTGTAGATGAAGTTGATGAATATTATGCCCAGTAATACATAGAAAGCATTTCTAGCCATGGCTAACATATTTGCCACTGATGAAGCAGGCAATGCATAGAAAGAAAAAAAAGGAATCTCTCACCAATGTCACTGCAGTCTTCTTACGTCTGGGGTCTAGACACAGTCTATGCTGAGGTGTTAAATTCTGTAATCAGGCACCAGACTAATCTAGGCGTGGCAGGATGGGTGACAAAAAAAAGATCCTTAGAATGTCTCCAAAAAGAATCCAAGTCTGGAAAAGACAACCCAGATATGAATAAGATATATTTACCAGTGAGTGAGATTAAGAATAAAGTTTGTTGAATACTTGACCAGATAGTGTACAAACGTGTTATTTCTTTTATAAATCCATAAATTATTCCTCGCAGCAGATTCAGAGTACGAACGCCGTCATGACTGTAGCGCTAGCACTATTTTTAGAATAGGAAAAGCCCTAGTATATATACGCGAGCAAGTGACGTCATTGTGGCTCTTCGCAATTGAATCAACTAGTACAGTGCCCGTCTAAAATGTGCATGTTCGGGAAACGCAAATTGCTTTGCCGCTGGTATAGGTTGCATACTTGCATAGCCCTGGTGGACTCCCTTTCCTCCCTACGTTACGGAGGGACTGCAATGAAGACTGCGTCCAACCTGGGCCCAATTTCATAGCACTGCTTAACAGTAAGCAGAAAAGTTGTGCTTACTATAGCAGAAAATCATGCTGCTGCTTAAGCACTATTTCATGCCATGATTGTGCTTACAGTTGCGCGCGCATGGAGATTTCTATTGTTACGTCACTGATTTAAGCAAAGTTTTCGGCTGAGGTTAAGCCTGCTTTTGCTGTGCTTACTGCTTAACGGTCCCTATGAAATAGATGGAGGCTCGGTAAGCACAAAGTCGGCTGTTAAGCAGCGCTATGAAATTGGGCCATGGGCTACATACTTGCAGAGTTTTGGAGAACTGTTCGTGCAAACAACGCACGCGATTCAATTGTGTTGTTTTCACAGGTTGAACGCACACTTACCTCAAAGTTTGTGCCAAGTTTGAAGTTAGACCACCTACAATGGTCGCTCAGTCGACTGCAAAAATAATGTGCCCGTGTACATACGAAAACATGGTATGCAGTGCTATTCACCCATACTGGACAATGTATCGCCCTACAATGAACGTGCGCGTGCCCGTCCTTTTTGCATTGTTTGCGTCATATTGAGCACGCGCGCTTTAGCTTAAACATGATGTAAACAATTGAAAATAACGGCAGTGCGTGGTGTTATGTTCTAAGCTGCCACGTTTGCCTCCGAAAATACTGCTTTTTTGCAGCCTTTTCGAGAACCGCTCATCCAAACCGCTTCAAACTTGGCACTGCACATTCTGTGGCCCCGAGCAATACACCCGCCGATTTTCAACTTCATACGGTGCCCGGTTCTGGAGATAATTGACGGACAGACAGAGATGACAATGGTATCGCCCTACAATGCACGTGCGCGTGCCCGTCCTTTTTGCATTGTTTGCGTCATATTAAGCACGCGCGCTCTTGTCCAAACATGACGTAAACAATGAAAAGAACATCAGTACAGTGCGCGGAGTTCTAGGCTATTCTGGCGCATTTGCCTTCAGAAAATACTGCTTTTTTGCACGCGCACGTGCATTGCATGTAGGGCGATACCATTGTCAAGTATGCGTGAATAGCACTGCGTACCTTATTATGTTTCCGTACGTGATGACTGCACGGGCACATGCATTTTGCAGTCGATTGAACCACTATTGCAGGCGGTGGATTGAGCAACCTTACTCACGTAGGTGAGTAGCTGCACGGGCGTATTGGTGAATATCAGTGCCGGGGATGGCCTGGCGACATGTACAAAGTGCGCTCAAACTATGAGTGTGACGACATTTTGTGAGTTTAACTTGCGAGTGTGCGTTCACACCATTGAATAATGTGCGTTGTTTGCACGAGCTGCAGTTCTCAACTGCCCCTTCCAAACACGCACATTTTCGACTGGCCCTGCACTAGTAGATACTACAATTCAAGGAATCTCTGTCTGTCTGTCTGTCTGTCCGTCGTGCTGTCTGTCCGCCGATTATCTCCAGAACCGGACACCGTATGGAGTTGAAAATCGGCGGGTGTGTTGCTCGGGACAACCGAATGTGCAGTGTCAAGTTTGAAGCGGTTTGGACCAGCGGTTCTCGAAAAAGCTGCAAAAAAAGCAGTATTTTCTGAGGCAAACGCACCAGAATATAGCCTAGAACTCGGCGCGCACTGCTGTTCTTTTCAATTGTTTACGTCATGTTAAAGCAAGAGCGCGCGTGCTCAATATGACGCAAACAATGCAAAAAGGACGGGCACGCGCACGTGCATTGTAGGGCGATACCATTGTCCAGTATGGGTGAATAGCACTGCGTACCAAATGTTTCCGTACGTGATGACTGCACGGGCACATGCATTTTGCAGTCGATTGAACCACTATTGTAGGCGGGGGATTGAGCAACCTTACTCACGTAGGTGAGTAGCTGCACGGGCGTATTGGTGAATATCAGTGCCGGGGATGGCCTGGCGACATGTACAAAGTGCGCTCAAACTATGAGTGTGAGTTTAACCTGTGAAAACAACACAATTGAATCGTGTGCGTTGTTTGCATGATATGAACATTTTGAAATTGCCCCTAACGAACAGGTGCATTTTTTTGACGGGCCCTGCAAAAATGACGGGCACAATTGTAGGGCGATAGCACTGCACACCATGTCTTCGTACGTACATATACGTGAGTGGCATGCACGGGCACATGCATTTTGTACTCAACTGAGCAACCATCACTGCACTGTATGTGCCGGGGGAGGGGGGTGACGACATTTTGTGAGTTTAACTTGCGAGTGTGCGTTCACACCATTGAATAATGTTCGTTGTTTGCACGAGCTGCAGTTCTCAACTGCCCCTTCCGAACACGCACATTTTTGACTGGCCCTGCACTGGCCCTGCCCCGGGCACATGCATTTTGTAGTCAACTGAGCAACCATCACTGCACTGTATGTAGGCGGTCGACTGAGCAACTCTAATACAATATGGTATCGCCCTACAACTACGCCCTACAGTTGTTGGGCGGTACCATATTGTCCAGTAGGGTTAAATATCAGTGCCAGGGGGGTGACGACATTTTGTGCGTTTTAACTTGCGAGTGTGCGTTCACACCATTGAATAATGTACGTTGTTACACGAGCTGCAGTTCTCAACTGCCCCTTCCGAACACACACATTTTCGACTGGCCCTGCACTAGTTGAATCAATTGTGGGTACCCCTCCAGGCAATGTTATTTGTAGACTTGGCATGGTCAGTCTGTGTGCACAGAGCACACGCATGGGGTCGAATATGTACGTAGCGTCCCCGCTACGACGGCATGCGGTACGTCGTACCCACTGATCTCTATATAAACACTGGATAGCGGATATGCATACAACATTCACACAGTAGACTTTGCATATTGACCAATTCGCCCCCGGTCTCACGAAGGTGGCCGCGTATAACACGAACGTTCTACGCGTAAATACGCGCGCGTTGTATCAACAGTTGACGCGCATTTTGGTCACGTACACATATTATGATGTTCTAAAAGGGACACATTTCCGTAGTGATTATTTCAAAACGCCGAAAAAGTTATTTTTTGCGGCATTTTAGTAACCACGACGTTAGAAAAATTGTAGTTAACCTTGGTCAGTGGTGGTGGTCAAAATATAAGTCAAGTGAACCGCGACGTTACAAAAGAAATCATGCCGTCTATAAAAACGGCAACTTGTCCTTTGTAGATCACCAGCCGGTCTCACCAATATGGCGTCAAATTCGTACATTGTGCGGCTCTTTATTAGCTATCCAGTCTTTATATAGAGATCAGTGGTCGTACCCCGGCCCCCGGCCCCGGTGCGCGCGGCACAGAGCTGGGCAGTCGCGCGCGGTCGACGCGATTAAAACCACTCGTCACCAAAGACTTGATTTCAAGTCTATGTTATTGGTCGCGCACGTGTGCATGCTAGGCATAGGCGCTAGCGCTAGCTGTCAAACTGGTGAATGTAATCATGGAGGATATGAGTGACTGGTCGCTGACATTTCGTTTAATTTTGCCACAATGCCTAAAAAAAAACGAAACACAGTGCAAAAAAAGCACACATTGCTTTCTTTCTGGAATACTACAACGTCACAACTGAAAAGAAAGATTTGTCCATTGATTGTGACAACGTAAGCGTTGGACGGGCTGATGATACTGACAGCGTTCGTCGCCAAGGGGATGAACTTTCGCCTCGCGCTGAGCCAGAGCCTGTTGGTGAAACTCAGGCAAATGTAGATCGCGTTGAACTTCAAACTTCTTGTACTTGTACTGCTTCGGACGCAACGGTGGTGGGTGGGCGTGGTGGGAAGAAACCCCAAAAAGTGTACAAGTTTCAAGAGAATTGGCGAGAAGGTAACTTTTGGCTTGAGCATGATAGAGTAAAAAAGGCTATGTACTGTACTGTCTGTCGAAAGTTCGACAAATCTAAGAAAAAAAATGCCTTCAGAGAAGCAGACGGGTGTAAGTCAATGAGGTTCAGCAATGTCGAGGCTCACAGAAATAATGACCTGCATAAAGCGGCACTAAAGGTCCATGGCGTTTCAAAATTGGATACGAAAGACAAGCCACTTGAAAAAAATTTGACACGGCTTAACGAACAAGAAGTGAATAGAATGAAAAAGTACTTCACGACCAGCTTCTATAATATTGCTCAGAAATGTAGACCATTCATTGATTTTCCCGGGATGATGGAGCTGCAGCTCTGCTGCATAATTTCGCATGCAAGGAAGTTGCTGAGCAGTATCAGTCCTATCGAACTGATAAAAATGCAAGGAATTTGTTGATTTTCAAGCAGCTGATATCTTGGAAAGACAAGTCGTTAATCAGCTTGATGATGACAGTTTCATTTCCATATTAGCCGACGGGAGCACAGATAGGTCTAACACAGAGCAGGAGATTATTTACGTCACTGTGTTGCAAGAGCACAAGCCTGTAACGCAATATGTAACCTATAGCCTCTGTTCCAAATGCCACAGGAAAGAACATCGCAGACAATATAAAGAGTACTTTGAAAAGAGAACTGAAGCTTACCAAATGGCAGAACAACGTTGTTGCTTGTTGTTTTGATGGAATAAACAAAGGTGTTTCAACTCTCCTTGCCAAAGAAGCCAACCATCTATTGGCTATTCATTGTTGTGCACATAGACTAGAGTTAGCTGTCAAAGATATGTCCAGAAATAAGCCTTCCATTTGTGACATGGACAGTGTGATTCAAGCCTCGTACAAAATGTACAAGCGTTCCAGAAAGAACTGGGAAGGTCTGCAAAAGTTGCGGGGAACGATTCATTGCATGTAAAGATTCATCGACCGGTGAAAGTGGTGGGAACAAGATGGTTAGCTCACCACCATAGAGCTCTGTCTGTGCTGGAAACGAACTGGAAGCCAATGGTAATCCATTTAGAAGATTTGCAGAGTGGAAGTGCCAAAGCCAAGCTCAGAGAAAGTGCCGAGGACCTGCTGGATAAGCTAAGATCCTTGATGTTCATCCTGATGATGAACTTCATGCTGGTGTACTTTTCAGTGATGAAGCAGTTATCTCTCACCTTGCAGAGAAATGACACTACAGTGGATACTGTTGTGGATAAGGTCCAAGCAGTCAAGAGCAAACTGCAACAACTTCGAGTCAGAAAGAAACTCGAAGAAACTATGTATCGGGGACTTGAAGAGAATGATGGTAACCAAGATGGTAGTATGCATGTCCTTAGCTACAAAGAAGGGCCAGTAGGTTTCAAATGCCATCAGATCATGCGAGAGACTAGAGGTGCTCCATCACAAAGACTCACAACAGAAGACATCAAGGAGCAGGCCATTGGTATTGCAGAGCAAGTGTTGGAGGACACTATAGATAACTTGGATGACAGGTTTGACTCATTTGTATCCCATATTGTGATCCAATCAGCTGCTATAATCAACCCACAGAACTGGCCTGATGTTGGTGAAGCATTAGATGAGTATGGAGAAACAGAGCTAGAGGAAATTTACCAGCACTACAGATCACTACTTGAAGCAAGACATGTTGATCTAGAGTCCTGCAAGACTCAGTGGATTTAAAGCAGTTCATAGCTAGACTAAGAAGACAAGACAAGAAGCAGAGCCAAGTCAAGAGTGTTCATGACACATGGTCAACCATTCTGGCTGATCCACAGCTAGTTTTACGCTTGAATCATGTGCTTCCTGTCATCAAAATACTTCTGGTGCTGCCAGTACACACGTCAAATCTTGAAAGAGGATAGTCAAATGAACATCACAATGACTTCCCTTCGCACTAGCCTCACCACCTCTTCCATGAGCTCACTGTTGACAGTTAAGCTAAGTGGAATTGACTTCAAAGACTACGATCCAACTAATGCCATTGTAAAATGGTGCCCTTGGAGTGCACCAGAAAACAAGAGGCGCAGACTCAGCACAAAACCATATGGTCCCCGCCCAGGAAAAGCTGTAAAACTTGATGAGAGTGAGGACATCAGCATGGACTCAGAGTCAGAGCCTGAGGAAACCGCAAACACTGACTCAGAATCAGACTCATTCGCAGGTCCATCGACAAGTGGTACTGGTGGAGTAGCTGGACTTGCTACTGCATATTCATCAGACTCTGAAAGTGACATTGAAATCACTCACTCCAGTGCTGGAGGTGGACTAGCCAAACTTGCTCGCGCAACTGCTGCAGAAAGTGATTCTGATTCTGAATCTGCTGCCTGGAATAAGGATTCAACTAGCGAGGACTCTGATTTTTAGTACCGGAGGCCCAGGCTAAGCAGCACAATTGCACAAAGGGGTAAGTTACTTAAACATCAATTCTAATATCTTTTAGTGTAAACACAAGAGAGAATGACACATCTCATGAAATATGGTTCTTAGAAATTTTCTTTATTATATCAAACATACTTTAATACTCACCTAACCTCATCTATGGCTTATAATCCTTAAATTGCTAAATACAGAAATTTGCGCTACGTGTTATTTGCAAAATTATGGTGCATGTGGGTTTTTCTTGGTGCATGTAGGTTTTTTGGTCTACATGCACCAGTGCATGCCAATTTTTTTTTGTAAATCGAGCCCTGCCGACCCATAATTGAATAGTGACCCATATCCAAATAATGCGCGTAATACTAATAGATAATTTGACATTATTTATTTCTTTCTTTATTTATTTATTTATTATCGGGCAAACAAGATATAAAGGAATCTCCAGACAATTAAAAATAATTTAGAAATATATATTCATGTATGTATAAAAAGTCTCGATTGCACTCAATTGTTCTTAACTTTGGAGCAAACACAAGTACAAGCATGAGATTTTCCAAAATTTTCTCTGAAATCAGATTTGAATCCGAGAGAAAGACATTGTAAGTATCTATAAATACGCACCATTCAGACATTTTATCAATTTTCAGACTTTATTTAAATTGACAATCTCAACCCTGCTAGTAGTATAAAAAGGAAACTTGAAAATTATCACATTTAAGTAAATTTGGCATGTTATAAAGTTTTGATAAAAATGTGCATTACTACAAGGAGATATTTAGTAGAAGATACATGTAGTTTGTGTCTTAAGCAGTTCACGCCGGGATTATTTTGACAAGAACGAAACGAGACGTGGGCTTTTCACTCGACCTCAAGCCAGGCGGGTTGAAGCCATCACCCTCTGGCAGCACATTCATACTCCCTGCCTTGCTCGCTGCGAATGATTCACTGGCAGATATTTCCGGCCTCGAACCCTATACATTTTGTATGTTTATCTGTCATCCATTCCGAATGCCGCAAATCTTGTGCGTGTATACACAGCCTCCGACGCGAACTGGTTAATGTCATTTGTTGCAAAGCCTCTTCTGACACCACTTTCATTCCAGCTCGAAAACCTCTCTGAGCAGCTGTTTCTTGTTCACTTTGCCCATGACATTGCGCGGCATGGCCTCAAGAACTCTCATCTCGGTCGGGATCGTGTAGGGCGCCATGCGGTCCCTGGCCCAGGCTCGCAGCTCTGGCAACGTCAGTGATGATGACGACAATGACGATGACGATAATGATGGTGTCGAATTTGCATTGCCTTGAAGTACCACCACTGCCGCCACGCGCTGGCCCCACGTCACGTCCGGCACGCCCACCACCGCACACTCCGCGATTCGCTCGTGGGCCAGTAAGTGGCGCTCTACGTCCAGCGCGCTGATCTTGTAGCCTCCGCTTTTGATGATGTCTACAGACGTCCTGCCTAGGATCCGGTAAACACCATCTTGGTAGGATGCAGTGTCCCCTGAAAAAATTGTAAGAACCTTTAATTGCAATAACCCTAATAAAACTTGTTTTTTAATTATCAAGCTTTTTATTTAAAATTACTTGTGCAAAATTCAGGGTTTGTTTTTTTCCAAAATTGTAAACAACCCATGAATTACTGCACTCTGAGATTATATTAGTTTCTTGGCACTCGACTTAAAACCACACCAATTCAACACACTTTCTTGAGAACTGAAACTGCAGAAAAATGACTGCAACCCGACTGGAGATTTGATAAAATGTCGCGTTTGCAGTCACATTTGTTGTCACATTTTGAAGTCTAGTCTTCAGAACTAATCATAAGTAATCCGGTCTCAATGTCAAGACTAACTATTTAAAGGAACTGTGACAAGGCATTGGTTTGTTACTGTTCATTCCTTTTACCTAGTGACTTGACTTGTGATCTGACAAGTGTTTGACTTGTGACTTGAATTTTGATTTGACTTTTGATCTGACAAGCTATTTGTCTTGTGACTTGACTCGTGATCTGACAAGTAATTTGACTTATGACAAAGGCATTGGTTCACAACTGTTCATTCCTATTACCTTGTGACTTGACTTGTGATCTGACAAGTGATTTGACTTGTGACTAAACTTGTGATCTTTCAAGTGATTTGACTTTTGACAAAGGCATTGGTTCATAACTGTTCATTCCTATTACCTTGTGACTTGACTTGTGATCTGACAAGTGATTTGACTTATGATTTGACTAGTGACATCCTTCATGTACTATTCGGCACAAAAACGAAGCGCCCCAAAACACATGTACATGTGACTTGACTCATCTCAATTCACAAAACTGAATTCAGACCCAAGTCACAAGCTCCAAAAACACGTTTAAAATAACTGCCAAATCTTTGTGTAGTAGGGATACTGTTCTGCCTGCGATAGTCAATTGCTTTCCTACAATACGCTGTGAAAATGGCCTGCACCCGATTTCAGGAAGTGCTGTCACACACATCGTAACACGAGTTACGACGCGTAACACATCACAACTCGGGACGCGTCGTATGATCCATTTCATGAAACTTACGATGTGTTGAACGCGTTGTAAGTTCCTCTGATACGGCTTAAAACAAGTCGCAAGTTACAACGCGTCTAGTGGTCATCACAAAATAAGAAGCATTCTTTTCTTGGCAATTTTTCTGCCAAAAATACGTTAACGAGACTATAATCCTGATTGTGTAAAGTTGTGAGTGTGTAAAGTTGTAAATAGAAAATACATTGAATAATTATGAACTAGCGTGGAATATTGCAGTTGAAATTTCACAGTAGCTATACCGGCCACTGAGAGCTTCTTTTTCGTTTAAAACTGCATCAGACGTCCACCATTTTGTTTTATGTTTTAAGACTTTTGGAGAGGAGATCCGATGACTATTTTCCGAATGTTGGACAACTATTTACTGTACGCTGAATAAATGCATCAAACAGTCACAATGTGCTACAAAAATATACCTACGACGCGGCGCACTTATAACGTGTTTTGTGAAATGGATCGCAGGACGCGTCGCAGCTGCGACGCATCGCAGGGATACGACGTGTCACAGCGCTGCGATGCATTGTAAGTTACAATGAGTTTCATGAAATCGGGTGCAGGCCATATAGTGAAGGCACCTGCTTTGCTCAAAACCCTACCTGTTTTGAACCAGCCATCATCGGTGAAGGCTTTGGCCGTGTCGTCCGGTCGGTTCCAGTATTCCTTGAAGCCGGCCGGTCCTCTGACCTGAAGCTCACCTTCTGTGACCTCTGACCCCACTGTGACCTTTGAGCCTTTGGAATTACCGCTGACACAGATGTCGCCATTGCCAGTGACGATGCGCACATCCACAGTTGGAAATGGATTCCCAACTGCACCTATTTGGGGAAAAGTCACAGAATTCAACATTATTCTACTGCAGCTGTGTAGTTAAAGTAGGAATTAAACAGTTTGAAATTTCTGATTGCGCATTTTCATTTGTCCTCCATCTAATGCAAACCAAAACCTCACCATCCCTTGAAACCTTTCTCATCGAGCAAAAAGTGAAATATACAGATATACTTTCTTGCACTGTCCTACACAATCAGTCTTTTGTTATGTCCCACTGTGGGTTTCAAGCACCTACATGTACATGCACCTGATTCAGTGTGTTTTTCCTGGAATGTCATTCTGGGGTATTCCATCAACCCTAACCCTGCCAGACGCAACACAGTGCATCAGGTGTAAAAGTCTGGTGCACTTTGATGCATTGAGCTATCAACACCAGTGCTTACATGACCACTTCTCAGACAATGAGAGCTAATCCCATATAACAATGCCACAGTTGTATCCTGCTGCATTCTTTGACCACAGACTCTGAGGCAGTGTGGCCTTAAGACTTATGACCTGATGGATCGTGCTACACTGGGCAGGCTTGTCAAGTGTTGCGTGTTGCTGCGTTTAGCAGGATTTCTAGCCAAAATACCCTGGAGGGTTAGGGTTAATCAAATTAAGGGGCCTGACTAGAAAGAAGTTGATAGACTTTAATATGTGGGCCGTCTTGGCCAATGGCCAAGAAAAAAAAATACATAAATAAACATGTCCTTTCCACAAAGCTTTTGCGATTGGCCATGCAACGCAATCTACTGTCAATATATGAAGTCCATATAGACAGGTAACGCCCTAAAAACTTCAAAAACGGATTTGGTTGTTATACTTCTTTTCTCCCCGACGAAGCTTTTTTTCCCAATAGACAAATCCAGGCACGCGATCACTGTACACTCACAAGGCCCCCCTACAATGGAGGATCCATTTTGAATGCTATTGTAGAACGCAACTGCCCCATGACAGATTATCTGATCAAAAGCTAGTACGATGCTTTCGCCATTGAAGGTGGGCCTCTGTGATAGATTTGATAGAGTGCTCAGATTAGATACTGGCCTACTTTCGAAGAACCTACCCAATGACAAAGCAGTGCGTATTATGTGGGTGTGTAGTTATTATGAGTTGACCCCTGCATCAGAAGTCGTGAAGACAACGATGTGCTGGCCATTCTCACTCTTGATGTCAGACCCAGATGCAGCCATTCCCAACCCCTCACAAGCACAGTCAAGCCGGCACAGCATGAAAGGATGCTATCAACATGATGAATCAAATTCAGTATTGGGAACGTCGGCACTCAGACCCAAGAAATTCCGAGCATACCTAACGTGCTCCCATTAGCTTGAATGCAGCGCGTTTGAGGCAGGCTCAGAAATTCTCAGGTCCAAGTGCCAACGTTCCCAAGACTGGATTTGATTCATCGTGTTGATATAGCGCCCTCAACCAGCCGCATTAGGGGAACAAAAACAAAATCCAGCCTTGGACCAAGACTAACTCACCTGGGATCCTGAGACCATGTACTGGGTTAGACAACACCATGCCTAATTCCGTCATCCCGTATCGTTCCAGTAATCGGTGACCCGTGATGGCCTCCCAGTGCTTGAGTACTGGCTGAGGCAGAGCTGATGACCCTGAAATCATCAACCTACAAGAAAATAATTCACAGATATTTAAAATGTTGTTCCAGTGAAGGAAGAACTTTCGAGTTTCTCTGAAGACAGTAGAAAACTTACGGAGGCTAATCATCCTTACTCGCACCTGAGAAGCTGCAACTGATACTAACTTTGATTCAAGTGAAGAGAGTTCTGGAATTTGAAGCTATCAAGTGAATGAGAATGGAAATCAAGGCTCGACCTTTTAATAATAATTTGGGAGGCTAATCATCCTTACTCGCAACTGAGAAGCTGAATTGCGAAGGACGCGGCTACAACGTGGTCGAGTCACCGGCATGTAAAGGCAGCTAGCCACACCGACACACGGCCCACACAGCCTGAGATCGAAAGTGTTTGATTTTTCCTGAGGAAGGAAAACCAAAGGACCCGGAAAAAACCTTCCTGGTACAGGAGAGAACCAACGCACAAGTCTACTCGCGTATGGTATGTATGGTCCGCGGACGGGATTCGAACCAGGGCCACAGTAGTGAGAGGCGAGCGCTTTACGCACAAGCCACCCATGCCACCCAATTTAATGCCACCAAATAGTTAAATGACTGTGAGCTGGAGTCGTGTGCTGTGGTACACTGGTTCAAACCCTGTATGGAGAACATTCTCACAGCCCCAAAGAATAAACGGTATTCTGTGAGGGTATCCGTCTTGAGCTGCTGCTTAAAACTGGTCTCATGGCCTGAGGAACACGGATAATATAACTTGTAAAGCACTTGGAGACTTTGACAAAGAGCGATATGCGTAAGAGCCAAATTAAGTTCACTTTTCATAGACAGCCTTTTCTAAACAGAAAGACCAATGGACAAACAGACCAATGCCCTGAAAGTGTCCTCACCTGATTCGGTCTCTCAACTTGGCCTTGATGAAGGCCCTGACCTTTTGACCTTTGAACCTTGACTCAAAGCCTTCAATCAGCTTGGCATACATGGTAGGGACGCCCATGAACAGGTTGATTCTCGGCTCAGAGTCATCAAGGAGCCTGTCCCATACCTAAATGAATTAAAAACCAAAACAAAATCTTACCTTAAGTTTTTATTACATTTTTCAACAAACATCTTGAGCTGTACACATCCACCTGAGCCGAAACTTAATGCTCGTAAGTGACATCATGACGACGACAAATTGAAATTTTTGGGGAGATAATTTTACATTTTATGTTTAAATATTCTTTCCAAATATTACGCAAACAAAAACGAGCTAAGCTAAATAAGCACACTAACATTGATTTTGCACTTATTACGAACAGATATCTTGATCTTTAACCAGTTCACGCCGGAGGCCGTGCATACACGCCAAACTTTTGTGGTATTTGGAATGGATGACAGATGAACATGCAGGGAGCGAGGCCGGAAAAATCTGTCAGCGACCCGCTCGCAGCGAGCGAGGCTGGAAAAATATGAGTGTGTTGCCCGAGGGTGATGGCTTCAACCCACCTAGCATGAGGTCGAGTGAAAAGTAATCCCGCACCTCGTTCCATTCTTGTCAAAATAATCCTGGTGTGAACTGGTTAATACATGGACATAATTAAAATCCTTGACAAGCACTGTGCTTTTCAGAAACAGACATACAGCTACGTATGTTTTTCACTGCCCTCCAAAAGAAATGTACAAAAAAATACCTCACTTAATTAATACTGTAGATTGTCAGATTTCTGCTAAGGCCAAAAAAAAAGTTCTGCTTCCAGTTTCCCTACTTACCCTATTCTGACAGCCCCTACTCTCATTTTTTTATAGGAAAAATGAGAAAAAAACACCCCAAACCATCAATTTCTACCTTTTACCCTCGACTACAGACAGACGCATCCATAAGACTCTACAATGTACACACACAAAATTGGCCAAAAAAAAACAAATTCCCTACCTACCTACCTACCTACCCTATTTTCAAATGCCATGTAATCGGAAGCAGAACTATTTTTGGGGGGCCTAATTTGATTGGAATGCACTCCCCTCCTAAAATGCGCAATATCAGACTTTAAAAAAATGTCCTCACCCTGTCCACATCAAACTGTGGCATCAAGACACACGTCGCCCCACACCACAGCGGGCACGCCAAGGCGTTGACCACTCCGTGGACATGATGCAGAGGCAGCACATGGAGAATGACATCTTGTGCTGACCAGCACCAGGCCTTTAGCATCATAGAGATCTGGGCTTGCAAGGCGGCAAATGTCGTCACCACACCCTTCGGTGGCCCCGTCGTTCCACTGGTGTATACAATCATCGCCTTGCGATTCTTCCAACGTATCTGACTCCATTTTTGAGTCAGCGTTGACTTGTCAATCAACTGAGAATCATTCCAACTACAGTTGGATGCCGTCACAATGTCCGGCACTGCGACCGGTGCATTGTTATTGTGTTGAGAAAGTATGTGCAGTTCATTTGAAGTTCTGCTTCGTCTTGTGACGAGGGCCTCTTCATTTAAGATCAACACTCTGAGATTGTTTTTCTCCGCGAGGCCGTGGGCCCTGTCAGCAAATTCTCTGGTTGCTATGACTACTGAGCTTTGGGAATCACTGACGATGTAGTCCAACTCGGATTGCGGATGGACTTTGCAGAGGGGGACCACCGTGCATCCGCTCATCCATGCCGCAAACTGGGAGATGATAAATGAGATGTTGTTGGGGCAGAGTACGGCGACGCGCTCCCCGTTCAACACCACTCCCGAGCCCTTCTTCTCCGCGGTCGCGTCTCGCGGTGTGATGGCCAGAATGCGCTGGGCGAGGGCGGTGCTGAACCCGATCAGTTCCTCATATGTGTGTCTACCAAGACAGTCTACGACAGCTGTCTGGTCCGCATAGCCTTGCTTGATGACATTCAGGAAGACAGGTCTGACTGCGCTGGAGGAACTCTTGCATTTGCTGAGACGAAGAACAAAACCTCGCTGGAGAATTCTAAGTATACAATTGGACCTGACCAGCAGCATGGTGAAAAAAACTCTGTCTGGAAAAAAAACAAAATATTCACAAGATTTGTCATGACATCATGCTTCCTGGAAAATACGATGTACCTCCATATCTTCATGATATTACAGAGGTACATGTACATGTGGTCCAGTACTACTAGCCTAGCCCTAAATACCATCACCTTAAGTTCTGAAACGTAAAATGCTTTAAAGAGGCTTACAAGTGCATTTTTCAAATCTGTATTTTCCAATAATAATGTTTTTATCACCAAAAAATTTTAATCTGCGGTCATTTGGTAAAATTTTGCAGCAAAATAACTAGTTGGATCCTAAGTAATAGAAATCATGGTTGAGTCACCAGAACAATTTTAATAATCAAATTTTTTTTTAAGAGGCATAGGGCCTAACTCCTCAACCAAAACAGATAATGGTAGGGAGTGCAGCGAAACGATAGACTTGTGCATGGCTCTGGCTACACTGTTTCCTGGCAAGCATCGCAGGGCACTTTGATTGGTCACCAATCCAAGTGACCAATCAAAGTGCCCTGTGATTGGTCTGTCTGATGCTTGCCAGGAAACAGTGTAGCCAGAGCCATGCATAAGTTTACTTTTCGTGAATTCAAAATGGCAGCCACAAACAAGGCGTTTGTGACAAGGATGTTTCCCGAATTGAAGGTGAAATTTCTCTTTTCTTCCCAAAGGTATGTAAACCTAACAACCACCATTTGTATTTTCACTTCCCACTGAAGTACAGGGGCGCATAAGGCAGTTTGAAGACTGTTCTGGGGGTGAAATCTGACGATTTTGATTGGGGGTAGAGTGAAAATGGTCAACAAAATTTATTAGTAACCGCAATAGGGCCATCGATCTCGGACTCTATCGCCTGACCATGTCCAAATGTTAAAAAAGCGATCCGTCATAGAGTCCTACTTACTCGGACTATGCCACCAGTAAGTTTCTCTCACCAAGACCTTTAAAATGATGTATACTCTCGTGAGAGCGTGAAAATGTTTTTTTGTTTTGCCAAAAAATGCATTGTTCATGAGAGTTTGCACATTATGCGCGAGTGAAATGTCGATTTGGTTTATTCACGAAATAGCTGCAGTGTAACGTCAAATGGAACGCCGCTCTTTAACTCACAACAGTCAACATGTTCAACATTTTTCCACGTTATTATTAAGGTGTTAGCATTGTCATAAACAAGTTAACATTTGGAAAATCTTCCTCCGTCAAAGTTTCATATTACAAGACATATTCAATATTTACCTAGCTTACCGCATCATAGCCCCATAATGTGGCCAGTTTACTGGACTGCCTCCGTAAACATAGGCCACACGTCCACCATCTTGGAATCTGACTCGCCGAAATTTTGAAAGTGATTTCCACATTGCGACTTCAAACCCAGTTCATTTATGCTTTAAAAATACACTTACCCTCTTAATAACAAAATTAGAACCTGCTGCCAGTGTCAGTTGCCCAGCTGCTGCGTAATTTACGACATTTTCTGGACCATTCTTGGCAACTTGATCCAACCGTGGAGCTATCTCCATGGTCCAACTGAACAATGCCCTCGCGCAGATCGTTCACCTGTCAATCACGCGTGCAGGACGCACGCCGCAGGCCCAGTGGTAGTCCGGTTCCCAGACCAAAAGATTCTGACTATTGATCCTAGGAATAGTCAGAATCTTTTGGTCTGGGAACCGGACTACCACTGGGCCTGCGGCGTGCGTCGCGTCCTGCACGCGTGATTGACAGGTGAACGATCTGCGCGAGGGCATTGTTCAGTTGGACCATGGAGATAGCTCCACGGTTGGATCAAGTTGCCAAGAATGGTCCAGAAAATGTCGTAAATTACGCAGCAGCTGGGCAACTGTCACTGGCAGCAGGTTCTAATTTTGTTATTAAGAGGGTAAGTGTATTTTTAAAGCATAAATGAACTGGGTTTGAAGTCGCAATGTGGAAATCACTTTCAAAATTTCGGCGAGTCAGATTCCAAGATGGTGGACGTGTGGCCTATGTTTACGGAGGCAGTCCAGTAAACTGGCCACATTATGGGGCTAACCGCATCAGTACCGCACGTGCACCGTCTCTTTTGAAAAGTTCTATGACGGCTAGTGCGCCACCAAGCGTTAAATAATTACAAGGAGGTATTCACACTGGTTTTTTTTAGTGTTGGGATGGGGGTGGGCGGCTGGGAGGGGTGGATGCAACCATGGTGCAACAAAGGTTTAATGACTTGAGTCACTCGAGTCACATTTTTGGGCGACTCAACTCGACTCGTGTCCCTCATCAAAATACTTGACTCGACTCGAGTCCAAGGCTAAAACCGTGACCCGAGTCCAACGGCGCGAAAATCATAGTTTGCGCTGACTTTTGGGTACACATATTAAATATTCGCGTACTACGCGTTGCTGCTTATATCGCGTACAAATATTCGACCCAAAGCCAGACCAGAGATAAAACCAAAGTTTCACTTCTTGTTTATGCTACGTAGATCTTTGTTAGAAAGTCCAACAGCTAGGAGCTGTCTGTCTGCTGCAACAGTGCAGCATATTTGACGTCTTTGGATCTTCATAATAAACTGGGACCTTGTGTTCCTCTTCTATTCTGTAATTTAATTCATTTAATTAATTTTTTTTAGGGGGGGGGGCATTTTCAAGTTGATCAGAAAATGCAACGAATTATTTGTATAGGCTACCATATCATTTTTTGTTTTTTCAAACTTTGGGACAAAATCACGAAATATAGCTCCCTCTAGTGGTGACATTTGGTGTCAAATTAGATCATGGCTATACCAAAACTAAAGATTGTTTGTACCAAATTTGAAAGTATTACAACCAACAATGTTTTGAACCAAAAGAAATGTCGCGTAGGCCTTAAGCCACTTCTCAGTTGTGGCACTACATGCGGTGCAACCAAACTAACCAAAAGTGTTGCGTTTTTAAATTATTCGCTGGCGCCGGGCTTTGCTAAAAAAAAAAACCACAGAAAGTTGACAAAAAACGCAAAAGTGCAATATAGGCCTAAACGTGTTTCGTATCAAGTACTAGCAAAAAACGGAGGTGCGTGCTTCAATCCTGATACTTTGATTGGTTGTTGCTATCTCACGTGAGGTGGTGATATCTCAACGAGTCGGTCCTGCAGTAGTAAGGTGAATATATAAGAACCGGCTCTCAAGGATTCGCACTACTGTACTCGGTTCGTCTCCAGCTTAGGTACGAGCGGCAAACGTACAGCAACAATTTTACTGTCCACTTCAGATTGTCTTGGCCGAGATTAGTTGAGTAGCTAGTGCAGTGCTCGTATAGAGCATGGAAACAATGGATGATCATGAGTCACCGTCTTCTTCGTCTTGGTTCCAATCCACTTGGTTCCAATCCACTGAGAATGAGTCCTTGTTTCAAGGCATGTGTACTCCCTTCAATACTGTAATCTTGAATTTGACAGATGTAGAGTTTGTCGACTCCGTTTTATTCACGCGCCTTCAATTCCTCAGCGTTTTCGTCTTGATACCAATCATAACAATATTGGCCGTCATCACCAATGGCAGTTATCTCTACGTTGTTGCCAAAGTCAAGTCCATGCAAACTGTCACCAACGTGTACCTGTGCAACCTAGCTGTGGCTGATACGCTATTCTTGCTGTCAACGTGTGCGGTGTACATAGGTTTTTACTACAGTTCAGGCGGGTTGTATGGAAATGCGCCACTGGCCGGCTACTTTGAGTGTATTGGGGGCCATTTCCCTCGCATCTTCTATGTACAATCGATGGCATTAATGGTCACGGTCACTTTGGACAGATATTACGCCGTGTGCCAACCGCTGAAGCATCATCGCACGTTCACCAAAAGCCGCACGATTAAAATCACCGTCACTGCATGGACCTTTGGCGTTCTGTTTCAGGGAAAGAGCATCCCCGGCCGCATATACAGGGACATTTTCTGTGTCACTTGGCCCGACTTGCCTCGATACTCGGAACTGCCGCCTTTCACCTCTGTCTGTTACGGCATTTTTTCATGGGAAGTTGACGTGTTGGTGAATTATCTCTCCGATGTCTTGCTCTTTGTTTTCGTGATGTCAGCAAACTGCTTCATGTATTTTAAAATCATCAAGGCTCTAAAGAACCGACCGGCGCAGCGAGACAGTCAGCAAGGGTTGAGCGACAGCGCTGATCGGACGCGTCGCCGGGTTACCCGCATGCTACTTGCCAATACACTCGTTTTCTTTATCTTGACCGCTCCTAACTACATCCATTCGCTCCTCCTAATGATTGAGTTATTTGTGAAGTTACCACTCATACTAGAAGACCCAGCAGCTAACAACACTATCATAATCATCACAAACATTCTGGCCGCCATCAACTCGATGATCAATCCGATCATCTACAACGCAACCAATTCCCGATACAGACAAGCTTATAGAGAGGCATTCCTGCCGTGTTGTCAAACCAACGATCGCCAAAACGCCGACCTCAAGAATAATCATCGCCGGAACGCCGATCGCCAAAACTCAGATCCCAAGAACAATCATCGCCAAACCGCCGATCGCCAAAACTCCGATCGCCAACCCAACGCCGTTCGAGAAACAAGCGATGTCCAAATCACCAATCCCCAGGCTACAGATAGCACAACAGATCGCCAAACCAATGACTGCCAAACCAACGAGGGCCAAGCCAGCGATCGCCAAACCAACGATCGCCAAACCAACGATCTCCAAACCAACGATCGCCAAACCACCGATAGCCAAACCAGAGCGCTCCCAACTAACGACCTCCAAACCAACGATGGAAAGGCAAGTGATCGTCAAACCAACAATCGCCAAACCAACGATCGCCAAACCAACGATCTCCAAACCAACGATAGCCTAACCAACGATCGCCAAACCAACAATCGCCAAACCAACGATCGCCAAACCAACGATCGCCAAGCGAACGATAGCCTAGCCAACGATCGCCAAACCAATGATGGCCAAACCAACGATGGCCAAGCCAACGATCGCCAAGCCAACGATAGGCAAACCAACGATAGCCAAACCAACGATAGCCAAACCACCCATGAGTGACAAAATACAATGACCGCCCAATCGCCGAACTCTTGTATAGCAGAAAGAAATAGACATTTCCGTCCGGTTTGGCTTTTTCGTTTAGTTGATTATAGTCCAAATTGTGCCGTGTGTTGTTAGACTACATGTTGCTCATAACAAATAAAAGGTATTCACCAGAAGAAAAATACATACATCAGGTGAATTAATCAATTGTCTTGTAAAAAAGAATGATTGAGTATACTATGTTCATTGTACTAAGTGATTTTCTTCGCAGTGCACTAATTATGTCAAAAAAAGGTTGTGAGCGAGACTAGATGAATTGGCCCTAAATCACTCTAGAAAATCTCCCCATTAGTTTCTTTTACCAATGAAAATGTACATACATCTGCATTTTATTGAACATCATAGCTTATTTATGTGAGGAATCCATTCTATTTTCTGCCGAAATATCCTTCTGCATTCTCATAAGTGTGGTTTTTTTTTTAAAATTATATATTCAACGCCTTGTTGTATATACGGTCATCAAATATCACATGCAATGAGAAGGCAAATACATGTAGATCACATTCGATAGAAAACACAAAATATTAATTTGTGATGTTAAATCGTCACCGACACCACGAACTGACACCCGGTGGTCAGCGTTGCAGAAATACAAATCGGAGAAAAACGCTTTTAAAGGTTTGACACGAATTTACTCAGTAAAATATTCCATTTATCTTAGAGGTTTTAGTATCACTCAACGTAAAAATGCTTTCACTACTCAATTATAAACGTTAGAGTGTAAAAATCTGCTTAGTTAATTAGCAATTAAATGATTAAGATGGGTGTCAGTTCGTGAAAACCAAAATTTACGTGTTTTCGGAGAGTGCGCGCATGCAATAGCGTTAGTGAGTGTCAGTTCGTGAAAACCAAAATTGACCCGTTTTGGGAGAGTGCGCGCACACACCGCGCATGCGTGCGCGCACTCTTTCAAAACGCGTCAATTTTGGTTTTCACGAACTGACACTCACTAACGCTATTGCATGCGCGCACTCTCCGAAAACACGTACATTTTGGTTTTCACGAACTGACACCCTGTGCAGTGTCACTTCGTGGTAACCAAAAATACCAGAATTGACAAATTTCTTGAAAATTCATACGTAAAATTCGCTTATTTTAGATGATTTCAGCAATTTATCCTCGTCATGTTAAACTTCATGATACAAACTGCTAATATGTGCAAAAAAAGAAAATTTGAATTTTTAATTTTTTTTGTACACATGTGATGCAGAAGGTGTCAGTTCGTGGTGTCGGTGACGAAATGTTCACCCAGGTTATTAGATCGCAGTGCACTGGGCGTATTATGGTGCATTAGTTCTAGTGCCAGGATCGATCAACTTTAGGCCTGACAATTCTTTGAGAAGTCCAGTGTGTCATTAGCCTCTCTAGCATCAAGTATCAAATTGTGCTCAACACAATCATCTGAAAATGTATCTGTATTGAGCATAATTCTATTCAGTGCTTAAATATCCAACTGCGTTATTTATGTCTATTCTAAGAGTTGCTCCCGTGCTATTTCCGATTTCACACCAAAAATAAAGGTTTTTTTATAACTAGTTTATTAGCAAGACAAAAGATTCACGTTTTGTAAAACACATTAATAATTGTAAATTCGTAAGGAGAACACAACAGACCACGGGGCGAGCATCTTCACGTATATTTGTATATAATTATTTAGCTATATATCAATGATCACATACTATACATTACCATCGGCATTTATGTTATCTCATTGTAACCCATGTCTGGCACGTAACAGCTACTTTCAGGGATATCAGTTGATTAGATAATGTTGCAAATTAATGAATAATTTAAAATTAAAATAAGGTAAAAAGCTGCATATGCTTACGTATCAAACAGTAGACATTACATCGCAACTTTTGCAGATAATGTTTTTAAATGATATTGATTTTTTTTTTGCAGTTGGTACAGTTTAACTATATACTTCTCGATGTATTGTTTAGCATGCTTTCTAGTTCGATGTGTTATTGTATTGTGGTCATATTTCGCAGTCGTGACGATGATTAATTGTGATCGCGCTATACTGCAGATAACGTATTAATGGAAAATATTGCACCGTTTTAATATTTACAGTATTATTGTGTTCACTTTTTAGAATAATAACGCAAGTATTATATGTTGATGTCTTGTTATTCACTGCTGCCCCATCACAATAAACTACATGTATATAATGAACAAAACACTTTAATTAACAAATCACTTTAGTTGCAGGCAGATTGTTGGTAAATACAACCATTTTACACCAAAAAAATAACCAAGCTATAATTGTATAAAACTATCCGAGTGTCAACGAAAACATGTCCAGAAAACCACTGTATAGACACAATCTATACAGACCAACCAGCGTTTCCAGCTCTTTTTGGTATTTCACACAATGCACTCCCCCTTAGTGACGTGTTCAGAGCTATACAAAACGCAGTGGCTGATCTGGAGGTTGGAACCCCCCCCCTCCCCCACCCGTTATCAGCCGCTGACTAATGTTATGATACCAATAGAATGGGGCCTGAAATAATAAATGGAATGCCCAAAGTTTCTACGTTTATTCTCAAATTGCCACAGAATACAGGACAAAACATGATCGTATGGATTTCATAATTTAACGAGGAGGGGAGGGGGAAGGGGAGGGGAAGAGGGGGAGGGGAAGAGGGGGAGGGGAAGAGGGGGAGGGGAAGAGGGGGAGGGGAAGAGGGGGAGGGGAAGAGGGGGAGGGGAAGAGGGGGAGGGGAAGAGGGGGAGGGGAAGAGGGGGAGGGGAAGAGGGGGAGGGGAAGAGGGGGAGGGGAAGAGGGGGAGGGGAAGGGGGGAGGGGAAGGGGGGATTCGGGGCGCCTTCACTGAAATATCCCCCTTTCCTGAAAGCTGTAGATCAGCCCCTGAAACGCACGTGTGATGGGCGATATGGAAAGCGTCCCAGCAGCGGCGGCGGAACAGTTGAGTTTTTTTAAACTGGAGAGGGGGGGGGGGACGGGGGGCATCACCAAAAAGGGGCACTTGGTCAGTATTTTTTTTTGGGGGGGGGGGTACATCCGTGCTGAAATGTCGAAACTTTTTTTTCACCGGACACTTGGCCTCCGTAAAATCAAATGGGGAAGGGGGAGGGGCTGGTACCATCTTCCAAAATAGGGGCACTCTTCAAAACCAGCCATTGTGCAAACTATACGCATTATGTGCCCATTTTCATCGTACATAATTTGGGGCGTATAAAAGGGTTTTGGGGCTTGTTGTTTATATTCCTCTTTCACATCAGACCTCTCTAGGCCCCCCCCCCCCCATACCATTTTGGGAAATGGTTACTGAAAAAAAAATATCCGAAATTTTGAGGGTACTTGGGTAAATATAGGGGTACTTGGGGGTACTTGAGAGGGGTACTTGGATAAATATGGGGGGGGGGGAAGTACCCCCTGCCCCCCCCCCCCCCCCGGTTCCGATCCGCTGCCCCTGCGTTCCAGTAATGGCTATCACAATCATTACCGTAATTTCAAAATCGGACGAATTCTCAGTGACGCGGAAGAAAATCGCGAGGTCATGAAACAAATTCACGTCGTTGATGTGCCTTCAGGGACAATCACGGAACTTGGCAAGAAGAGGATAATCCACGACGATAAGATGAGATGCAGTAGGCACTCTACCTCTTTTGATCACTCCTTAATGGGTTGTTTATATCTAGGTTGGTGAACGTATAGTTCTCCTTAATGTAGGCCAACAAAATATAAACTACCATCCTCGACCGAAAAAAAATATCCTTTGAAGTTTATGACGAAAGCTGCTTCAGACAGATTGATTTCTTTCTTACTATATTATGTCAGTTTCTGTATTCACAATAATCTATTGATCCGTTTAAAATCCATTTTAGAGGGAAAAAAAATCGATGGACGAGATCACTCTCAATGACGAATCATCGTATATAAGATTGCCCCGGTGACTGCAGATCCATTAAGGCTTTCGATAGGCCATTAGTCGAGTCTTGAGAAGAAAATAAAGCTGAGGTGGGATTGTTTTTTTTTTGAGGGGGGGCAGGTAGGGGTAGAGGACGACTTTAAAAAAAAAAATTGGGGGGGGGGGGGAGGGGGAGTCAATTCTTTTGTTTTATTTTATGATTCATTATGTTTTGCCCAGCTGTCAGGGACATCGTTGTGGTGGTGGTTGTTGGATGGGTGCTGCCCCACTCCTTTTTGTGTTTGTCGGGAAAAATAACCTTGTCGGCGATTATTGTTTCGGGTGCAGATCAGTATTACCAAAACAAGGTGAAATACCCTCACTTTGAAAACTCGGGGAAAATACCTACAGCTCTTCAAGACCAATTGCAACCTCGTCGTCCCCGTGACGTCGGGCGAGCAGTACAAGGCACACTGCTTGTCAGAAAATTAGTAGCATTGTATGGAACGTCAAAAATGGACAACCGTATTATCCCATTTTCTGCAAGTAGAATTTTAGGTTTTTTGAAATGGCAACACTGGATTTTGAAAATCTCATTGTCCACTTTTGACGCTCCATAAGCATTGGTTGTCGGTTGTGAAAAACACCAAATGTTAATTTTGGAGGAGGCACCCTTGACAACAAACGATCGCGTGAAACGGCCGACCGGCGACCGGACGATTGCAAAGCGAGGGTCTCAGTTTCAGCACCTAAATCATGTCGTCCGCAATTGCAGACGTTTTGTGAGGACTAATTTTTAACCAAATCGTAATGACATTATGGTCATTTTTGTTTAAAACGTTTTATTTGCGGGTGCCAAATGGCCAGTTTTCTGACCGAAAAAATAAGACGGTGTAGCATGAATTTAGGTTTTATGAAATACGGGCTCCTTGGTGGTATTACGCATGCTCATGCATAGATAATTAGGAGAGGGACCGGTCACGTGAGAGGGTTTAACCAATAAAAGTGAAAAAGAGTCCGATTTTCATATGACAACGGATCCAGCCCGACTACGCAAGCCTATCTCGTTCATTAACAGTGC